TATGTACTCCGGCCCAACGTACCGTGCCTACTGCCTACCTCTCAATCCCTAACACCTACAAAAGCTACTAGCATGAGTCACACAATACAAATATTGTCAAAATAGTGTATTTCAAAGCTGTCATAATAATAAGCTGTCGAATACTGTATTAGATATAGAGTACCAAAGTATGTGTATGTGTTATGTATATTTGTCAAATGTGTAGAATTTTTTTTGTATTTATTAACCTATTTATGAGTGTAAAATGTAAATTAGTTGAAATGTTGATTGTTTTCCTAATGTGGCATAACAACTAGGGCATGACCATGAGAACAGTCTGTAAAAGAAAAATGATTTTTACTAACTAAATTTTAATGTAATTCTGGCCAATATAGGAAGAGATATAAATTTCTTTCACATTTTAGTATGATGAGATTACAATAATATTCGGATCTTGTAGCTTACTTATAACAATTTTTTTAAAGCTTTTATACTTTTTAAGAAGTTTTAAGCATTTGTGAAAACCAAACATATAGTAGACAACTTTTTAAATTAAAGAAATACACTATAATTCTTGCTCAAATTAAAAACTGAAAAGCAAATAATCATAATCTTTTCATAATGATTATATATATTGACTGAATGGCAGGCTTAAAGCCAAATCGATAACCTGGGTCTATAAATAATTCAACCAAGCTAATAGATCATTTATGACGGTTTACTCAACAACTCCTCAAAGTATCTTAGCAGATTAAATATTGATGTACTGTCAAGGAATAAACTATGTTAGTCTACCAATTAAGCAAAACCAAGAGTTTTTTTATTCCTAAAAACCTTCTGCGCTAAATAACATTAAGTGAGAAATTGTAAGAAAATAAGTGTTACATTTATTTACTTTTTGAGCAGGAGGAGCTGGTTAACAAAAGGAATTGTAACTAATGCTGAACCAGTTTGAGATAAAATATAAAAGTTCTTATTAAGTAACAATCAAGCCGTAATTGATGCATGACTATTACTTATCAAATATATATAACAATTTGAATAATCTCAGATGGAGTGAGCTCAATGTAGTTCAAATTTAGTTAAAATACTTGATCTTATTCATTCCCTAATCACGATTTAAGAACTCAATTGAGGGATTGAAGCATTGAAAGTTACAAATTTGTTATTATACAGTTGGCCTATCCAGTATCAAGTGATTTATCATTCAAATTTGCCCTAAACTAAACACCTTTTTGTCAAAGGGGACAACGTACGAGCCTCAAGTAAAAACAATTGTATAATATCAACCTATTTTCAGATGTAAACACAACTCCCTTTTCAGCGTTAAATCCTGGACGCTAAGTAACTGTAAACCGCATCAAATGTGTTATATGCAGTACCGCATACTCTCCAAAGAAAGCCAGCAAGATAGCACTCATTGACTGTGTGGTCTAGATAGTTTTTGAATTTTCACGTCTAAAAGATAATAATGTCTTCATAAGTAGGCTTTGGGAACTGGTGTCATAAGAATCTGTGGTGGTTTTTGGCACCAAACATGTTGTCAACTGTAGATTTCTGCCAGACATTTCGCCCCTGCCTCATTCTCAGTCTCATCCTAGCCACTGATGATGCCTCTTCACCTGGCAGCAATCAACAATTGATGACATGGTTGACGCCCAAAACCACAGTTAATCCAACATGATACAAACATATTTTACAAACCCAAAGGGTGTCTAGTTTATTTCCATTCAAAAATTCAATACTAATTCCAGACTTTTCAAGACTAATTTCTGACTTAACCAGACTAGTTTTTCAACAATTGGTGTATCGATACAAAAATTTATAGATTCTCAATACTGATACCTGAAAAATTGATTCTCGATTCTTGATACTAATACCATTTTTATAATATTACCAAATATTCTAAATGATTTGGTTAAACTACACCAACCCCTGTCTTTATGTCATAAAGTATTTTTATGATAATGGGGTATTTTAAAGTAAAGAACAAATTCATGCCTCAGCAATGACAAATTATAACTAGCCAATTTGGGTTTAAACTAGTGATGGGTCGGTACTTAATGTCAAATGTTGGTTCTACTGGTTCTTGGGAAAAGTACCAAGACCGAGAATCGATGGTGAAAAGTTAGTTTATTCATGATTTCGACGAATCATATTGCATTCGATCTGTAACCACCGTGACAAATGGCGACATTGTGCATTGCGCAAGACTACTATTTTGAATTTCAAGTTCAACGGTAAAATTTATTTGTTGATGGATGTAACTACATGGCTACATGACAAACAGCAAAGCCTTCATTCAGCAAACCAAAAAGGGCTTTTATTGTTTGTATGCTGTTATTATGCTTTGTTCGGTGGTTTGTGCTTAATTTTGTTTTTGTCTTTCTCTTTCTCGAGCAAGGTGAGAAAGTTTAAATGTAGTTTAGCGTCATAGTCTAGTCTGTGGTCTGTCAAGTTTCTTTGAAATTGAAGAATGGGCCTTTGTTTTTGTTGGATTTCTAAAATAATTTATATGTTGATGTCAATAATTAAACTGTCTGTAAATAATAAGTGAAAGTGGATTAGTTTATCACAAGAATGTAGGGCTACCACAAGTTGTTGTTTCTATAGAATAATTTGTAATACATTCTTGATCATTGCTTCCCAAGTTTGGAAGTATTAAAATTGATGAAGCAAACAACAGATTTGCGAAATGCATCATATTATATTTATTTATTTATTGCATTTGACAAATAATGTTATGTTTGGACGCAACTACAGTCGATGCACAGGCTCGCTGCCCATGTCGACTTATTCCTAATAAACATGTACGCTTTCTTAAACAGAGATGTAATGCAAAGGTTAATTTTATTTTATTCATTTAAATTCACTTATGTTTTTTTCTTCCTTTAAATATTTATGTACATATTCTGTAAATACTTTGTTGGAATAAAGAGATAATTCATTCATTCATTCATTATTTAATAGGCTTATCTCCAGAGGTGGGGGTTCTAAAAGGAACTAATGAAATACCCAAAAACCCACAATACCAATTTTAGGTACAATTTTAGGCTACATACAAAAAAACCACCAGTCACCAAACTAACATGCCTTTATTAAATCTTTGTTTTCAACAAGTCTGCACCTTAAACTAAGTTATAACCTCAAATGAATATGTAGGCCTACCTATTAAAAAAAACTGTTATAACTTCCTTCAATACAAATTTTTGTTCTAAATTTTCCTTAATACTGGAGCCTAAAATTAACTTAACGCAGGCTATAGGCACAATATGACTCAAAATTACTCCGTTCAAAATATTTAGCTAGAACCATTTTATAGTCAAAGCTAGAACTTAATGGGCCGTTAACTAGCCACTTTTCTTTCCAAGGTAAGTAGCCTATGTTAAATTTATTGGTTTAGCTGTTTTGATTTGAATGAGTTTGGATGTTAGTGTTTTTTTTTTTTGTACAAATAGGTCTAAGTATTATTTTTTTAATCCCCTAATATAACAATGTATTACCACCATATTAATCTTTCAAATACATTGTATAATTTGTTATTTTGGAATAAAGAACTTAAGACCTATAACAAACCTACCTATAAAAAATAATCAGTTTTAAAAATTGAAATAAGGATACTGTATTTTGTTTTAAAAAAATCAAACAATTAAATAGCCTAATTTAAAATGAGGTACTGATGGTACCGGAACCGAGAACTGAGAATCGATTTTGGTTAGGAAACGGTACTGACATTGAAACGTGGTACCGACCCATCACTAGTTTAAACCCCTCTTAACACGATAAATAACAACCATATCAAAGGTAAATGAAGATCTAACGACAATTTTATTTTAACTAGAGTTGTGTCAGCCTGATATTTTCAGTCAAGCCAAACTTGAGGTAATAGCGTGATTATCTGCGCTCGTAGAGACATTATCGTTGACTTCTGCGATCACTGTGAAATTCGAAATATCTTCCTTTACGGAAACATCATCTTGGCGGTCGAGGCAAACAGGCATTTCATCGTCTCCTGCGGTCACGGAAACTTTACCAACGACTGCCGCAATCGTGGCAAAAACACAAATATTTCCCATGGTTGTGTAGATATTATCATCGTCTTCCACAATCGCGGAAAAATTCAGATTATTTACCGTGTTTGTGTAGACATCATCTTCAACTCCCGCAGTCACGGAAACGTCATCGTCGCCTTACATGATCGCAGTAATATTAATTAAACCTTTTCAGCCGTGTAGACATTATCATTCTCTTCCGCTATCGCGGCAAAATTCTGATCATCTCCCGGGGTCGTGTGGATATTATTGTCATCTTCCACGATTGTGACAACATTCTGATCATCTCCCCCAGCCATGTAGATATCACCATAACTCCCACAGATACGGAAACGTGATCGTTGTCTTGCGCGATCCCGGAAAATTCACTAATATTTCTTGGCCCTGTAAACATCATCGTATTCCGCGAACTTGGCAAAATCATGATCTCCTGCGGTTGTCTAAACAACATCATTGTTTAACGTGATCGTTGTCGTGCGTGATTGCGGCAAAATCATTGACAACTCCTGCGGCCGTGTAGACATCATCGTCTCCTGTGATCGCGGCCAAATCATGAATATTTCACAAAACTTTACATGGTCTATAAAATTCCTGACTGTGACAACAAAATAAAGATTAAATCCCGACTTTTCAAGTCCATTTTAAAATTCAATACTAATTCCCGACTTTCCCGTTTTTCTCCACTACTAGACACCCTGAATAATTATGGTAAAGAACTTAACTACATCTTGACTATGAGGAGGCACAACTGCTACTTAACAAATCCCTGCAATCATCTACAGGGCCAATTTTCAATCGTAGGTATGCAAATAAAAACATTAAAACTTAAAACACTTCAGTTTAGATACACAGGTAAACATAATAGCACCACCATTGGTGTCACAGCAACGTCTTCACTCGCTGAAACACTTAACCTCAATCCAAATTCTGGTTGAGAAGCCACAATAGGTGAAGCAACAGTTTGTTTACCTGAGCGGAATGTGTGGACAGAGACTTGGCGATGGCCAGGATTTCTTCATGAAAGTTTTCCGAAGGCAACACTCTAGTTACAAGACCAGCCTGTTGTGCTTCTGAGGAAGTAAACTTTCGACAAGCAAACAGCAACTCACTCGTCTGTGGAAGTAAAAGATACATAAACACAGGGTCTCAATATAGCATGTTGGTTGTTTTGAGAAAAATCTAACACAGCGTAGTTTCGCTTAACGAAACTGGACCAAACCCTTTTCAGATAAGTAGTATTGTCATATACATACTGTCTATTTGGCATTATGAAAGAAGACTATACCCAATCAAAGCTCATCAAACATATTGGGTGTCTGATGTATCAACAGTTGAAGTTAAGAAACTATTATTTCCTTTTGTTGTGTTTGGATGAGGTAGACTTTTGGATTATAAGAACTCCACTGGGCTATATAAAAAGGCTGTTATTTATTAAATAGTAAAAAACCCCGTATGTTACATTAACTCAAATGCTAGTCACAATAAAAACAAATGCTACAAAAACATCAAAGGGTCAATAAACTAGATCTCTCCAGTATTTCGTAACAATTTCATATTCAGATTTAACAATAACCTTGAGTATGTCATGTATTCTCTTTTGCTTTATGTTTACCAGACACAAGAAATGTGCTTTCTAACACTTACTGTAAGAGACATTTCTTAGACAGCTCATTACATATCAAAACTAATGTTATTTGTTTAAAGGGGTATTACATATATTCTCCATCACAGGAATTTTTTGTTGAAGACAAAGCACCTGTACATACATCCTGTAATATTCTGTACGTTTTGTGCCAATAAATATCATTCATTCATTAAACTAAGTAATGGTATTCAATTTACATCAATTACCGATTAAGACTAAGCCTTTAACAACTTTCAAGACAACCATTCCTGTGTCTACCAAAGCTAGACAAAATTGTATTCATTAGTTTAAAAAATAGCTTACCGCAACAGGCCCGAGAAGAGAGGGAAAAGTTAGTGTCGCAGCCCCCTCGGGTACGTGGCCTAGGCGGGTGTAGGGAGTGTGAAAAGTAGCGTTCTGATCAGCCAATACCATATCACACAGAGGCAGCAGAGTCACCCCCAGACCTACAGACGGAGCATGCACAGCCGCCACTAGTGGCCGAGACAGGACAGCCACACTCTTGACCAACTCTCTGTAAAGCATAGATGTATTGCCAGTCAAATTAAAACTAGTCATTGAACTAATCCAGGTGATTGTTGATTATTGCAGGTTTTCAACCACCCCCACTGAATTCAGTCAACTTTAGATGGTTAAAAAACTTTAATAGGCTAATTACTAGTTTTAAACAAAAAAAATATCAAAAATAAATTTTAAAAAAGGAGAAAGAAATGGGACAAAACCAATGCCTATGAAATGAATTTGTCATCATTAAAAGGTTACAGTACCTGCACACTGCCTTGTGGGTTTTTGTTATTAAAATCTTAACAATGCAGTCTGCAGGTACTGTAACGTTTTATTGATTATCTGAAAGTGGTTTAGAAAATCAACTACAGTATGAATTTGTTATGCGTTTCAATAATCATATAGGCCTACAGTAAACAAACAGATCAAACATGTGGCTATTTTACAGAGCTACTTCAAAACTGTATGTCCATCATATGTACAATAAAGGTGACCTGTACATTTTTTTAGTTTTTTTAACCTGTTAGCTTCATTGCTCTGATACCTCAACTATACTCCGATCACAAAATTAAGGTGGATAGGGGGAAGCAATTCCATCCCTCTCACTTTACCCTGACTACCAAACAAGTGTCAGCTGATCAGCTGATATTTAATTAGGCAATAAAAGTGATGGGGGAGCCCAGGAAACCTTCCCCTTAAACCGCCTAATTTTGTAAGGTAAAAATGAATGCTTTTAGAGCAAGTAAAGTTCTCTTCCCTTTATTTGTAGGCAACTTTTATTTACTTCTGAAAATCAAGTATTAGGCCAATATGAAACTAGCTACCTGTCGGCTTTGCCCAACAGAGCTTTGTGTTTTATTACTATTACTACAAAGAACACGCTGAAGCCGCGACTTTGCTAGGGGCAAAAATAGAATAGAATTTAGAATATATTTTTATTTTCTCCATTCAAAGAACAACAATACATTTTCACAATTATTGTAGGCCTACATTAAAAATTCACTTGAAGGAAAACAAAAACAACTTGGTTATGATCAAATAAAGTTTAAATGAAATATAAAGTCCGTTGTTCTCACCAGGCTGACAAATGACAAGTTACAATAAATAAACTGAAGCACAAAGACAACCATCATATGTACAATAAAGGTGACCTGTACATTTTTTTAGTTTTTAAATGACTATGCATTAATTTGCTAAAAACACTATTCGTTCAAATTTTTATAGATTTAATTTATTTATATATATAGCCTATCTAGATGTGTCCGTGAAAACGATAAATAGAGTAATTTTAGTTTGATTTTGATTAAATTTGGCTTGAAGGTGTAGGGTGGGATAAACTTTTGAGTTGCCAACCAGCAGGATCGGGTCATAGGACCAGGTATTATGGTTCTTTTCCAACCTTTACTCCTAAAACATGAAAATGCCTGATTTTAAATTTGAACATCGCGTATTGTTTAAAAAACAAATATAATGTTGTATACTGAAGCAGTGTTGTAAAATAAAACGTTACAGAGAAAATTACAAAAAACTGTACATTTCAGACTCCCACATAATTCATAAGGACAATAAGAAAACTGCTTTCTTATGGATGTATGTTGATCAAATTTGGTGAATTTATTTATTTCATACTATACTATTAACATTTGGATAAAAAAAGTTTACCCTTCCCGTAGCAGCAAACCTAGGTAGGCCAACACGTTAAATATATTTAAATGGGGAATAAGTATGTCTTGTTTATAGAAATATTTAAGTAACAAATCCAATCAAACCAATTAAATTCGCTTAGTCTACAGGGTTGCTGCAGCGGAGATATGTGCCTTTTATAAGTATAGAGAGATAAAATAGAATAAAAATAAACAGAATAGAATAGAATACATATTAATAGAATAAGGTATCATCATTAGATTTAGATTATCTGTCCTAACGTAATGATTAACTGAGACTTGTATATACTATTTATTATCAAAACTTACTTGATGGCAACAACCATCGCAAGCGCCGCACCCTTCCGTTGCTCTGGAGTAGGTTTGATAAGGGCAGGAAAGTCAACTCCTTGACAAAACACAGGGCCTTGTGATGTTATGAGAACCACACGGCAGTTTTCATCTTTGGCCAGTCCTGTCAACACTGAGGTCAACTCCTGCAGCACCTACAGACAACCAGACACAATTTCAATTTCTTTATTCATTGAGAAATATACACATAATACAGCATTTGAATAGTGTCAAAGATTACAGTTATTAAAATATAAAATACAGATTAAAAAATAAATTAAAAATACATCTCCCCATGCCTTCTTAATGTCTAGTATTCTTGAGGGAGGTGGAAAAATTCTGCTAGAGAATAAATGACCATGTTTATTAGGATATTTTTTAGTTTTGTTTAAACTTTTTTGGATCTTTTTCATTTTTAATTCCTCCAGGGATAATGTTAAAAAAAATTTTACCAGCAAATTATGGGTTTTTCATGAAACTTTAATCTGTGCATATTTTGCAAAAACTGATTTTTTCCCTCGTTTCATATCGGTGAACCGGTAGACTGGATACATCAGATGAGGTTTTATTTAAAAAGTCAAAATTGAATCAAAAACATAATGCCCATTAACATTTAGTATGTTCAGCTGTTTAAAGTGTTCTTTTGCCGAGACATCAGAATTTAGTCTGAGCATTATTCTCACTGCTCTTTTTTTATGTTTTAATATTTTATCTAGATTTTAGTTGTTGCTCCAAATAGACAGATAGGAACCAAAGGAAATATGTTAATGAATTTATGCAAAGTAAATGATTTTCAAAGTTTTGATATCTCAGTACACAGAAACATTTTTGGAAGGGCCAAAATTCCAGAGTTGGTTTTTGAAACTTTTATTTATATGCTCACTACAGTTCAAATTCTGATCTATTGTTAGACCCAAAAGGTTTGTGCTGGTCTTTCGCTCAATAAGTTGTGAGTCAATACATTATTATTGGGTGATTAGAATTTTTATTTTGTACTGTTTTAAATGTGATAAAATTTGTTTTTATGTCATTTAATTTTAGGTTCTGGCTCACCAGATAACTGCCCAAATTTCCAAGTTCTAGGAAAGCAGAAATTTCTGTTTGTTCCAGTGTAGGAGAAGTAATCATTAAATTAGCATCGTCATCATATAGGCACAATTATTCACTTCTAGGTTTACATACTAGAACACTGCTTATGTCCTTAAAATAACTTAGCAATGGCCCTAGAATAGACCATTGAGGTTCTCCATATTTAATTGTTTTAATTCCTGATGCAGCTTGAATAATTTTATTATTTTTTTATTGAGTAATATCAACATATTGTGTTCTACTACTCAGATAGGAATTAAACCATTGCAATGCATGTTTAGTTATTCCAAGGAATTTCAATTTATTTTTAACAGTAGGTATTGGTATGTTTTACACTATCAAAAGTTTTAGATAGGTCCATGAATATGCCAATTGTTTTTCCACCTCTATCAACCGATTCAATAACTGACTCTAAAAATGATACTGCAGATGTGACAACTGACCTTCCAAACCAAGTAATCATCACTCAAACCAAGTTAAACTTTTCAAGATAATCACTCAACTGATTGTAAACAATTTTTTCCATAAATTTTGGAAATAGTTGGAAGAAGTGAAATGGGTCTGTAGTTTATTACATCTGTAGGCTATCTTTTTTATGCAGAGGGATAATTTTTGCCTTTTTTAATTTATCTGGAAACAAACCAGAAATGAAGGAAGAGTTTATCAGGTGAGCAAAAGCTTTATACTGACACTATGACCTATTTTCTTAAGTAAATTAATAGGTATATCATCGTGCCCGCTAGATTTGTTGTTCTTTAGCCAAAACGTTTTCCACCTCATTCTCACAAACACTCTTAAAACTGAACTTAGGTTTCAGAAAGAGATCTTGATGAAAACTGGATGGGATTTCATGTGTTACATTTGATTCCCATTGGCTGTTATTAGGGTCTAGATCTTCTACCACATTTAAAAAATATTCATTTAAGATATTTGAGATTAATATGGGATCCTCAACGATGTGCTTGCCTCTTAATAGTTTTATTTTATTATTTTTTTTATTTCCAACTTCTGAGATAATAATGATACAGTTTTTTGGACATTAGTAGAATTATTAATTTTTTTCTCAAAATACTTAAGATTTGGTTTGATTAAATATTTTCTTTAGGTCTTTTACTTCTTTTTTGAAAATATCCTTGTACTCATGTTTTTTGTTGTTTCTGATTTCCTCTTTGAGTCTGTGACGTTTGATTTATATTTCGTCTGTAAGCCAATTATTATTATTATTATTTTTTTTACCGGCTGGAAAGTTGTTGGAAAAGCCGATAAAAGTAATAACTGAATGTTTTTTGGAAGATGTCAAATTTATTCTCTACAGGAGCTAAATAAACATCAAGCTATTTTTCATCTTTTTTAAGTTTAACAAAATATTCTATGTTTTCACAAGAAAACTTACGAACTTACTTACAAACCAATAAATTGCTTAATAATTGGTTGTTTAAGCTTTTCTAAGTTAAGAAATTTAATTTTTAAGAATTGCCCATCATGATCTGATAAACATGTTATTATGCCTGTAATCGTCATATCACAAGATTTTGATGCATTTACAATGTTGTCTGTGTGTGCTGTTTTTGTGTGATCAGTTGGAAAATCAACCATATATTTCATATCATGGCTTTTCAATATGTCTTTCAGTAAATTATGTTTAGAACCATCTTTAATAACATCAATATTTAGATCTCTTTCTATTTTAACATTGGTTATCTTTAAAAAAAAATCAATCACAGTACATAATCTGTCTAAAAAAGAATTTATATTTGAGTTTGGAGATTGATAAAAGACTATAACTAACAATTTAAAATTACCTTAATAAAACAAGAGGCAAACAGCTCAAACAGTTTTTCCCCCAAATACTTATCCTTTAGGAAATTAGGTAGAGCCACCTGCTTCTAGTTTTTAACCCCCTTCAGACAGTATCATAACCCCGCCCTTCCTGGATTTCTTCCTACAAAAGAAAGCACTAACCGTGTAGTTGTCTAAATTGATCCGGGATATTTCATCTTCTTTTACATCGGGTTCTGACAGGCTAACAATGTTCGTATTTAATTCTTTAAGTGTTACTTCTAGTAAATTGATTCTAGAACCTAGGTGCTGAATATTTTGATCAAATATTTTTACTATTGCATTATTATTTTACTACACAGACTGACACTTAAGTCATACTGTACAGTGGGGAGACCAAACACAGGTCCTGAACATGAACTATTCGTGATCTGAGCGTTAACAAATATTTCTGGACTTACCGTACTAAGTTTTGCTCATATTCTTATAGCCTATTTGACAATTTATTATCAACCTTTATAATATGAATATCCATGAGTTCACTAAATAAACAATTATCACCTGTGAATTAGTAAAAAAAATTTAATAAGTAGGCCTATTTTGTATCTAGGAGAGTATACGCTTTTTTGTTTTGAGCTGAATTATGGCTATTTTTGAGCTATATAAAAATACATATTTGGATTCAGGACTCAAATAGGCCTACTACCCTACTACTAAAATGCAAAACTACATAAAAATCCAAGATGGTCAGGTTGAAGATAAGTTTTCTGTCTGGGGCTGTCACCCCCCCCCCCCCCCCCCAAAGTATGCCTCTCTTCTCCCTGACTCGTACTTGTAAGAGAGTGGCAATAATGACAATGGACGGGAACATGGTACATCAAATAATACTCCCAGGGCTAACTCTTGCTCAAATTTGCCAACCAAGTGAACAAAGTATTAAAATTTAAATCCAGCTTTAAAGTAGGCTATGGAAATTATTTTCAAACTTACATTGACGTTAAATGCGTTTTGCAGTTTAGTGGAGACAGGAGTCAAACTGATCTCGACTACTCGGTCGTGTCTCTTCAAAGTCAGCTCCTTGTAAACCTTGGACGACTTTGGGGTCCTGACTTTATCTGATGCCTTTTTGTATACTATAAACAGATTCTCGTTTTATCATACAAACTAGACAAGTTCACATAAGTTACCTAACTCTTTCACATTAACTTAATCCACTTCATTACAGACTTTTCTGTTTGAAATAGTAAAATAATTATATTTCAAGTTGCTTGTTTAAATATCAAGCATTTTTTATATTACGTAGTAATTTTGTATTCTTGTGTCAACATGTTAAAAACTTTTAGGAACTTGTGATTTCCAAAATTAGGTATTCTTTGAAAATATTTGGTAAATAACTCAATCGGGTTAAAGGTTTAAAATTTAATAATAAACTGTTTTTAATAAAATAAGAGCTAGTTCCAGTCAGCCATTACATTTCTGTAGTTGGAGATAAAATTAATGGGTACTGTATAATTGTAGGAACTTATTTTATGGTTGTTTAAAAAGTACAGATTTATATAAAAGTACAGAGTAAAAAAAAGTATGAACTGTTTCAACCGCTAAATTATATAAACAATCAAATATAAATCAAGCTCTCACTCAAACTTTAAAATAAAATCCTCGGTTTATATAATAGGCCCCTTCACGATTGCGATGACCAAATTCACGTTGACATGACCTAGTTCTAGTTACTAAAAAACTCTACTAGTTACTAGTATGCAAAAATGATTTTATGAAAAAAATAAAGTGTTTCTCCTTTAGAGCGTATGAATGAAATAACAATTGTTATTTCACAAACCCAAATTAATTACTAAATTCATGATTACTACAGCCAATACCACTTTCTTAACGGTACCTTTATCATGATTCACAATTAAGAACATTTATCACAATGAAACACAATATTAATACAAACAAAGCTGTTTTAAATCAGGCCTAACCAGAAAAATTCCATTCAATTATTCACACAGAGAATTTTAGAAAGTTAAATGAACAATTCATGAAGAACAACTCAAAACGCATTCACTGGTTTTAATGTTTTTAAAGTTGAAATTAAATTAATTTAAAGTGAAATCCTACAAAAGAAACTTTACCTGCTTTGGAAGTAGGAACTGCAGATGTGGATAGTTTTTTTGGAGTCTCGACTGGAATGTTTTTGCCACCACTTTTATTTTCTTTAGCAAAATCTTCAACAGCAGCAGCAAGTGAAGTGTTTAATTGTAAGTGGTTCTTCATTTTACTAGTCATAAATATTCTTCTCCTTCCTCTTCTCGGAATTTCGACTTTATCAGCTAACTTAGAGGTGTTCTTTAGGGACATTGGGGTTTTCTTAGATTCTATAGCAGGAGTAGTTTGGGGAGTAAGCTCTTTATTGTTACTTTCCTTGGCTTTATCTACTGTTTCTCTTTCAGATTTGTTGTCAGGACTTTTTATAGATTTTCCAAGTAAATGCTGTGGTGATTTAACTGGTTTTTGCTTGCTGTTATTGATAAATGAAGAATCTATTTGTTCAGCTTCACTGTTTTTTTCTCCTGGAGAGGTAATGATAGTTCGTTCTCCATCAACACTTTGTCTCCGTGGACTGTTACTACGACTTGAGTAATTACTGCTTGAAGAATGCCTTCTAATGATTCTTGAAGCTTCTGCTGGTACAATCTTTGCTGGGAATGGGAAGGCCTCAGGTGGTGGAGACGAAAGAGAGTGGTGGGAATCATGAGAATCCACAGACATTTTTCGAGATGCTGCCTTTTCACTTGATTCCTCTTCTTTGACCTCTTCTTTGGGGGTTTGACCGCGCAGAGAAAGTCTTCCAACTGGGTGAGGTGAATTTGTTGTTTGCCGTAAAACGGCAGATTTAACAAGCTTGGTTTTAAGAATCAAATCTCTCTTTTTTCTGCGATATGAGGGCAGCATTCCTCTTTTTGAATCCCCCCCAGAAGCCCTCTTTTGCTCTATAGAGTAAAGCATATTTATAGCTCCTTCATCCCCGAGAAGGCGTTCAATTTCTCTCATTTTTTTTGTTTTTATAGGTTTCTCTTCAGCATCAGGAGGGATTGTACTTTGATTGGGACTCTCTAGATTATTCTCGTGTAATCCGTTGTTAGTTTCCAACGTAGCCTTTAGAAGAAACTCTTTATTCAATTCATCATTTGTTGGATATGGTTTTCTCTTAGGTGGCCTTCCTCTCCTTTTCTGAGGTTTGTTTGTTTGAAACACATTAGCAATTTGTTTCTGTCTCTTTTCTTGCAGCTCTGCTTTTCTTTTCCTTGGATTAGTAGCTTTAAAGATTTTATTAGTTGACGAACCCTCTGTGGGCAGATCATCAATTCCATTCAGCACTATATCCATAGGTAAGTGGCGAGGAGGAGTTTCAGAGCTCCTCGACAGTCTTTTGTTAGAATATTGTTTTAATGATTTACTATCTTTTGTGGAAGGGTCATCACTAATTGCCTGACCTTCAACAATAAGTGTTTCAGTTATTAGCTGTGGAGCTGCATTAACAGATTTAACAGCTTCTTTTTTTATTTTCTTAAAAGGTTGAGCTAAAATGTCACTACGTCTCTTTCTAGTTACATTGGTAGTTTTCTTTAGAGAATTAAGGTTATTATTTCTTTCTTGACCTTTCTCTAATTTAATTTTTCTATCAGGGCTAAAACTGACTTTCTTTTTTCCACGTTCACTTCCTTGACTGAAATCTTGCAACTGTTTTAATGCCAATTCTTTTTCCAATTCTGGGTTCATCCTTATCAAAGGAGCGTTTGACAGTCTCTTTCTATCTGACTTTACCTTCTGCTCTAAAACAATTTGACTTTCATCTGTGGAAGAAATGGGGTCATCAGGATCATCTTCTAAAATTTTTAAAAGTTCAATCTTATCAGATATTGCATAGTTTTTCTTAGCCTCTTTTACAATCTCGGTATTTGAAATAGGCTTAAGGGTGTTTTCTGAAGATAAACTCTTTTGGGAGTTAGCTGTAATGTCACCATCTTCTTTTGTTTCATTAGTTGTTTCTTCAGGCTGCTGTACAGTTGTCCCAGAGGGTGCAATCTTGGTTGCTAATCTATGTGTTAGTTTCATGGCAAACAAATAATCTCCTCCAGTAGGTTCTGTGTATGGATTTTTCTGCAATTGTCTGTCCATGAACTCTTGAGCAATTTCTGCCTGAGTCACCATGGGACTCATGTAAATGACATCTCTACCTCGTCTTCCAGATTCCTTCCCCATCAGTTGTCTTGGGGTATCCCCATCCCTTAATCGTTGTAATACATCATCAGATGTTCTAGAAATTGGCGTTTTTGGTGCCGACGAGACATCAGTTTTAGTTTTTGAGGAAGGGTTAGGAATTGCACATTGTGCATCACTTGCTTTAGAAAAAGAAGTTTCAGAGGTAATGGTGCTTTGCATTGGAGTGTCAAGCTGAACAGGTTGAAGAGTAGTTAATGTTGGTTCATTTGGATCAATTTCAGTGTCTTCCACGTGAGCATTATTTTCTTGAACTGATGAGCTATCTGAGATTAAAATATTATCTGATTTAATGTCTATGTTCGTAAGAGTTGCACCTGTGCTTCCAGCTAATTCTAGCAAAGTTAATGCGGTATTTGTACTATCAGTTAATTCCTTTTCATTCTCATTAACATTTTTATTTTCAGAAGGTATTTCAAACACCTGGCCATGAACAATAGCCTCTTGAGAATTTACAGTTTGGTTCAATGTTTTTGAAGTAACTGGACCAGATACAATATCAAATGACATTGTGATAACATTTTCCAGTTTATCTCCCTTGTTCTCAATAACATTTATTATTTTAACATCACCACTGTCATCTAGTGTGGCATTTTCTGAATTCACTGAAACTTTATTTGTGGTATCTTCTTCTCTTTTGCCCTCTATCTGTTGAATTACATGTTCTTTTAAGTTGTTGAGTTCTTGCATACTTTCAGGAGCAACTTCATCTTGCAGTTCAGTATACTTAGCATCATCAATAAACAGAACATCTTCTTCAGGGTCATCATCTTGATCATTCTGGCTTTCTTGTTGAACTTCCTCCGCTTCGCTTATGTCAATTAATTCAGGTTCACCTTTTGGTTTACTTTTATCACTTGGGTCATGAATGGTGATTTCTTCAACGTCAACATCCTCTTCGTCTTTTACATGATGCACTGTGTCATCATCAGTAATCATATCAATAATAGGATCACTCTCACTATTGGTTGTAACCTCCCAACCAATTTCTTCCATTTCAGATAGGTTTTTAGGATCCATTTCTTCTTTTGGTTTCTTCAGTGTGATTTCTAAAGCACCAGAACTGCTCGTAGATACAACTGCAATTGCTCCTGTATTCTTGACTTTATAATCGTCTGTTAAATCAATAAGTTCTATACCGGTAGGACCATCAACACAATCCTCTGAAGAGCAAGGGTCTAAAATGAAATATGTCTGAGAACCATCTTGATTTTTATTATCTGGAGCAATCAAAATAACTTCCCCATCATCCATTTTGTTACACTCACACCAATCACTTCTTCCCACACAGACCACATAATTTTTATCAAATTAGTATAAATTCCTTAATTTGAGACCAGTATCTGATTGGACAAACATATTTCTTAGACCGTTATTCATAAACTTGAAAATTTGTACAGAATTGGCACTCTAAATTCAATGTCCTATGTGCTTCATTAATTCAATGGCTAATTTCCACTGGTCTTCTTCAAAACAAACCTGGAAAAAAATTAGAGATCAGTTTAAAAATTAAGAGGTGATTAATGATTTTAATCAACAACTGTTTATTGGAACTCAATTTAACCATGTTTGTAAAAGAAACATTAGTAGCATCATTAAATACCCCTGCCGCAGCAAACCTGCAGACTAAGCAAATTTCCATATACACAGCTGGAATTCCACTAAATTATTCCTTTAAAACTGTCAGATTTATTTCCTATTTAAACATCATCTATCTATATATTAATAGGCAAGCATGTTTCTTTAAAACCTTTTTTGTCAGCTCGTGTTCATCGCAGGGAAAATCTACGCATACCGTTAGAAAGATATTTTCCTGTAGAACTGCAGAATCCCTTTAAAAATTAAAATAGGCTCAAAAACAAGAACAAAAAAAGAATTTGAAATTTAAAAAAAGTTAACATGGGCTTTATGAGTTGCCACGCTGGTGACGAAATAACAACGAAATATAAACAGAAAATCAAAACAAATGTAAGAAATTCCAATCACATGTTATATTTACAGCGTGGGGTGAAAATAGAGAAGCCTGTACCTTTGACCTTTGACTAACTTCTGTACAACAACTTCTGTATCCAATAGTCAATGCTTTGACTTACAACTAGACATTCCATCCCTATGTTTAAGTTGTCGCCAGTTTTAATTAAATTCATCATAGTTGATGTGGGCCACCAACAGATTGCGCTGATGTAAATGACTAATTTCTCTCGAATACACGATGATTTTTACCAAGTTATGGAATGATTTATTAAGACCTATAGCAACTAACTGTTATGACCCATCAGCTTTGTCAGTAACAAAAAATAACATAGAAAATATAATTTTAGACACACATACTGTGACTGGTTCACACAACCACATGTTTTAATTTTTTTTTAAATGGCAACAACTGGTCCATGGAATGTCCACTTCAGTATCCAATATTCCATGCGGGTACATTACATATTTTTGGTTGAGTTTTCGACCACTGGACGACCACTAGTTAATATTAATGAGTACTTAGGTTTGCTGCCACAGGGAAGAAAATAGGGGGTTTTTATTGAAATATTAATAGCTCAGTATGAAGTAAACAAAATTTCAAAATGTCATTAATATATGTCCATACACAAGCAAGCTACAACACTGTATTTATTCTCCATAAGAATAACATGGTAATTTTAAATTTACATTATTTTGCGATTTTTCTGTAACCGTTAGGCATGCAACAATGCTTCAATATACTAAATTATTTGTTTTTTTGAGCTCTACAAAATGGTTTAGAAAGAAATTGCAAAATTTTATGTTTTCAGGGTGAAAAATTAGAAAAACCCATTTTTACCCCATAAAACCCCCCATAAACCCCTGTTCCCATAGTCCGATCATGCTGGTTCGCGAACTCGTTCGAATAAATGTAGGTTTACACGTTTATACCAAATTTCATCAAAATCGGAATTTGAACAGATGGTGTTTTTGGCCTCTGGGGACCTCAAAACGAAAAACTAAATCGGTCCCGGGTCCAGGTCTTACCATGAGACCTACGGTACAGTAGTCGCAGCTAGTCTGGGCGCGCGGCCGCGATAGGGAGGGGGGTGTAGAGGGGAGTGTTTATTGCTCATTTCCAAAAACATCTGGCCCACACGGCTCTCTGGGCTTGTTCATCGAGGCTGTGGGGGTGAGCGAGCCGTTACTCTCAGCACGGCTAGTACACAAGGGTCCGCGCGCCCAAACTAGCTGCGACTACTGTAATAGCTTATTCCCTATATGGGAAATTCGCTAAAAGGGGCCCTTGTCTAATTAACCTAGCCAAAATCCATAAAACACTGGACGGATTGGCCTGAAATTTGGCATGATGATAGCTTACATTCCCGATTAACATATAGGCATATTCTTATCTCAATAATCATTTTGGGCTCCCCCCTAGTGGCTCTGTAATTCCCCATGTTAACCTTATGAGTATTCATATTTAAAGGGAAATAAAGAATTTAGTCAGCTGTTTCAACTAAAAAAGTTGGTTCTATGATATGGAAAAGCTTTAAAAAGTTATAAGATTTACCAACAGGGTGCAGCACTATATTTTTTTTGCATTTATGAAAACAGCTAATTTGAACTAAGCAGCAACAAAAAACTGTGATTCACAATGAGAACTGTCAAAGTAGGATTGTTTACAGTTATGTTTATGTTTTTCATTTCATGAATAATTTGTGATATTTTGAGAATTGTTGATAATTTATTTTTCTCTATTGTTTAGGTGAAGTGGTAGAACATAAACGGCTATGGTAGATGTGTAACACTATAGAATACTGTAAATTTAAAAAAGCAAATTTGATCAAACTGTGTCCTCCCTTATTGCAAACGCCAAGCTTGAGTATAACTGCAATAAGCATTTTATACTTATATTTAAACCCCGTACGAAGGACGGGTACTCTGGTAGTTCAATTTATAAAGGGATTCTGCACATCTACAGGTCAATATCTTTTATTTGGTACCAACCATGTATAATTCGGTCCAGTGGTATGGTCAGGCTAGCTGTCATAAGTTTTGCAAAAGTTTTTTAGTATATAAGATAGATTTACCTTATTAAAATCAGGTGTGATTATTTGTTTTTTTTCAGCTTAGGTAACTTAACAGAAGACATTGGGGATATACTTTTGCACCTCTAACAGAATGTATAGCATCACTCCCCTCTTGAGGGAACACCATTACCGCAACAATACGTTACGCAGCCATCGGTGATCGTGGCGTAGTGGGTAGCGTACTCGACTCATGTTCGGGAGGTATCCAGTTCGAATCCCGCCGGTGACATTAAAATTTTGTTAAAGATTTTTGCTTAGAATGTGATTATTCCTTAACTGTACTTTTTTGTTAGAATTTGAGGCTTTTATAATTTTATTTTATGAACAATTTTTTTTTAGTAAACCTTTGTCCTATTTTTATCTTATATCTTTTTAAATCATCAGTAAGTTTAGTTGGTTATGTTAGGTTATGATATTATCAAAAATATAGAAATATTTTTGATTTATTAGTAAACCTTTATTTGATTTTTATCTAATATCATTTCAATGAAATGTATTAAAGTATTATATTATCAGCGAGTTTGGTTGGTTAGGTTAGGTTATGAGAGTTTCATTTTATAATTAAAAATTATAAAATTAATTTTATGATCATCAGTTTCTCACCAGGTCCCTGAGACGCTAGTTAAACCGAGTGCCCATTGGACAGCGGTGCAAAAGTATATCCCCAACGTCTAGTTAACTTAACCAATCAATAGTTTTAATAATAGGTAGGCTACTTAAATGAAGTCAAACGGGGTGAGGCCCGTGGGTAACAGCAAGTTGTTAATTATTCACAAAAAACATTTGTACTGACAGTGACAGCTGTTTCACATTATTAAATTGCCTGTATTTCCTATACAAAACCAAAATCTACAGACCAGATAGCCAAGCAAAGGACTTAGGTTGATTAGTAAAATCCTGATTAGGCCTAAGTTATTTTAACAATTTATTTATTTCTAAACTTTGTTTTCAAAGACCCAGTGATGCTTACCAACTTTCTTCATAAGGGTTTTGAATGTGAACTTTAATTAATTTAACAGCTAGTCCTTCTAGGCCCACCCCCTTTGTTAACAACCATCTTTCACCGCATTAAACGATAAAAGTTAGGCTAAATATAAATAGTTACCGTATCAGACTAGCTCTGCTGCACAGATAAGAAAATTCGACTTTGAATAAAAAAATATTTATGTGTAACAGGAAAGGAGAGAGTCTGAAAAAAATTTATAAAAGTGTAGACCAACCTATGCTGATGGACAATGGGGGTTGAAACATGATTCGGAACTGAGGAAGTTATTAAAAGACCCACGTAATATTGTATCCGAATTACAGAGTAGATGGATAAGATGGGCAAAACATGTCATGAGAATAGAAGGTTCCTTAACAAAGTTTATTCTGGAGAATAAATCAGGGAACTTCCCGTTAACTCACTACCACTAATGATGTAGGTAATTACTCATCTTGAATTATTGAGTAACTGCTCTAAACCATATTCTAATTCTCCTGACATCCAGACAGTTAAATGGACCCTTGTTGATAAACATGAAGTATATTCTTTGGTCGGTAAACTTAGTGGTTCCCGTAGTGAAGATTTGTTTGGACTCTCCAATTTTACTCTAGTAGGCCTACTACATAGGCCTAGTTGATTTTATCCTGGAACCTTTACATCCTATTTTAGGAACCCAACATCTTATAAATTTTGCTTTAATTGAAGGCAAGTTTACTGATTGTTCAAAAACCTCCAGAGTAACGCCAATTCACAAGAAAGGTGACAATATTACTATGGCTTTAGGAACTGTGAACTAAACATCATTCAATCCTAACTTGGAAAATGTAAACAGCAGGTCGTGATAGGTGATAAGATTATTCAGATTTTTTTAAATTGAATGCTGGTGTTCCGTAGGGATCCATTTTAGGACCTTTCCTGTTTAGATTTGTATTAACAGCTTTAGTTTTTAATATCCCTACTCAATCAATACTTTATGCTGATGATACTAGGTACCCTGTTCTGTAAAGATGATAATATTTTAACAGTTGGGTCTGATCCTAATCATGCCCTAAACTGTGTTAAATTCTGGTATAAAATCAATACCGTAATTTGGCTATCAATGAGGAGAAAACAGAATTCATCTACTTTTCACTAAAAAAAGATCACCCCACCGATGCTTATAAAACAGTCAAACACTTAGGTATCCATCTTGACAACAGATTAAGCTGGGATAACCACATTACACAACTTTATAAAAGATTGGCTAGAATAACCTATATCTTGAGAAAACTTAGATCATGTGTAAGTTTTAATACTTTGTTAATGACTTACTACGGTTTTTTTAACTCACAGCTGCTTTATGGTTCGTCTCTGAGAGTGGTTAACATTTTGCTCAGAAAGCATTTTGTTTGGCAAAAGAAAGCCCTTTATAGCTATGCTAGGATTGCAAGATCAAGAATCCTGTAGGGATCACATTTCCAATTTAAATTTGCTTACCCTGCCATCTATGTACATTCTTTGAAATTTAATTTACATAAAAAACAACCTATCAAATCAAATCAAATCAAATCAAAGCTTTATTTTCCAATAGACATTACAAATGCATGTGGAATGGTCAATGAAGGTATTATGTTGGTAAACATTTGTCAAGGAAGAGTACAATAGATGTAGAGTACAAGGTCAAATCAAAATATACAAAGATAATATAAAATACATGCAGATGAGGATAACTATAATAGAAAAAAAAGTACAATCAATTACTCAATATTTAATGGTTTAGGAAATTCTAAAAAATCATTAAGTTTGTAGAACGGATTCTTTACTAGCCACATATGAATTTTAGCTTTAAAAACTTTGTAAGGAAGTGATAGCAATTTGTTGGGTAATTTATTAAAACATTTTAGGCCCAGAATTTTATGACTTCTCTTTGTTTTGCTCAGTCTAACATGGGGTATATCAAATTGATGTCTGTTTCTAGTTTGAAAATCATGAAAATCACTCCTTATGGCATGTGAGTCCATTTCCTTAAAACTAGTTAACATGATATTAAATATATATAAATTAATAACGGTTAAAATATTAAATTCAATAAAAATGGGGCGACAATGTTCCTCAGGATCAACCCTAGCCATTATGCGCAGGACCTTTTTTTGTAATATTAAGACATCGGAGACATGAGAACTATTACCCCAAAAAATGATACCATAGTTCAAGGCAGACTGAAATAAAGCAAAGTAAACTGATCTTAAATAACTAATAGGAACTAAATCATTAAGCTTACGAAAAAGGCAGATCATTCTACTTAACCTAGTACAGAGTTGCGTTATATGATCAGACCAAGTCAGTTGTTTGTCAATATGGACACCTAGAAACTTTACCACATTGGACAGTTCAGCTTCAAGTGGGCCTATATCATGTAGAGGTCTAAGGCAAAATATGACTGATTGTGTTTTGTCTTTGTTCAAAAGAAAACTATTAGCTGAAAACCACTCAGCAGCAGTATAGACTGTGTTTCTGACAGTTGACTTAAGATGCAAAAGGTCACTGTGACAAGATAGCAAGGTGGTATCATCCGCATAGAGATAGGAATTGCAACTAAGATTCATAGGCAGATCATTTATAGCAATTAAAAACAGAAGGGGGCCCAAGACGGAGCCTTGAGGTACCCCACAGTTGCTGAGGGCGATGGAGGACCATTCACCATCAGCGTATACCGCCTGTCTACGATTTGCTAAATAAGACCACAAAAGATTTAGAGCACTGTTTCTGATTCCATAAAACTCCAACTTATGAAGCAAGATCTAAGAAGCAAGATCTCTATTAAAATCTTTCGGCTATTCTCATCCATACAACACGAGGCACAAAAATAACCTAGTCACACCTCAAATTCGACTTTCAAAATCTTTAAATAGGAACCTAGCCATTTTTAAATGCAGCATATTTTCTTCAATGAGCTACCTACTTGTTTTCGTAAACTACCTTGAAACCAATTTAAAAGAAAGATTGGGTAAACTTAGGCCTACTGAGTTTTTAAAATCAAAAGCATTCTGCACTCAGGAAGAATTTTTAAATAGGCCTAATGACATATCATGTTTAGAATCTAAATAGGATAATAGGATAAATAGGATATTGTAGGCCTATATAGCCTACCGTAATGAAATTTATAACTGATGTATGATAATATTTTTAACTTTCCGTAAGTACTATTGTAACAATGCCTATTACAAAATGTTATGTTTAATGGCTGCAATAAATCTTATTGGCTCTTATTGACTAGTCCACTAGTGGATTGTGGTTAGGTTAGGTTTTTCTAACTCTAAACTAACCTAACCTAACCAAAGTTTAATTCACTACCACTTCTAATAATCTAATGCTCAAAAAACTAGTGGTAGGGAATCAACAGAAAAGGTCCTAAATCAGAAGGCAGAGAACCCCTTGGAAGGCTAAAAGCTGAGATAGTTGGACCAAGTGGGAAAGGAGACTGGGAAAAAAAGTAAGGAAGAGGCAAGCAATAAATATGAATGGAGGCATTGTGTTGGGGAGGCCAAGTATCACTTGGGTGGCCTACTTAGTGGCTAAAGCAGTTTTTGAATTTAAAAATTTAACTATGCAAAAAGAATAAATTGGTCAAGCAAATTTTAGTACGAAAATGTGTACGATTCAACCATTTCATATCTAGATTTTAAACATTACTTTTAAATATAACCACTCTTTACTAGGGGTTATCCCAAACCCTCCAGGCCCCCCTTATAGAAAAGTTAGATGGACGCTATGGGTATGACCATAGACAAAAGAAATACCGTACCATAGTCTATTGTCTGTGGTATGACCTAAATGTATCGAAAGGCTTGCGTGTGCAAGGGGTGTCAATCAACGGGTTTTTTTATAATAGAGACTGGTTAAATCTGGGAATTTCTAATCCAAATTAGAATCTAAAAAATTGAGGATCATGCTGAGTAATATTCCACTTATTACAGATTGTACCATATGTTGTAGAATCTACAGGGAACATGCATTGATGTTCTATCATTTACTTTCCTTTGAATAAATTCTGAAAATAATCATGGACTTTCAAAACTATTTTTAGGCTACCCGGTATGTCATAAATGCAACAATGTTGTGATCATTTCACATGTTGCTGCAACATTGTAGGCTTTTTTGTTATAATATTTTTAGATTTTTTTAGATGTTCTACCTGTGCTTCGCAACGGGGCAAGAATGCCTAATCTACTGATTAACTCAGGAAAACTTAAGCAAAAATAAACGGTATCAGCAATCTGACACACGCCTACTTTCTCCAAATAGCCGGTGGGGTGGAATACTGAGCTTTTAGTCAAGTGTTTTAAAACCAATAACCTCAACAGATCTAAAGCTGGAGACTGATTTTACCCAGGTTTAGGAAAAAACTTACTTAAAAAACATAGTTTAAAAGGCTTAACCCTCTGAGTGTTTTGTGTCGCCGCAGCGACTCACAAACGCTGTTTACGGCAAAGGCTCTATGACTGACAAAATCGGATTGAACTGGATCGAGTTAGGTATCGTTTTATTTTACAGATTCAGAGCTTTCTCCGGAGGTCTGTCTCTAAGCGCTATTCATTTTAGGCCTAGTTCCAAAAATATTGTAGCAGACAGCTGACGTGCATATTTGTAAACAGCTTGGTTATCCTCGGACCGATGACTGATGTGTTTTATTACGTTTATCATTGTTTTAGTGTTAAAAATCAAAAGTAGTGATATACGTGGTGCATTATAAGAAGACTTAAGTGATTTTGAAGGGCTGGTTGATGATCCTGAAGAAGTAAGTAGTGATATTGATGTAAATTATCAGCCAGATTCCTAGCTATGGTTAGGCTATGCATTCTTAGCTATGTACTGAAATCTGTTTTTTGCCCATAACTTATTTATTTGCAAATCTACTTCCTTATATTATAATATATTTGTAATCCTCATAAAATTTAGAACAAAGTGGCTATTTTCAAATACTTATAGGCCTATAATTTATACAATTTCATTGAGCGCGAACTTATTTTTTAATTTTCCAAAATAGCCTATTTTTTTTACCTAAAAAAATTTTTTGAAACAAATGTTCCTTATCTTATGTTCTAATATTGAAGTCCATGATTTTCCAAACAAAATGGTATATAGAACAGTATAAGTAATTAACATTGTTTTCAAGCTTCTCAGATCCGTTTTAATAAAACCTTGCAAATGAGCAAAAAATAGGCAGACATTAAGGCCAAAACAAGGGACACTCGGAGGGTTAAGTTATTACTGAGTTTGTGATTTCTTCGCTGACAGATGAGTTAGTTCCAGTGATTTGAGTTACGGTAAGTTAGTTAAATCAAAAAAATCAAATTGTTTTAGTTAAGTAGGCCTACCTTTTCAGTATTTTGTAGGACTAGGCCTAAGTACCTAATACCTTAATCTTTCCTTCTTTACTTTCCTTCTTTACTATCTTTCTTCGTACTTTCCTCGAGCCTTATTCAGAACAGTGGGGCATTAGTGGCAAACTTAATGCATTTCCTAGAAAACGAGAATTTTCAGCAGCACTTAGGTAGGCTAGGCCTATTCAGGATAGAAAAGTTTTGACTAGGTAGGAAGACCTAACTAGGCCTATAAGTAGCCTACAGTCATGATTAAGTTTAGTGGTTCACAAACAGACTTGAAAAATGTTTTGAGCCCATTAAAAAACTTAATCTTTAGACTTGAGCAATTTACGATTTCAAGGGTAAATTTGTTATGCTTCGGCTTTCGGCCACTGATAACCGAGATTTCTAAGACGAGCTTGATTTAACTCCTAGGAATGGATCTATTTAAAATATAAACAAACCATGTCAATGAGCATGAAGTGATAACGCTAGCGAGTAGTTTAAAGTATTTCAATTGTTAACCGAGGTACCATACATTAGCTGGATGAAGTGAGGATCGAATTATCATTTTTCTGTTCAGTTCCTCTTGTCTTTTGGTGTAAATATTGGCAAACAAAATGACATGGAAGCACGGCGAGAATCTCGCTATCACTGCAGACTGCAGGTGCAAAGAATAAATCTTGGCTTTGGCTTAAGTAGGCATGTTACTTTCACCATCAGCTTTGGAATCAAACATTTACTTACCACAGACAAATTATAAACCACTGAAACACGAGTCACTTGAAAGTAAATAGTTCTCTAGCCAGAAACAAAAATAAAATTTCAACCATTATTGTTTCTGTTTCACGAAACACTTCCTATCCTATCATCGCACATTACTCATTACTCAGTCTCAGTCTCAGTTCTCAGTCAGTGCAGTGTTCTTTTCTTCAGTCTCTTCCAATCGCCATCAGCTTTGTATTCTTCTTTCTTCATAAACTGTTTTGTGATAATGTGCAGACACTCAGCAGTCAGCATTGAGATATAGATTATAACTGGAGTCACTACTCTCTGGTTAAACGTTAGAGAAAAACGTGCCACTGTTTTGGCTGGTTTGTTTTTGGTGTTTCGTGTTGTTAGGTTGGCCGTGTGATCGGTTGGTGGGATGCTGTCAAATAATTCCAATTCATTCCACTGAGCTATAATAATAACTGGAGTAACCACTCTGTGTTTTAAAAACGTACCACTGTTTTTGCTGGTTTTGTTTCAGAGTTTCGTTTCGTTAGGTTGGCCGGGTGATCGGGTTGGTGGGACTTGTCAAATTAGGATAGCGCTGGGTTCACAACGATATGGTAGGCATACGGTTAAGTATCGATCGTCGTAGTATGAAAACAAATACTATCGAATATCGTAAATCGATTGGCTTCCATAGCGCCAACCAACCAACCAAAACGTAAACAAACAAGTTTAGCTGCTAACTCATGTTTTCCAATTTTTATTTTATTTATAAAAATGTCATCGTATTTACTTATTAATTGTTTAATGTAAAACAGATTGCAAATAACACTTTTTTTAAAATAACCAAACCAACCAAAACCGACAGGCTGAATTTTTATCTCAGGATTAGTGTTGCCTACAGTATTATTTTGAGGCTTCTGGCTGAGGGAACATCATTACCGCGACGATACGGATGATGCCATCGGCCTCGGTGGTGTAGTGGATAGAGTGCTGGGCTGATGATCCGAAGAACCCGGAATCCGAAGAGAATGAATTGGAATTATTTGACAGCATCCCACCAACCGATCACACGGCCAACCTAACAACACGAAACACCAAAAACAAACCAGCCAAAACAGTGGCACGTTTTTCTCTAACGTTTAACCAGAGAGTAGTGACTCCAGTTATAATCTATATCTCAATGATTCATTCTAACCTAACCATACTATTTATTTGGGGTTATGTTATCCGTTATTTCAAGGACTTGTATAAAAAACTTATTTAAGTTATTGGACGCTAAAACCTCTGTATTTAAAGTTATTTTGAAACATTATAAATTGTTTTTGTTTGATAGTAAATAAATACTAACTTATTTACCTCTTTTCAAGCTATGTGGTGAAAATAGGCTAGTCAAGTTTCCTGGTTTGGAGATATTGGTTTAGGCCAATTAGCCCTATGGCATTTGATTAAATATCGACCATCGGTTTATGATCTTGTTAAAATGGGTTGCTCTTGCTCGTAAATTAAATAAATAAACTTATATTGCAATCATAATGTTGAGTTGGCAGATTTTTGTTTACTAAGTTGGATGACGCCATCTTGATTTTGCCTCTAATTTGACGGATAGCGCTGGGTTCACAACGATATGGTAGGCATTCGGTTAAATATCGAGCTTGTTTTGTACTGGATGACAGACATCGACTTTTTAGTATCGGCTCTGGGCTCTGGCTCACCGGCTGTCTCATGTCATGGTGGAAGTAAACTATTGCCTTGGTGCCTTCTGCTGCAGCTGCTCCTATGTCTGTCGTCAATCGTCATAATGTGGCCTTGCTTGACGACGGAAGGCCATAATTTTATTCACAATATTGCAGTGAGAGTGAATGCAAATAAATAAGTACAACATAATATCTGAACCTGGCATAAAATTTGTCAATGAAAATGTTTATTATCCAATTACAGTAAGACTGATAACCAGCATGATGAATATATAAGAACTTAAATTACGGAGGAATTTTAAAATTAATATTCCAGTATCTTGTGCAATTAACGCCAGATAAATGACCACCCCCTTACTTTTAAAAGCGTTTAGACGACCTTTGCATATTTCCTCCATAATAATGCACTATGCACCTTCCACCATGCTATGCACCATGAAACTGATCAAAAGGAACAATGTTGGAATAAATTAAATAACATAATTAAATCAAATATTTTCCTCTCCTTTTAGGCTAGTGCTAGTAGTTTTTGTTGTCTCTGTCTTCTCTCCTTCTGTCTGTCGGTGGCACAATTTGTTTTTCAGGATTAATTTTGCCAACAGTGTCATTTAGAGGCTTCTGATTGACTATAACGAAGGTTTAGTAATTGAAAATTTTTTTTGTTCATAGAATAAAATTATAAATGCCTCAAATTCAATTTTATATTTTTTTTATGAAATTAAACTGTCATAACCTAACCTAACCAACCAAACGTGCTGACAATGAAAAAATCTAATGAAGGTTTATTAATCGAAAAAATAGTTCTGTTCATAAAATAAAATTATAAATGCCTGAAATCCTATTTTATAATTTTTTTATTCTAAAACTAAACTATCATAACCTAACCAAACTAACCAGACTTGCTTATAATGAAAAATCAAATGAAGGTTTAACCGAAAAAAATCTGTTCATAAAATAAAACTATAAATGGGTCAAATTCAATTTCATAATGTTTTAATTATAAAATTAAACCGTCATAACCTAACCAAACCAACCAAACTTGTTGATAACGAAAAAAACGCAATACAAAAAAATAAAGCTACGGGTGGGATTCGAACCCGGGTTCTTCGGATCATCAGCCCAGCACTCTATCCACTACACCACCGAGGCCGATGGCATCATCCGTATCGTCGCGGTAATGATGTTCCCTCAGCCAATCAGAAGCCTCAAAATAATACTGTAGGCAACACTAATCCTGAGATAAAAATTCAGCCTGTCGGTTTTGGTTGGTTTGGTTATTTTAAAAAAAGTGTTATTTGCAATCTGTTTTACATTAAACAATTAATAAGTAAATACGATGACATTTTTATAAATAAAATAAAAATTGGAAAACATGAGTTAGCAGCTAAACTTGTTTGTTTACGTTTTGGTTGGTTGGTTGGCGCTATGGAAGCCAATCGATTTACGATATTCGATAGTATTTGTTTTCATACTACGACGATCGATACTTAACCGTATGCCTACCATATCGTTGTGAACCCAGCGCTATCCTAATTTGACAAGTCCCACCAACCCGATCACCCGGCCAACCTAACGAAACGAAACTCTGAAACAAAACCAGCAAAAACAGTGGTACGTTTTTAAAACACAGAGTGGTTACTCCAGTTATTATTATAGCTCAGTGACACTCAGCATAGATAGCGGAATACACAATGAGTATTAATATCCCCGCCGCAGCAAACCTGCAGACTAAGCGAATTTCAACTTGTCTGATTATATTATTTCTACTAAAATATTTCCATAAATAAGTCATAGGTTATTTATTCCCTATTTAAATAACAATAGATTTAACGAGTGCTTAGGTTTGCTGCTACGGGGAAGGTAAAAAGTGTTTTTTGACCATACATCAATAGTATAGGATGAAATAAATAAATTTGCATAATGTTATCAATATATATTCATAAACAATTAAAGTACAACAATTTTCATTTTCTCCATAAGAATAACATGGGAATTTTAAATTACACTATTTTTGAATTTTCTCCGTGACAGTTAGGCATACAACAGCGCTTCAGTATACTAAATTATTTCTTTTTTTAAGCTCTACAAAATGGTTTAGAAAGAAATTGCAAATTTTTTTGTTTTTAGGGTAAAAAAATGGGAAACCCCCATTTTTACCCCATAAACCCCTGTTCCTATGGTCCGATTATGTTGGATCGCGAACTCGTTCGAATAAATGTAGGTTTACACGTTTGTACTAAATTTCATCAAAATCGGATCATTTTTGCTCGAGTTATCGCGCTAACGGACAGATATATATGAATTTGAACGCATGGTGTTTTTGGCCTCTAGGGACCTCAAAACGAAAAAAAATCGGTCCCGCGTCCAGGTCTTACCATGAGTACTACGGTAATAGCTTATTCCCTATATGGGAAATTCGCTAAAATGAATACCTATTAAAAATAGTTATGTTATTTTTATAAATATGGTTTGCTGTAAATGCATTTAGTTTTAGGGCCATTTTGCATGAACTGTAGTGTAAGTGAGCCGTCTTTATTGAGCGAAGCTCACTTTCCCTCACTTTGTAACTTCTTTGTAAGGGCATCAGAATGTAATGGCTTGACCAATTGATATGAAATTTGGCCAACAGCTAAAGAATACTGAGCACAATGTTTTGGTAAAAAATATTTGCAAATTTCCTTCTGGATTTTATTTTACCGGTCATGTAATTTCGCTTATTATTTTAATGTAAGCTGAAAGAAAAATTATATTGGGTTTATGACATATGGGTTTATCTCGTTTCATTTAAATAAGATAAACATATGATAATTGTTTGTAACTGTTTTGTTTACATTTCAATGTTTACTTTCATCCTAGGTTAAAGTTGGAATGTAACAGTTTATCAATGGAAGTAATAGTTTTGCTATATTTGTTTTGAGCATGCCTCAAAGGCCACGTCGTAATATTGGTCGTCGCACCGATAATGCAAATATTGTAAGAGAGTGGCGTCGTGAACAAGAAGAACCAGATGAAGCAGTGGCGGAAGAAGCTGATAATGATAGGCAGTTAGCTAATCAATTCCAACATGAATTAGATGCAAAAAAATGTTACACTTGCACTAACTGTCATCGCCAACAACTAACAGCTTCAGACCAATCACCGATTTGTTCGCGTTGTTGTTCAAATGCAACTAAATTCACGGTGTTAAATAATATGGATAAGTGTCCCGAACGAATTAAATGACCTGACGATTGTAGAACAAATGTTGATTGCACGAGTACACCCTGCTATGCCCATTTACAAAGTACAAGCAAATGGTCAGGATGGCCAGTTTCACTACAAAGGTGCAGTATAAACTATCAGATAAATTTGTCATTCTTTAGAATTGAAATAATATCGGGCAAACAAACGGTGAATCTGTTGAAAGGGAACATATTGAAGGGCTGCTTTAGCCATTGACAATCTTTAAATAATGCTTCGCTCATTTATGCGTCTAAAGTGTAACGGCAGACCACCCTAGTTACTATCATACGCTCATAGTCACTATGATCTGTAGAGTAAGTGAGCCATGTGTTTTAAGAATTACATGGTGGAAGTGCTGAAGTAGGAAAAAAATTATAGTGTAAAGACAAAAACGACGTAATCGTAAACGTCAAATCTAAAACCAGCTGAGCTGACTGGACTTGGTTTACTGGTTTACACAATTTTATTTATGAAACAATGTCTGGGGCTGGCGTTTTTGATATTTTATCCCTTAACTTATTTGCAAATCGTAATTATTGTGATTCGATTTGATCTTCCTCTTGCATTTAATTGTCATCAAATGTTCACGTGAGATATCCAATCTTAAAGTGAAATAATTTTAATAATCAAGATCATTTGGCTATGAATAAGGTGTTTTCAATATTACCTCAACTAACTTATTAGTTTAGTAAAATTTTATTTTTGCAAAAGATGAGTGGACCAGAAGTTATAGGAGACGTGGAAAAAGATAACCAAACAAAATTAAATGAATCCCACATTACTTACTGTGATGTAGCTAATAAATTGTTAAAAGACAGGTTTTTGTTGACAGCCCTAGAATTACATTCAGAGCTTGTGGAATGTGGAAAAGAAATTCCAAAACTGAAAGAGTTTTTTTCCAACCCTGGCAATTTTGAAAATCAGTTTTCAAAAGCAGATTTCTGTGCAATACGTAAGTAATATTTAAACTCAACTCCATTAGCATGTCTCTACTATTCCTAAATCAAATGAGCTAGATAGCCTTATAGCCTACCTAAAGCCCATTTTAGAGTTTTAAGTCACCGTTTTCGATTACCCACCTCTTTCGACTTTGATGACCAGCTCTATAGACAGACTCATAAAAAAACGCTTAAGTATAAGTTACCTATATTAAGTTACATATGTACATTCTCACTAGGTAAGTTACATCTCGCCGGCAGGTTAGACACATAGGCCTGCTTCTTAAAAAACTCATTGAAGGATTAACTAATATAGGCCGTTGCCAGTAGCCACTCTCCCAACTGGTTTTAAAATCAGAAGCTCCAATGTCAGAAATCCCCTAATGTTTGTATTCACACACCCATTCACCCTCCAGCAAATCTAGGCCTTCCAGCCAAGTGACAGCCTTCCAATCAAGATACAGTACCTACCTACCTATCTAGAACCCCTTATATCCGTCCATGACGGATCCGGGCCATGATCAGAACGGCAAAAAGGTCTGATATCAGTAGGAGCATAATCTGCAGTCTTCTCCAATACCGTAGCAACAGCCGGTAGGCTCCAATATCGTCTCCTGTTACTCCGCGGCAACACCCGTTATCGGCAACAATGGTAAGTTAGTTGTCTGCCAAAACTACAGCCCTCAAAATTTGCGATTGGCCTTTCGGTTAACCGATCGCGCTCAGCGTTATCACCCCAGACAGGAAACAAGTAGACAATCGGACACCAGGTCAGATATTCTGAGGTGAGATATGAGGGGTTTTACTGTAGGTAGTGTTCTTACAGCACTGCTGTCAGTCTGGTACATGATTTTAGGCATCTGATTTATAAGGGCAGGGAGTTCCAAAGGTTACTTGCTGTTACTGTAAATCATCTATTAAAACAGTTGTCTTGTGGCAAGGAATTTGGAGAATTTATGAGCCAGAGCGGATATTTATTGCCAAGTTTTCTTTCAATCGAAATCTAAAACTGTTTGAGAGACAATTTGGAATTTTCAGATTGATGGTGGGAATGAGTTAATTAATAATGTGAATGGTAGCTCCTTAACATCAGACCTAGTTTTAAAATAAAAGAATGTATATAATACAGTAACATTCGATCATCTGGTCGAGGATCATAGAAAATATGAATACAGTAATTTTGAGCTGTTGCAACTGTATTCCCAAAGGCACAGACTATCATTAACACGTTCAGTGCTAGGGGCAGGAAATGTCGTCCCGTCCTCCTTGCACAACAACAATCTTGCTTCAGTGTGAGCTCAGCCTCGCCCGGGGAATGTTGTTTTAGATTGCTGCTTGTTGTGCCAGTATTATACTTCATTTCAGTACCTATAATTTGTTTTCAGATAAGTTACGACTATTTTATTGGTGGAAGGGATTGTAAGTAGGCTTGTTTACAGTTATGTTTATGTTTTTAATTTCATAAATAATTTGTGATATTTTGTGAATTTTTAATAATTTATTTTTCTCTATTGTTTAGGTGAAGTGGTAGAACATTATGGCTATGGTAGATGTGTACTATATTAAATACCGTTAATTTTTAAGAAGCAAATTTTACCAGACTGTGTCCTCCCCCATTGCAAACGCAAAGCTTGAGTACCGTATAACTGCAATAAGCATTTTATGCTTATATGTTAACCCCGTACGAAGGACGGGTACTCTGCTGGTAGGAAATAAATCTGAAAATTTTCAGAGAACATTTTAGTAGAAATCCAGCCAGGTAAATGGAAATTCGCTTAGTCTGCAGGTTTGCTGCGGCGGGGGTATTTAAATTTTTATTTTTTTGGACTGTTCATTAAACATGTGTTGTAATTTAGCTCGCTCATCTAGTCAAGCCACTTTGGACTCATTGGACATATCGAGGTTTTCTGAAGATGGTGAGCACAGAGTGGATGAGAGGGTGGCAGTTCTCGAGTTTGAACTTCGGAAAGCCAAAGAAACGATTGTTGCTCTACGAACTAATCTAACTGTTGCTACAGGTACTGTTTACAATTGGTCAATTCCAGAAGCCATGTAATATTCTTCCATAGACTGACATAAAGACTTAGGTATTTAGACAGTCAAGTAAATATTTGTTATTTATTTCCCAATGTCATAGGCTATTTTTTTACTGGATTTCAATGTTTATAATTCATTAGAGCATGGACAAATCAAGTTAAGCTGTAGTACTCTGATCATCATTTTATCATATAAAGATTATCTGGATAGCTAATAGATTATAGTAGGATACTCTAGAGGTTGGTGGTTCGATCTTAAACTTGACCTGGATGGCAATTGTCATTGGCTTTTTAGTGGAAAGAACCTCATATTAGAATAAGACTTTATTTTTATCTGAAGAAATACCTGAAATGAAAAGTCTAAGGATTTTCCACCAAAATGATTGATTTAATTGAACATGCTTTTTAACGTAACCAAGCAATTGGTTAGTATGAATCAGTTTTTGTAGAGAAGCTTAAAATATACTCATCCTTGTTTTGTTTTTCTCTTCATATTAACCAAAAATAACAAAACCATTTAACCATCTGTCAGCTAATAATTAGGTGACAACTAAATTAGGCTATATTTAACATTTTAAGTCTGGTCACATCACTACAGCTTTAATTTAAACTAATGACACTATCTACGAAAAGGTGGCCATTACAAAATAACGAGACCAGTGATCAGGCCAAAAAATGAATGTCAATTGGGTAGGAAAAGACAATAAAACATAGTACATCACCATCATCCCCGTCTATTTTAGACAAACAACTGCTTTGAAATGTATGTCAACAATAAAATAGCAGGTAATTAAAAGTTAGCCTAATAGTAGACAACTATTCAAATATTTACCGTTTTCATTTATTTTCTAATTTTCTAAAAATCCAAACAGTAAATAACATGTGTTTGCAACAATTAATGCACAAAGTGCTTGCAGAGTGTGAGACCCCAACGACAGAGAATTTGAAGGTATTACAAGTGGAACCCATCAAGCCTCATGAGCAGCGAGCACTCAACTTTCTCATCAACGAGTATCTGCTGATGCATAACTACAAACTCACCTCCATCACGTTTGCTGATGAAAACGAGGACCAGGTAGTGCAAGAATCATACATAGGAGATGTTTATCATTCAAGTAGGCCTAAACCCTATTAGTGGGATAGCGACTAAACTAAAACTGTAGTACTTTTACCGGTTACTTTTATTATGTTTGATGTTGAAAATGATGATCAGCTAGTTCAATATTTTTGATAGGTACTAGGTGTTATTTTATTTCTTACTTAAGTTAAACCCTATGAGCAAGTAAGTAACCATACAAAACTATTAGTACCTTTAACTATCACGTCCATTTTGTTTGTCGATGAAAATAAGAATAAATTATAAAGTATTGGTGTGAAAATCCATGCGTCTAGGTGTTACTTTTCACAAGGTTATTATAACGATACTTTAAAAACGTAACCAGAATGTAACTTTACAAATTACGATTACAACTACAGGCAGAAACGCGAGTTATCTATGCGTACCTGTGTCTCGTACTCGACTGAAGCTCCGATCGTTTCTCTAGGCCTTTCCAGAAGCGTAGGGGCAAAGTACAAGGGTCGTCTTCATTGTCTCTACCGAGCGCTTCCTCTTGCTATTGTGTTATGTAGGCTACATGTTGAAAACCAAATGTCCACTTCTTGACTTTATAATATTAACTAAATATCTTGAGGTATAATATAAAATAAATAATAATCTTCCGATTTATAACAAAGGTTAACTGTATGAACTTAATGGTGACCAAACTAAGTCAAAAGTATCTTCACCCATCACGTCGAATTGCCGATGAAAGTGTGGATCAAGTGTATATACTCCTAATAGCTTTTGAGTATATGAAAATTTACCCTTTTAAACTCCATAGTAATCACTGATTTGATTATATCCATTCTTGTGAACACGTCTAAATTATTCCATTAAAGTTTTTGGTAGAGATACACATCAAGGACCAGTAAACAGTAGGCCAATGTCTGATTTGTGATGCAATTCACAAAGAATCTAGTAAACTTCCGCTTGAGCCATCCCCCATTAATTTTAGGTGGTCCTTTTTATTTCCAGGCTCATTTACTAGAGTGGAAGTGCACTACAGGCCTACTAAAAGATTAGAAATTTTTTTTAATTCATGTGATAACAGAACCACTCATGATTACTTAACTAATCTTTTTGAGTAACATGCACATGTTCCTATATGACTTTCTTTTTAAATAATGAGGAAGAATTGTAAAATTACTTGAAGTGCTTGTTAACAAACAAACTTGTTGCATATAAGTGGATTAAGCATGTATTTCTGTAGGATTTCGAGGACTGGGATGATGTAGGCCTTAACATTCCAAAGCCATCTGAACTGCTGCAGCTTTACCGAGATGCCATGAGACAGCCAGCGCATGGATTCACGACCAAGGACCATGCTTGTCAGGCAGATATCCCTGACATTAACCTTACTGCTCAGATCAGCGCATTGGTGAGTAATATTATGTGTCAAGACTTAATAGGGATGGACGGGATTGAATTTTTTGTTCCGGACGGGACGGGATTTTTAAATGGGTAGAAATTTACAGGTATAGAAACTTGTGACTCGCGGTCACGGCACGATCGTCGGTATGACTTCACGGTCATGGCGTGATCGTCGGTATGACTCCCGGCCACGGCATGATCGCGATCGTCGGTATGACTTTGCGGTCTCGGCAGGGTCATCGAATTGACTCACGGTTATTGTGAACATCTCTCGCGAAGCGGCAAAATCGCCGACAATCGGATCAAATCCTGTCCCGAAAAATTCCCGAATCAAATGTAATCCCGTCCCAAAAATCGGGAATATTTTTCCCCTTGTCCATAAAAAAACCCCTAATAAAATTAGATTTGTTCGAGGCTGACTCACCAGAATGCATGACTTAAGGCGAGGGTAGGTAAACGATGAGTGTTAAAAGAATGAGATATTTCACTCAGATCAACTCACTCATCTAGGACTGCCAAGTCGTGCAAAACAGTAAACAGAAAAGTATTGCTACTCAATAATTATAAGATAATACCCTCGCCCAAGCAAACCTGCAGACTAAGCGAATTTCCATAAGCCTGATTGGATTTACTCTTAAATGCCTCTTTAAAAATATCACATTTATTCCCTATTTAAATAGAATTAGTTTAACGAGTACTTAGGTTTGCTGCAACAGGGAGAGTTATGTTAATAGTTTAGTAAGACATGAATCTATTTTCCAAATTCTATCAAAATATGTTCATAAACAAGCAAACTACAACGGTAGACTTATTCTTCATAATAATAACATGAGTAATAATAACAATTTTTTGGAATTTTCTTCGTAACCATTAGGCACAGTAACGCTTCAATATACTAAATTATTTGATTTTTTAAGCTCTACAAAATGGTTTGAAAAGAAGTTGTGAAATTTTGTGTTTTTAGGGTGAAAAATGGGAAAACCCTATTTTTACCCCATAAACCCCCATTCCCATAGTCCGATCATGCTGGTTTGCGAACTCGTTCGAGTAAATGTAGGACGAATTGCCTATTGGATCTGATGATGATTGGAGTGTCCAATCAAAATCGATCACCACTTACCATCTTTTTTGTATATTTATCGTCTTGTGAGTAACAGTAAAGCGTAAATATATGTTTTAAGTGTTATAAGATGTTTCTTTTATTTACTTTCTGTAAATTTAATAACACGTTCAATGCTAATCAAGAAGTTATTCAATAATAATTCCTAAAAATTTTAAATCATTTACTTTATTAATTTTAGAATCAGTCTTCAAAATTGTCTCATTGGTTTTATATTTATTTGTACCAAAGGAAATGTAACTACTTTTTTTCATTTAAAAGTAAATTTTTGCTGTTTACTTGCTGTTTAAAAAAAGTTTTTAACCTTGATAATAGAGTGAGAATAAGAATTTTGTTCAGCTTTGAGAGTTTTACCTGTCACTAAATCGCTTGTATCAGACGATACAAGCCATTTACATAGCAAAGTTGGCCTATATACTTACTTACTTACTGCTGGGGCGCTACAAATCGCAGTCGATTCTTCGCCTCGTAGATCAGCCTCTTCCACGCTTCTCTGTCCGCTGCCATCTCCACTATATGCACTATATGCAGACGCATATTGGCCAACTTTGCTATCTGTTCCTAAAATTAAACTAGGTAACCCTTTTGGCCTTTAAATAGTACAAAAATAGAAGCGGTGCTAGGATAGATCCTTGGGGTGCTCCATGCTTGATAGATTGTATTGGTGAACTATGAAATTGTATAACATTTTTTGTACTTAGCCCTTTTGTGACAGTATATTGTTTCCTATAATTAAGATATGATTTAAACCATTCTATCTTGCAATATTTTATTCTTAAGGACTGTAATGTTCTTATTAATTCTGGATGATTCACACTATAGGATCTAGAAAGATCCCCAAAGTTTTATTCTTTTTATCTATACTTTCAATTATTGATGTCACAAAATCTACTCTAGCGGTTGTCGTTAACCTTCCAGCCCTACCCATGCTGACCTTCATCAAATAATTTGTGTTTCTCTATAAAATCTAATTGATTGTACACTTTTTCAAACATTTTAGAAAAATTTGATAGTAGGGAACCTGGACAGTATTTGAGAGGATTGGTTTCTAACCCTTTTTTAAAAATTGGAATAACTTTTGCTATCGTTAATTTGTTGGGAAATATACCGCGGATTAAAGAAGAATTTACTAAATGTGTTAAAGGTTTTGAAATTTCATGTTTGATTGATTTTAACCCTTTGCTGTCGATTGGAGAGTATAGGTTGCCACTCGCCATTTTCCCAACTGCTCAAAAGTGGCAACCTATACTACTCCTCGAATGGTGATCCATAGGCCTACTACATATTCACAAAAAAAGGAAAAAAATCTATTTCAAAGGCAGGGTTGCCACCAGCCATGAAAACCTTGAAAAGCTTGAATTATGCATGAATTCTTGTGACCATGAAAAAAGGCATGAATTATGCATAAATTTCTCCATTGGACCATGAATTTTAAAAATCAGGATTAATTATTCAATTACCGTAGTACGGTACAATTAAATTTGCCAACTAAATTTTTTTTATGTTCAAAAACAGTTCATAGAAACCAACACCAAGAGAATACTGTCTGGAGATGATTATTTAACATGTTCCACGATCAGAAACAATTGCTTAGTTACTTCATTCCAAGTCATTCGATGTTATAGGTCTCGCCACCCTAAGTTGAGGCAGCCCAAACTGACCGGGAGGGTCATTACCGGCTGGTCCCGCACGACCCTTTATAATCCGATTAGTAGGGATGGACGGGATTGAATTTTTAGTTCGGGACGGGATTTTTATTTCCTTCCCGATTTCCGGGACGGGACGGGACGGGATTTTTTTCTGTGCATAAAAAGAAAGTACTGTATTGCAAGTACCAAAAAAGACATACGAAATCAATTTTTACCATTTGTGGCACTGATCTATAAAAACCAAAAAATGGGTAACAATTTACAGGTACCTATAGAAACTTGTGACTCGCGGGTCACGGGGTGATCGTCTGTATGACTCACGGTCAACGGTCATGGCGCGATCATCGTCATGACTCGCGGTCACGGCGCAATCGTCGGTATGACTTCGCGGTCACGGGGTTATCGTCGGTATGACTCCACGGTCACGGCGCGATCGTCGTCATGACTCGCGGTCACGGCACGATCGTCGGTATGACTCGCGGTCACGGCGCGATCGTCGGTATGACTCCGCGGTCACGGGGTTATCGTCGGTATGACTCGCGGTCACGGCGCAATCGTCGGTGCGGTATGACTTGCGGTCACGGCGCGATCGTCGGTATGACTCCGCGGTCACGGGGTTATCGTCGGTATGACTCGCGGTCACGGCATGATCGTCGGTATGACTCGCGATCACGGCTCGATCGTCAGCATGACTCCGCCATCACGGCATGATCGTCAGTATGACTCCGCGGTCACGGCGCGATCGTCGGTAGGACTCCGCGGTCACGGGGTTATCGTCGGTATGACTCGCGGTCACGGCATGATCGTCGGTATGACTCGCGATCACGGCTCGATCGTCGGTATGACTCGCGGTCACGGCGCGATCGTCGGTAGGACTCCGTGGTCACGGCGCGATCGTCGGTAGGACTCCGTGGTCACGGCGCGATCGTCGGTAGGACTCCGCGGTCACGGCGCGATCGTCGGTAGGACTCCGCGGTCACGGCGCGATCGTCGGTATGACTCGCGGTCACGGCGCGATCGTCGGTAGGACTCCGTGGTCACGGCGCGATCGTCGGTAGGACTCCGTGGTCACGGCGCGATCGTCGGTATGACTCGCGGTCACGGCGCAGTCGTCGGTAGGACTCCGCGGTCACGGCGTAATCGTCGAAATGACTTTGTCTCCTGCGTTCGCGGACCTATCGCTCGCAATAACGGCGTTATCGGCACTCGCGAAGCGGAAAAATCGCCGACGATCGGACCAAATCCCGTCCCGAAAAATTCCCGAGTCAAATGTAATCCCGTCCCGATAATCGGGAATATTTTTTTCCCGAAAAATTCCCGAAATTTCGGGACCCGTCCATCCCTACCGATTAGCGACACTTCAGTGAACGCTTTAGTTCAATAATTATCATTAACAAATTTTAAATCCGATGTGTGAATTTAGTCATTTACATTAATAACTTTGATTTAATTCACATTTCTGTTTTCATCCCATCAAAAACGGACGATGTTTACGGTTTGTGAGCTATAAACAAAAAACCAAGTAGTGTTTTTGTTTATAGCTCAAAAACCGTAAACATTGTCCGTTTTTGATGGGAAAAAACGGAAATGTTTGTTAAATCAAAGTTATTAATGTAAATGACTAAATTTATACATCGGATTTAAAATTTGCTAATGATAATTATTGAACTAGAGAGCGTTCACGGAAGTGTCGCTAATCGGATTATAAAGGGTCGTGCGGGACCAGCCGGTAATGACCCTTCCGGCCAGTTTGGGCTGCCTCAACTTAGGGTGGCGAGACCTATAGATGCTGATCTCATCTGAGTCTTTCCGAAGACTTAATATGGTTAGAAAAATCATTAGTAGGCCAACTCCCGCGTGTGGATAATGGGAAATGAATCACAAAAACAAAAGTTTTAGACCATGCTTGGAATTGAAACGGGGTGTGCAATAAAACAAAATTTCCGACTCTTGACGCCTGATTTTTTTAGCTTTGTGGATAAACCAATCATATCTTAGTACGTTGTGTAATAAGATAACCAGTAAACATAAAGGATATTTTATGACATTCATGTGGAGGGATAAAACAGGACTTTTTTGGCCAGGTGTGTGGGATCTTGTTGCATTCCGGTGGAAAGACTGAATTATTTAGTGGAATTACTGACCTATACTTATATATAGATATTTTACAATTCTTCTCCAATGTGTCATATAGAATAGCTGGACCCATTTTGTTTTTAACTTTGTTTTGAATGTATATTTATAAATTACCGGTACTCTAAAATAGTTGAATTTTATGTATGAAAGGTTATTCAATAATAACACGCAAAGAAACTGCCTCTTTAACGTCAATTTCTAAAATCAGCAAAAATGAGCCCATGAAATGACCATGAATTTTTTTAAACTGCCCATGAAAACCATGAATTCTGCATGTATTTTTTGATCCCACTTTGGTGGCAACCCTGAAAGGGTTAACAAAGACATTAGGACCTCATCAAATCCCGAAGAAGTTTTATTTGGCCCACTTGAAATTACTTTAATTATTTCATCTTCAGTCACTGTCCTTAACTTGAGTAGTACTGTCAGAAAAAGAAGTAGGAGTTGAATTATGTTTACATAAAAGGGACCACTTACTTACTGTTCATGGTTAAATCTTCTTGAAAGTTAAATACAAATTTTATAATAATTTTCTAGCCTTGATTTGGATTTATTTGGTCTTTTCTTCATGGGTCTTCATTTTGGCTTCCTTCTAATTCATCTTCACAGTCACATGTTGTTTATAAATCATTTAATTGTTGAAGAATTATTTTAGAGTTAATTAAAATGCTTAGATGAACAGTTTTGCCAATAATGAAATATTCTTTAAGTTATAAATGTAATATAATCAAATTTGATGTAATAACATGATGATTTGAAAATGAATTGTAATTTAAGCTTTAATAATAATAAACTAAAAAAATAAACATTGGTTAATGAATTTTGATATACTTGTTACTGAATTAAAAGTGAAAACTAATAAATACTTAAAAATATTACAAGAGTAAATAAATGTAAAGATTTTGATTTGAAGATGAGCACTTTCATAGCCATCTCTAGTATAAGGCCGCGGCGAGCGAAATCTGGCAACGTCGCATCCGAGGCATAGTCTAGCCGGCTCCCGCCATTAGTTTGCACAGATAGACGGCGCATCACCGGTGATTAACCTGTTTGTTTTACACAATTAGAGACAATATGGTATTCGTAGTGACAGTGAGTTATGCCTCATAAGTGTGTCGTGCCGGGGTGTAAAAGTAACCACCTAAAAGCATTAAAAACTGAGGAGTATATACAATTATTTCACCTTTCTTTAGAAGGTCCGCATCAAGATGAGTGGATTAGAGCTATAGCCTAAATTTAAACTTAATCAAGTACCACGTTCTGATTAAGAAAATACACATTTCCTACTTTATTAAAACTAAAGTAAAACATATTGGATACAAAATGTAAAACTAAAATATTAATAGTAATAGTATGAACAAACAGTTTTTGTACCTCTTATGTATTATCAAAATGAAAAATCAATACACTATTGATACAGATAATTTAAAATATTTTAAATAGGCAAGATGTTTTCAAAGTCTTGCGCAGTTGTGTTTTGTACATTTTATTATACATGTATTGCATACATTTCCTATGCATTTAGTCAGAGGTGTAGCAATATTTCTTCTACCTTAGTACAGTTCTGCATGGACATTCAATGACAAAATTTTGAAATATAAAACAACTAGGCATATCTCGAAACTAAGTTTGAAATTATAATATCACCGATATATTAATAGGCAAGCGTGTTTAAAACCTTTTTTCTCAGCTTGTGAGCAACGCAGAGAAAATATACGCATACTATTAGAAAGATATTTTCCTTTAGATGTGCAGAATCCCTTTATAAATGTAAATAGACAAAAAATAACATGGGCTGCCATGCTGGTGACAAAATTACAAAGAAATGAACAGAAGTAGTAAGAAACAAATCAAATAAAAGAAATTCCAATAAAATGTTTAATTTACAACGTGGGTTAATAGATAAGTCTGAATATGACATATTTTTGGTCGAGTTTTCGACAACTAGACGACCAGTTCATAATAACATTAAAAAGAATTTTAAGGGAACCTAGGCCTATTTGTAAAAGTATATATTTTCATAACTCATTAGGTTCCAAAATGGTTACGTTTTTATCACAAATATATATCGCTTGTGCATTATGCGCAACATATATTCAGGGTTGGAATTAAGTGGTGGATATACGTTTATATAAACATGTATTAATTAGTATTTCGTAATACAATCTGAAAAATGGTAAGCAGCATTTCATGCTAAAAATTAATCTATTGATCTGGCTACATTTCCATAGCTTTAAACGTGAATAAGCGCAGTTTTGGCGAAATGTTGCACGTTTTAACGCTGGCGGCAATACCCGGAGTTGGACCAGGGCGGGGATGAGTCGTGGCGTTGCCACATCGAAGGCCGCGGCCTTATTACTAGAGACGGCTATGGCACTTTACTTGTAGCACAGATTGCTTATAATGATTAATTCAATAATTTTCATCTGGGGACTTTTATTTTTGTAGACAGTAGAACTCGAGCAGACGAAGGAGAAATATAGCATTTTGGAGAGAGAAAAAGCTGAACTCACTGCTAAAGTGGAAAGGTAAATTAATGAGTGTTTTCTTTCAACAATTATATATTTTTAATTTTTAATAATTTTATAAACGTTCCCTGCATTCAGCAGTTTAACTTGCTCACGTTTCAGTTTCAACATTTAACTGAAACAACTGTTGGATTGTTTTTATAATTCCTTACTTACTCTTACTCCTGTGGCCATGTAAACCCGAGATGGTTTTTAGCCTTGCCAACAATCCGCCTCCATTCTTCTCCATCTTCTGTAATTTCCTCGCTTGCTCCCAATCTTCTTACATCCTTTAGCACTTGGTCCCTCCACCGCACCAAGGCTGCCTTGGTCTTCCTAAAGGCCTTCTACCATTGGGTTTACCATTATGAGTCTGTTTTATCGGTGAGTTGTCCCTTCTTAATACATGACCCAACCACCTCAGACGTTTACTTTTAACGATTGCAATTATGTCTGGCTCATGATTTTTATAATTCCCTGTGTTTAATTATCCTGTTCAGTTACTATGTCATTATTATTGATCAACCCATAACAATTCTAGGCATTTTTAATTTTAGAAAAAAATAGGCTAATAATTTGTCAACACCATTTATTGCTGAGGTAGAATAGTTAATACAGTAGAACCTCGGTAACTCAAACCTTGATATCACAAAATCCTTGATATCTTAACTTTTTTTAATCTCCTTGAAATTCCCATAAATCACAATGTTAAAAGGACCTCTTTTAATTGAAAGATTTAAATATTTTACCCTAATAAGTAACGGTTTTCGTCAGTAATACTTAACCTCTAACTCAAATTTTCCCGTTCTTGAGTCTAGTTACTCCAAGTTTACCTTTATAAGTAAAAGTTTGCCCGATATGCCTCAATAGCTCGAAGTTTTTCTGTAAGGTGCAAGTCAGTTGTGTTTTATTCCTGTCGAGACATATAAATCCAACTTCCTTTGTTTTTCTGGCAATGGATAGTACTTAATACTGTTATTCTGCCAGTTATTGAAATTGACAGTCCAAGAGTTTGACTTGCGTTTGGTTAAAACAAACATTTCTAAAAGTAAATATAGTACTGAGCATTATTTGAGTTGTATGGGTCTTGACGTAACATCATTGTCAGAATCCAACACCTCGGTGTCTCTAATTTTCGGTATAACACCTTGATAAACCGAACCTTGCTTACTCGAAAAACTAGATAACTCGAATTGTTATCATACCCCCTTTAGATATGACATATCGAGGTACTACTGTATCCTTTATGTAGTAAACGAAGCCATAAGTGCTTATTACAAATTTAATTGAAACATTCAACTTGTATTATATAGAAAAAACTTAATTGGTGGTGTTGTGAATTCATTTGACTAATTTTATTTTATTGGTGGATTTTTATCATCTTAACAGCAGAATGCAACATCAAAATGTAAAACGTAGTTACCAATTCAGTACACAATAGCATGATAATGGAGTAGACATCCCTCTATATGGACCTGCTGTTGCCAATATTTTAATTAAAAAGAACATGGTTATGTGAGCCAGTCACAGAAAACGCTAGTGTCTAAAATTCTTTTTTCTACCTTATTTTTTGTTGCTGACACAGATGATGGGTCATAACAGTTGCTCACAATAAGTCGTTCTATCAGTTTGACTTCGTAAAAAATTCATGTAGCTTATTCAACAGAAATTAGTAATTAATTTTGATCAGCACAATCAGCTCACATATACTACGGTGATTTTTATTTAACTGGCAACAACTTTAACATAGAATGTCTATGATAGTATTAGAACAAACTCTTGTAGTGTAGGTACAGATTTGGTCGTGTCGATTTTGTTACATTGGTCTTTAGGTTAGCAGGGAAAACAGATCTGCCATTATGGTTAATATCCCAGTGTGCTATAGGCTAGTACATGTCGGCGTGATACTCATCATAATAACAGCCAATATCATAAACCTCTGAACCATCACCAATACGTAAAGCGTCTCCATTTCCTTTTTAATCTAGATCAATATTTTCTAGGTTATCAGTGATTGAACCAGTCGTAGAGACGGTGTCGACACACAGTGTAACTCCTGAGAGGTTTGAGATGATCGAACCTACTGCTCGACAGGAGTCAGAGAGTGGCAGTGGGGGAGGCGAGACGTCGAGTTTGAACGAGACAGAGTGGACGCGCGTCAACGCGTTTAACGACTCGGAGACTGGCAGCACGAGAGGTGACAACGACGGAGGGTGTGAGGAACGAACCGAGCCTGCTGGAGCAGAGGCTGACACGGTGCCTTTAGATCTGATGTCTCAATCTACCACCAGCAACAGGCATGACTGAATTAGTGGCTTGACAGTTACTTTTTGATAAATGCAGCAGTCTTGATTAGTGGAGGTTTCGTGTTAACTTGTGAAAAAAGTCTGTAAAATACATAGCAACATTAAAGACATAAAACTTACAATATTCACACCTGGGAGACTTGGTCAAGAGAACATTCTTTGTGGATTTCAACATACATCTACAATGAATACATAAAATCTTTATTGTTCAGTTGATTACATTGAACATTCGAACGAACAAACCATTTGAGCAATAAAGATTTTATCTATTAATTGTAGATGTGTGCTGAAATCCTCCTAATATTGCAGATCACTACCGCCAGGGTTCCACCATGAGGTGTTGTGCCGATGTTTCGTCAACACTTCTCGTGTAACGGAGCCACCCCTACTCACTGATGACATCAGTCTGCAGCGAGTTCCAGATCTTCTAGCCACTGCTCTACCCAGGATCACACCCCATGTAGCTGTCAACAAACGAGAGGTAATATTTGAACTTCAGTTATATTGTAAAAACTAGGCTTTTTAAAAGTTTTCATTAATTCAAAAGTTCAGTTTGATGTAAGATATTTTTACAATATAGGGACAGGGTTAATATTTTCTAATTCATTACATATTGTAGACAGACAATATCGGAATTAGTTGGTATTTTTGTCTACAAGACAAAACTAAGTCTTATAGAGAAGAAAATATTACCGTAGGAACAGTAAGAACTAGCCCTGAGTCTGGTTTAATTTTGTATTTTGATGTCTACAGGTTTAAAACACAAACAATTTCGCATATTGAAGCGTTGAAATAAAATAAACCTACAATCTAGGTTCTCATTTGATTCTTATGAGGAATAAGTAAACTGTTTTAGTTTGCTTGTTTATGGATGAATTGTGATAAAATTAGACAAATTTAATTTCATAAAGAGCTGTCAACATATCACTAAAAAAAATATACCTTACTACCTTCCCTGCAGTGGCAGACCTAAGTACTCTTTAAACTTAATTTTTTTTTTTTTAAGAGGGAACAAATCTGAAAGTTTGATGGAAATTATTTAGCTAAAATCCCATCAGGCAAATGGAAATTTGCTTAGTCTGCAGGTTTTCTGTGGAGGGGGTATTTTAGATAAAAGCAACCAGTACGAAATAGCAATAAGAAAAAAAGAAACAGACACACAACTGAAACATCTAAGCCATCTAAGCACCCTCAAATTGTGTGCCAATTTCACAACAACAGCTGTTGTTCATACCTTAACACTATACTTTCTCTGTGTTATTAAAAATTCTAAAAATTATTGTCTATTTCTATTAACAATCCGACCTTCTTAAATTTTCTGAATCAAACGTGAAGGTTTCACAAATGCTTATAATAGTTATAAGTCTGTTTGTGCCTGTTGCCAGGAGCTGATTCCACTGCTGGTGTGGACTGTACATCTGCACAGTGACTCGGCCCAGAGAGATAGCTTGTTGCAGGGACTGTTCAACCTCAAGAAGCGGCCACAAGATGAGGAGCGCCGTTGCATTCTTGCAGGTGATCATTAAAATGATTTACAGTTGAACCTCGATTAACCGGGGGCATATCAACCATGGTCAATAGATGCCTCTTAAATAATGTTACAAAACCTCAAAAAATCCCTAAAAAAGTTCTATAAATTGTGTTTTTTCAGTCTTATATGTTGACATTTGGGAAACCAAAGAAATAATAGAAGCACAAAGAGAAATAATAAGTGGTGTTTTACATCATTGTTATCTTTATCTTATTTTACCAAGTCCACTCTGAAGTGCTGCCCAATATATTCATATCGTCTTCTTAAATTGTCTGCCACCACCGACGACACCGTTGATAGCTGATAATGCAATATGCAGCAAAAACAACAGTACTAGCTAGTAAAAGCCGACGCCTACGCACATCCAACTTCACTGGAAAAACCTAAAAACTGAGTTAAGAGCAAACACCATATTTTATCTGTTGAACAGCTTAAATAATGGTTAGCGAACGTTTCTTCCTAGTTCGGCATACGTACATGTTTGTCGCGAAGGTTCGCCAAGTGTTGACGCAGCTTAATAATTTTAGAGAACGGATGAGCATTATTGCACGCAAGATTATTGGTGGCTGATTCTTCTCTAGAGTAGTTAGTTGAGATATTTTGTTTTGCAGGGTTGGTAGCACTTGCACGAGTTAGCAGTCAGTCAGTGATAGAGTCTGAACTGCTCTCACATTGCTGGGAACAGATGAATCACAAACACATGGAAAGAAGATTGTTAGTGGCCGAAGCTTGCAGTGCATTGTCTCCGTACATATCGGTAACTACTTCTCAATCTCTTCTTAATTTAAATTTGTCATTTAATGCAAACACCTATTTGAAAATGTCCACACATCTGGAGTTTTTGAAAAAAGCTGTAATATCGTCAAGCTAAAAAAGGAGAAATGATGTATTGTATGTTTATAAAAACAAATTGTTATTGTTAATTTAACTTCTATTCTCTCAGAACTTACCGGAGTTCTTCTAATCTTTCGGTGACCTATAGTATCCATCCAAGCGAGAATGCAATTTTGATTCTTATCAGTTTGGGCCTGATGATGACTGGGTGTAAATCGATTGTTGTTATAAAACCAACATCCTGTACAATAAATATTCAAAAGCTTGTAAATGTAGAAATCATCCAAAAAAAATACATCTTAAAAAAATAAAGGGGAGTGGCCCATAAACAGTTAACTGTCCTTCTAATAATATAAAAGCTGTTGGTTCACTTTAGATGAGACACCCTGTATATATGTTTATGTTTTAGAAGGTGTGTTTTATTAAATTTGTTTGTTTATTTCAACATGAACACAATAAATGCACCACTAACATTTTCTATAAAGTAAATAAACCTAAGCTAGATATCTAAAAATAGAAGGTGAGATTGTCAATAACCTTATAGGTAAACCTGACTATTTATAGTAAACTTGATACTGATTCAGCTGTGTTATTTGTGGGTAACAGTTTGTTTTGTTCCACAGGCAGGAATACTTAACTCCCTGGTGTTATCAATCCTTCAACATCTACTATCTGTGTTATTTGTGGGTAACAGTTTGTTTTGTTCCGCAGGCTGGAATACTTAACTCCCTGGTGATATCAATCCTTCAACATCTACTATCTGTGTTATTTGTGGGTAACAGTTTGTTTTATTCCGCAGGCTGGCCTACGCAACTCCCTGGTGTTATCAATCCTTCAACATCTACTGTCTGTGTTATTTGTTGGTATGTGGGTAACAGTTTGTTTTGTTCCGCAGGCTGGCCTATGCAACTCCCTGGTGTTATCAATCCTTCCACAGCTACTATCTGAGTTATTTGTGGGTAACAGTTTGTTTTGTTCCGCAGGCTGGCCTACGCAACTCCCTGGTGTTATCAATCCTTCCACAGCTACTATCTGAGTTATTTGTGGGTAACAGTTTGTTTTGTTCCGCAGGCTGGCCTACGCAACTCCCTGGTGTTATCAATCCTTCCACAGCTACTATCTGAGTTATTTGTGGGTAACAGTTTGTTTTGTTCCGCAGGCTGGTCTACGCAACTCCCTGGTGTTATCAATCCTTCAACAGCTACTATCTGAGTTATTTGTGGGTAACAGTTTGTTTTGTTCCGCAGGCTGGCCTACGCAACTCCCTGTTGTTATCAATCCTTCCACAGCTACTACCTGTGTTATTTGTGGGTAACAGTTTGTTTTGTTCCGCAGGCTGGCCTACGCAACTCCCTGGTGTTATCAATCCTTCCACAGCTACTATCTGAGTTATTTGTGGGTAACAGTTTGTTTTGTTCCGCAGGCTGGCCTACGCAACTCCCTGGTGTTATCAATCCTTCCACAGCTACTATCTGAGTTATTTGTGGGTAACAGTTTGTTTTGTTCCGCAGGCTGGTCTACGCAACTCCCTGGTGTTATCAATCCTTCAACAGCTACTATCTGAGTTATTTGTGGGTAACAGTTTGTTTTGTTCCGCAGGCTGGCCTACGCAACTCCCTGTTGTTATCAATCCTTCCACAGCTACTATCTGAGTTATTTGTGGGTAACAGTTTGTTTTGTTCCGCAGGCTGGCCTACGCAACTCCCTGGTGTTATCAATCCTTCAGCAGCTACTATCAGAAGACAGGGAGGAAGCAGTGAGAGTGTCTTGTGTCAAGAGTCTCGCACTGATTGTAGCGTTCATGGCTGACACTGACAAATATCCGCAGGTTAACATTATTTTGAGATCAACTTACCTTGAATGAGGAAGAGTCCACTTGGGCACAAGAAACCCAAAAAATACTGTACTGTTTATAAAATTCCTATATTTTAAGGTCTACAATATTTTTATCTTCATACTTATTTTATATCAGGTTTGGAGAGAAAGGGCTAATTGCCTGAGAATAGCTGTGAGAAAGGATAGGATAAGCAGGCTTACCTTAAAAAATGTAGGCATCCCACTTCATTCACTACAGAACACAGAAGAAAACACAAACAAACAAAATAAACACTGGATATTTCGAGGCCACTGGCCCCTTTCTCAACATGGAGAGTCACAGTTGTTTTGTTCTATAATTATAATAATATTAATAATATTAATAATATTATTATAATATCTAATGTGACTCTCCATGTTGAGAAAGGGGCCAGTGGCCTCGAAATATCCAGTGTTTATTTTGTTTGTTTGTGTTTTCTTCTGTGTTCTGTAGTGAATGAAGTGGGATGCCTACATTTTTTAAGGTAAGCCTGCTTATCTTATTTTATATCAGTTATTTAATTGGTTTCTAGTACAATAATACTCAGATCCCGTAGATGAGTTTGTTTGACCTTAAGTTGTGTTGGAATTTTTTTTAATCTGTATTAAGTGTCCACTCCAGTCTATCTTCCATAGTGGGTTCTTTCCTACAAAAAAAGCTCCCAGGATCCAAGCTGGTGTAGTATGACCCTAGGAGCACTGTAAGCCACTTTTCAGGGAATTCCTGATCCTCACAGTGACTTTTGTTGTACATGTAATTGTTTTGTCTGACGAATATGTTCTTTTATTCTTGTTGAGATCATAAGTTTGGTTTCTCTAATATGAGGCAAAATGAAATGTGACACGTAATTGATTATGATGATTGGAGTTCTATTGTTATTCAATATGTCTGCTAGCTATTAAACTTCAACAGTAGATTCGAGGGTCTCATTTTGATACTACAGAGAATAAATAGCCTGTATGAATCTTTGATTGATATATTTCTGGCGCCCAGCCGGAATAATTTTGATTTTAACTTCTTTGAGAAAAGGTTGAAAAATAATGACACTTGAGGGCCAAGTACCTTTGCAACTAGCATACTTGCTGATTTGTAACTTTTATTTTAAACAAGCTCAGTTTACTTGACTTTAGGGATTGTAATTTCTCCAGAGCATTGTCAGGATAGTATGTAGCAGGATGTATTGTAATGTTTTAGAGTGAGGAGCTGACCCTGACAGCACTACAGGACAGTTCAGCTGTTGTTGCGGAGTGTGCGACTGATACACTGTTGATGATACTGGCACAGTGGGCCCTCAGCCTAGGCTGGCTACAAGAGCGGCTCATGTCTAGACTACTGACAACTCTCACTTCATTGCTCAAGGTAGTCACTCAGCTAGAGACATAGACTTTTGATTCTGATGCTGGAGTACACATCTCATCTGTATTGATCAGTTGTAGCCAACCTTTTGTACACAGATAGAATAAAAATATAACATACTTGAATGAGCCAGCCGCAAAGTATGCTACAGTACCATGAAGATAATATTTGCCTCCCTTAGTTGTAAACCCCAAGTGACGCTCCAGCTTGCACTGGTTTTGGTCTTTGCCCTCGTATCACTCCGCGTTACGTCATGGTTGGTTGGGGTTGTCCGTTGCCTTGGCGCGGATTTTAATCATTGGAATTTAAAATCGGCACAAATACTAGAAAGAAATTAGAAGTGATTAGATATATATACAGTTCATGTTTCTATTGTAGTAAAAATTATAATACATCAAGGCTGGTATGTTTACTGTGCAGGGCGGGTCTAGTCCAACACACAACCGCGCTACTGTGACTGGTCGTGTTGTAGTGTTGCTACAAGCTCTCAGATCTCTGCTGCCTTTCCTAGTCATGTCTGTAGCAACCGTTCCATCTGTCACAGATCACATAAAACCCGGCCTACCACTCGCTGAACCTAGTAAGTACTACTATTACTATTATAGATGAATTTATTAACTCATTACTAATAATTTGAGTAAAAATGTATAATATGTTATAATTCAACCGTAGTATTTCATTCACATTCATCCTAAAAATCAACTAATTTTTGTTTGTATATAATCGGTTGTTTGTGCTTAATCTAATTTTTTTAGGATTTGATAAATCAATTTAACTAGGCCCATTATGCTGATTGGTATTATTTACCGTAATTTTTTATACAAAATGTCTTTAGCTGTAATGTATAATGGTATAGAAATATGTTTTCCATTAATAATGTGTATAAAACTTTAGGTATACAGTCGTTACTTTCCTTAAAATAAGTTATTGTCAAATTATATTCAAGCCAATTTGTATTCTAGATTGATGCCACAACTGAGTCAAATAACCAGGTATCTAACAGCCTAGTATTTTTATCAGCTATTTCACTGCACCTGAGATATGGTACACCTGATTTTCAGGAGGAAAGGAATCGCAGACTTGTACTTATTAATAGGCCTATTATGATATCTGTTTATTTGGCTTGGCTTGATTTATTTATCCCACTCAAATAGACGAAATCTTTTCTCAGAATAGAGTTGGCCGTTGTTCAAGATATGTTGCCTTCAATAATCTTGCCACTCAGGGAATGCCATTTGAATCAAGAAGGAGTTTTCTGGAATGGTATAGAGTAGAGGCCTACAGACACAGTTAAATATAGGACGAAATGTCTATATTATCCTATGTGACCTATGTATGTGTATAGATCATCATTTTGTGTTTAGTAATTAATTAATATTTCTCGTTCAAGGGAGTGGGTTTGCAGAAGTGTGCCAAGGTCTAGCCAACCCAGCCATATTCTATGAGGGAGACTTCACTGTGGGTGCAGTGATGAGTGCATTTGATGTTGTGGTGAAAGACAAACAGTGGCCTCAACTGAACTGGATCACAGAAACCTTGTAATTATTGGTTAGATGTAGTGATGTAAAATTTATTCATTCTCGATACCGATACCTGAAAAATCTATTCTCAATTTTCGATACCGATACCATTTTTTAAATTTTTTCACCAAATTTTCTGAATGGATTGGTTATACTACAATAACCCCTGTCTTTATGTCCTTCCATTGAGTATTTTTGAGGTAATGACATGTTTTTCAAGCAAAGAAAAAATGTTTGCAGCATACATTCTAACTACCCAGTTTAATGGGCAGAATCATGAACAACGCCCGCGGCTGTGTATATGTCACCATTGTCTCCCGTGTCACGGAAACGGGGCATGACAAGTATCGGTATCAGAATCAACTTTTGACAAACAATTCTCGATACCGATACCAATTGCCAAGTATCGGTGGTAATGAGAATTGGTATCGAGAATTGACACATCCCTAGTTAGATGTATCAATTAAATATCTGAAGTGTTAACCATAATTTTTATTTGTCATTTAAAATTGAGATATCGATTGTTTTGATGAATCAATCAAACCTCTGAAGTGTTGGTGATTTCTGAATCATTTTTATTGAACACTTGTTAAGAAGAGGGAATATATCAACTTGCTTGATGTTTAACCCTGAAGCTGTGCATAAAACAGATGTACAGTAAAATCCTGTCAATTCAGCCCATTAAATAATCCACCATCGGCTTACTCAAGTTTTGACTGAGATTGAGCTTACACCAAATAGCCTTTTTTACTTTCTTTTTTAGGGATTGTTGGCTAGGTATTGTATATTTGCAATAACGGCTATTTTCAGACAGCGCTCAGTGATCTTGTAATGCCAAAGTTATGAACGTTTCAAATTAGTGAGTGTCTACTATAACACTCACTAACTAGATTAAGTAGCAGTACAACGTATCTCTGACAGTACCACATTTAACTTTAACTCTGATTTTCCTAGTGTTTCTGTGGACATTTCGGCTTTCATTTGTTATTGAGTGTTTTCTTTTCCATATAGAGTTCCAAAAGTTCTTGATGCTCTGGATTCAGTGGAAGTCAACAACGAAGAGCTGCTCACTTGTTTCATCAGGTTTTTCAAATCGCTGGCTGCTGGCTTCGGAAAGATTGTTACCATTAATATGGTAAGTTCTTGTTTATATTGTTGTTAGTTTAGTAATTATTTGAACAGTACTAACAAAAATGTTTGTAGTTTGATTGTTGTCCAAGTAATAGAAGTGCAGATTTAAAGAAATCGAGCATTGGATACATTTAATGAGCTGAAACATCAATTTTTTTAACTGAACCATTCTTTATATGTTTATAGTATGTATGCATATTTATATTTAAATCACTTCTTAATGATTTGAAGCAGCACACAGGTAAATAAGTTCCAATTAGACAATTTACATCATAAATTAATAAGTAGTCCCTAATACGAAATTAATAAATTTATTAATAAATTAATAAGTAGGTCCGTAATATCCCTGCACCCCACTGAACCAAAACACTGATTAACCATGATTAAAATTTCAAATCAATTTGAAAATCAGCTAGGTAATGGGAATTGTCTGCTGTGGCACAGCTAGTTGGCTTAGCCGACTGAATATAATGGAGCAAACAGCTGCACAGATCATGAAATGAGTAAAATTTCAGAAAACAACTGTCGGTTATACCTACTAAATGAAATATATTTTTTGTATACCTATCTACATGTAGATTTGAATATTGACTGTTGTAGACTTCTTTAAACTGAAATTGCAGTTAAATTCCAACAATTGACTAACTGGAAAAAATAGGTTATCCAAAAAAGCCTCGCCTCTTTCATTTTGGTTAGTTGGAGCTTTTTATTGTGTATTTTATAGATTTCACAGTCTGCTTTGTTTTTTTTGCAGGTTAAGCCGGTATTTGTAGAGAGATTGAACGCTCTGGAGAACCGCCTAGTTACTCTGGACCACAACTGGCCTAACTTATCACTTATTCCTGTGTATCTGTTGGCCATTTCTGCTCCATTGCAGGTAAACAGTTCATCATCATGTGTCAGTGTTTGTAATCACTGGTTTGTTTGATATACGTTTTGTAATACTTGAAAACAAAAAATCTTAATAAATTAAAATAGGCTAAAAAATAAGCATTCAAAATCAGTTTAAATTGTGAAAAGTAAAAAAAATAACATGGGCACTATATGGGTTGCCATTTTGGTGACAAAATAACAACGAAATATAAAAAACAAAAAATCAAAATAAATGGATGAAATTCTGTTACTTTTATATTGTACTGAGACCACCCTTATATAGCGCACTGCGGCGGTTATGTTAGGTTGGTTTATCTGCCTAATAATGTCTCTGCTAGTACTGTCATGTATGCTGATGATGCGACCTGTTTTAGAAGCGAGAAAAATTGTAATGACCTTTGTTGCACCATGAATGAAGTAGTTCTTAAAGAGGCAGCTGAATGGTATGCAGCTAACAAATTTCTCCTTAACTTGAATAAGACACAGAATATAACTTTCTCTCTAGACGTAAGAGCATCGAAAGAGGCAGATGATGACAGTAGTGTTAAACTTTTAGGTGCCCATCTTAATCCTAAGTTAGTTTGGGATACTCATGTTACTAAGGTTTGTTCAAAGCTTTCCAAAGTTGTTCACATGTTGCGTCGCCTTAGATTTAGCCTACCTAGTCATTACTTAAGATCTTGTTATTTTGCTTTTTTTCATAGTGTTTTGCTCTATGCTATTTTGTACTGGGGCAATAGTTAAAAAATAAGTGAAGTTTTAGTGATCCAGAAAAAGGCTGTGAGGATTTTATTTAATGTAGACCCTGATGAGCACTGTAGGCCCTTGTTCAAACAAGCCAAGATTTTAACTGTGATAAATGTATATATTTTTGTGTGTTTATGTTATGTTAAGAAGAATTTAGATAACCTCACTTTGTCAAACCAAATCCACAACCATTTCACAAGATCTAGTCATCATGTTTATAGGCAACATTGTAGGTTAAGTAAAACCCTCAAGTCTTTCAATGTTTTTAGTATTAATTTGTTCAACAAACTGCCTCATTGCGCAAAAGAAGTTAGTAATAGTAAATTTAAGAAAAGTTTTGTCAGATTGGTTAGTGGAAAACCCTATGTATAGTGTTAACGAGTTCTTTGATAAAGACTTTCAACGATTCAATGTTACCATTCTGTGTTAAGATCTAGGCCTATACATCTGTTTATTATTTTTAAGTAGGCTAAGATATTTTTTAAATGTGACTTTGCCCATTGCATGTTCATGTTTTACGGCAATAAACGATTCTTATTCTTATTCTTATCATAAATAGAAAGTATGACTCATCTGGTATCGTTCGATTCATAACACGAAGAAAGTCCTACAAACATATTTATGATAACCCAACCTAACATAACCGCCGCAGCACGCTGTAAAATATGTGGCCTCCGTATAATACCAAAGTACCGAAATTCCAATCACATGTTTTATTTACAACGTGGGGTGAAAATACAAAAGTCTGTACATTACTTATTTTTCGTTGAGTTTTCAACAACTGGACAATCTCTAGTATCTTATAAATAGTCTGGAACTGTTCTTCTTGGATCTGGTTCTGTTCTTCTGTGTCTGTTCTGTTCTTGTGTCTGGAACTGTTGTTGTAGTTGTGTATTTGTACTTTTAAACTTATTAAAAAAAAAATGCTAAATTTTGAATTACTTAGTTCTAGTTGTAACTAAAGATCTGTTGGTCCAAGAAAGCTTAGAAAAGTATTGTATGTGATATTAGTAAATACTTATGATTTCGTACTATTTTAGGGTGAGGAAGCAGAAGTAGGCAACGTGTTACAGAGATTTCTGTTTGCGTTGTCTTTGTGTGGCGCCCCTGTCGACTGTTTGCAAGTCAGTGTCTCTCAGCTCTGTAGTTTGGCAGCACTGCATGATACAGTTATGGCAGCACTCTGGGAAGGTAATATGATTGATTGTAAAGTTGAAAGATCAGTTACCATACTAGTAATGCCTTAATTTTCATACATTAATCGGGTGTTAACTAGGGGTGTTCTCTTCTATCAGGTCAAGCATTTATTATTAATTGAAATTTACTTGTTTCTCACATGCCTCTGGCTTTTTTGAAAACTCTTTGCTTGAATGTTTCTGCAGTATATTGCTGTGTTTTATTCAATTGTGTTTAAATTCAAGTTTTTCTGTTAAATAGGATGTTAGAAGATTTATGTAATCTTTTACTCTCATAAGGATGTAACATAGAGCACAACCTCCTATGTGCAACTATTTGCTTCACCTCCTAGTTTAACCATAAAATATATTTAGCTTGTGTTATGTTGGCAGGAGTGGTGCACCCGAGGGCTGTGGTGAGGTCAGTGACAGCCGCTATGTTTGGACATACTGTGGCACATGTTGGAGAGTCCATGGTCACCAACCGCATCGTCCCTGCACTCATCACCCTGGCTAGTGACCCTGAGATGTAAGAAACTAGGGCCCATAGCAGCAATTGCTGATTTTTAGTTATGTATACAAATTGAAATTAAATACCCACTTTTTGGGGACCGATTCGCTTACGGAATTAAATATATAGATTTTATCAGACAATTTGGCGTTGATGAATGTTAACTTGCTTACAAAATTTATTTGCATTGACCGTTTATTTTGTGAAATTGTGGTGTAAAATTTTAGACATTTTAAATGTACTTATGATAGATAGGTGGTCTTAGTGGTTCATGAATTATGAGTTATCAGCACTTGCAGTGTTTTAAAACTTACTTTTATAAGTCTGTAAATCCATTTAGACTTTCTTTATTGAAGTTTTGTTATTGATTACTAATTTTAAAAAAAACTAATCAATCTTATGTAATTTATTGTTTGAATATATTTATTTATATAGATATAGATAGCCATTCCATTTCTACTTAATTGATAAGAATTATTAAGGTGAAATATCAAATAATATTTTTTGTCATTTTTATTTATTTATTTTTTTTTTTTAACTCTTTCCTTGAGTAAGTTAGTTGTGTATTCTTTCATTCTTCCTTAATTTGTAGATGACAGGAAGTGTGATTTTTTAGTCTAATTTTTTAATTTCCACTTTCAGAACCGTTAAAACTTCTACCATTCCTGTGTTTGGAAAACTCATTGAACATTCCACAACGAAAGAGGTATGGAATTCGTCATTTAATAATATTACTTGGTGTAAAACTGAAAGATGGATAGAGTTATATCCATCCATCTATCTATCTATTTATTTATTTAGGCCTATAATATTATAAATAAGAGGTGGTGTCTGGAGGATGGTACTGAAACCGGTATAAGTACCGGTACTGACTTTGAAACGGTGGTACCAACTTTCACCATTTCGAATTGCAAGTTTGTATTTTACCAAAAATTATTTTATTTACTTTATTATCTCAGTCAGGCTGTTTGTGTCGTGTGCTAGGTAGAGGACAAGACGTACTTCCAGCTGCAGACCCTACTGAGTGACCCAGCAGCCAGGGATAGTCACCAGACATTGCTACAACTCGTCTCCACTCTAGGCAATGTGGTTACCAAGTGTGACTCCTGGTTCAGAGACGATGGTAAGTTGCCATACAGTTTCGTGGGTACTTTGGGTCAGTGGGATCTTATATGCTCAGTACAGCATGGATCTAAAGGCTGCGGTCTTGTGGATTGTCGGATGGATAGACTTGCTGTTGATTGTAGTGTCCGTTTGCGTGGGTTTCCTGTAGATGTCAAACTTTATCTTTTTATCTTTTCTCTCTAATGTGAGGTCCAGGAAGTTGATCTTTTGGTTTTCTTCAAACTCGTTGGTAAAAGTGAGGTTCGGATGGTGGCTGTTAAGTGTCTGCATCATTGTTTCATGCTCTTGTTCCTGGGCTTGTCTGAAGATAACAAGAATGTCGTCTACATATCAAACATACAGTTTTACATCATGATTCTTTCTTAAATTCTTTAACATTTCTTTTTCCTGATGCTGTAAAAAAATTTCTGACAAAATTGACGAAAGTGGACTTCCTATAGCTAAACCATCTGTTTGTTCGTAAAATCTATTGTTATATCTAAAATAATTTTGTTTCAAAACAGTAACAAGCAGTTTTACAATCTGATTGACATATTCATCGTCTAAACTATTCTGTAAAAGCCTACATTTAACCAGATCCACAGTTTAAGTTATAGGCATGTTGTTGTACAGATTTAAGATATCAAATGAGACTGTTCTTTAAATGTTCTGTCAAATGTTCTTTACACGTTCAACAAATTCATAACTATTCTTTACATTATATATATCTTCTAATTCTAAATCATTGCTGAGCTTACTTGCTAACATTTTCGAAACATTGTAGGCAGGAGCACATTTTAAGTTTACTAAGGGTCTGATGGGTACATTCTTCTTGTGTATTTTCGGGATCCCTTTCATCACGGGCGCTTTGGAATTTAGGATGTTCATCGTCTGTCTACATTCTTCGGGAATCACTCCCGAAATGGAGATGTAGACCATTATACCGTTCGGAAGGAAGTAACAGCCATGAAAGGGGTTTATAACGATTGATCAAAAACGATGAGAATGCTGAAAATATTTAAGACATCTCCACAATTGTGGAAGATGTTTATGCCGTCTCCATGATCGCAGAAAATGTTTCAACAGATAATTTGAGATCGTGGAAGATGTTCCCTATGATATTCTCAGAGATCACGGAAACGTTAACAACACACTATAAATAAAAAAAAAACTCTGAATCGAGTTAAAAAAAAATTAAAAAATTAAATGTATTTTTACAAACTAGAAAAATACTTGAACATAATTTAAAAAACCTAGTTGTTAAGATAAACAAACGTGTTATGCTCTGAATGAAAAACTAAGTAGAGGTTACAAAGTTGATTATTTTATTTTTACTTCCGAAAAGCATTATTCAGTTTTGGAAATTTTATTGACAACTATCCTGTCTCCTGTCATTTTATGATACAATTATTGTTCAGAGGGTAAATATTGTAAATTAATATAAATTGAATAAAAATCTGCCTATTAAAATTGGAAAGTAATTTTTTAAGCAACTTATACAAATGACAAGCGGGTACTCTTGAGTCTTCAGTTTCAAATACAAACATTCCCTGTGTTTTGCAGTTGTTGTGCCCCAATTGGCAGCAACAGCAGCGTACGCACTACAACTGACCAACCAGAGTCGTAAGGTGGATCTAGCGTCTGCTCTGGTCCTGGCATTCAACAACGCTGTCTACTGCTCTCTCAGTCGCAACACCATCACCACCGCTCTTATACCTGGCCTCAGGTACGAGTCCTGCAGTGTTACATTAGACAAATACAGTCACTTAAGAAAAGTTGCACGCTGAGGTTTTGTGGCATACAGTTGCTTTAACAGTATGTGGAAGGCATACCATATTTTGGACAATATGTGTTGTAGTTTACGTGTATGTTGTATCATTATCATGTAGTCCTTGCTTTAGTAGGATAGGGTGTGAACCTGACTTACAAGTATTAAAAAATAGTGATGGGCAGATCCAAGAAAATGTTGTTACGGGATACAGATACAAGGACAGGTTTAAAAAAAAACTTAATATTTACATAAATCCAATTTAAATCATACTGTTTAAAATGAAATTGGTAATGTTTAAAGGTTGGGGTACAGTATATAGAAGTCACTACTAAAAAACAGGGAAATTTAACCATTTTTCAAAATCAAAGCTGGGTACAAATATATCGCATTGGGGGCTAGGCAATGTCTCAGAATATGTCGACGTCTATAAATTCAAATTCTTTGGCTAATATAAAGAATGGTGAAAACAAGAGTTCCCTATCTCTTCTCTATCCAAAATGGTAGCCAATTACATTGATTTTTACATATCATAATCTTATTATTATAAAATGAAACTTCCTGCTAAGTTTGCACGACCACCAAAAGGGTGTCTCTGTATATTTATTTTGAAAATTATTACATGGGGGTCTTGATTTTTTATTCACCCGTATGGACACAGACAGTCTTGTATATAGACACAGACAGTCTTGTATATGGACACAGATAGTCTTGTATATGGACACAGACAGTCTTGTATATGGACACAGACAGTCTTGTATATGGACACAGACAGTCTTGTATATGGACACAGACAGTCTTGTATATGGACACAGACAGTCTTGTATATGGACACAGATAGTCTTGTATATGGACACAGACAGTCTTGTATATGGACACAGACAGTCTTGTATATGGACACAGACAGTCTTTTATATGGACACAGATAGTCTTGTATATGGACATTGATAGTCTTATTCATGAAAACAGATAGTCTTGTATATGGACACAGACAGTCTTGTATATGGACACAGACAGTCTTTCATATGGACACAGACAGTCTTGTATATGGACACAGACAGTCTTTTATATGGACACAGATAGTCTTGTATATGGACACTGATAGTCTTGTTCATGAAAACAGATAGTCTTGTATATGGACACCACCACAGATAGTCTTCTATATGGAAACCCACCACAGATAGTCTTGTACATGGACACAGATAGTCTTGTACATGGACACTGACAGTCTTGTATATGGACACAGATGGTCTTGTAAATCGATACTGATACTACTGATAGTCTTGTATATTTCAAAATACAGTACTATGACAAAACACCTGTTCTTATGTATGAATTGTACTTTATAAATAACGTTTTGTGTTTAAAAAAACTGGATCGAGTCCCGGATCCGATTTTTTTCTGGATCCGATCAGGCGTCGGTTCTAGCTCAGATCCAGTATGAATACGGTAGCACGATATCCCAATCCGATCATCACTATTAAATACCCCCGCCGCAGCAAACCTGCAGACTAAGCGAATTTCCATTTGCCTGATTGGATTTACACTAAAACGTCTCCTTAAAAATATCACATTCCTTATTTAAATAGAATCAGTTTAACACATACTTAGGTTTGCTGCAACAGGGAGGGTAAAAGTGTTTTTTATGTAAAATGTTAATAGTTAGTAAGAAATAAAAACATTTTCCAAATTTGGGCAAAATATGTTAATAAACAAGCAAACTACAACAGTTTACTTATTCTCCATAAGAATAACATGGAAATTTTAAATTTACAATTTTTTGGAATTTTCTCCGTAACGATTAGGTGCATTATAACGCTTCAATATACTAAATTATTTGTTTTTTTAAGCTCTACAAAATAGTTTGGAAAGAAATTGCAAAATTTTATGTATTTTGAGTCAAAAATGGGAAAAACCCATTTTTACCCCATAAAACCCCCCATAAACCCCCGATACCATGGTCCGATCATGCTGGTTCGCGAACTCGTTCGAATAAACGTAGGTTTACACGTTTGTACCGAATTTCATCAAAATCGGATCGTTTTTGCTCGAGTTATCGCGCTAACGGACACATATATAAATATATATATATATATATATATATATATATGAATTTGAACGGATGGTGTTTTTGGCCTCTAGGGACCTCAAAACAAAAAAAAAATCGGTCCCGGGTCCAGGTCTTACCATGAGTACTACGGTAATAGCTTATTCCCTATATGGGAAATTCGCTAAAAGTACTCAAGGGCTCAGTTATGTACTTTCTTGTCATTGAAGATTTCATTAGTGGGGTGTCATACTAGGCATAGACAGGTATATCTTTTTCTGATTGACTCGCTTTTATTTATTACTGAAAGACTGCTTTACTTTCGGTACTTTTTTGAATTTACTGTCTTGTGTTTTAATTTTTAAATGTAATCAAGTTAGTTTAATGTTTTGTCAAGAACACAATCTCATTTATTATGTTGAAATAAATCTTAGATTTTGTCATTGACCGAATTTTATTTCTAATAGTCCCTGTTATTACTGTGAGGAAATCCCACAATGACAATATGGATTACCTGTTTTGTACATGAATGCTATTTTAGATGTTTGTTAACTTCCTTGATTTATCACAAGGGTAATGATGCCTCCTGATGCCGTTTAACATTTTGCCATAAAAATAATAACTTTGCTATTGCTATTACATTATAATGCATTGTGGACTCAGGTACTTGGAGCAAGTGTGCGGCCAGTCACTACCCAGTCACCATCAAACAGTCGCCAGTATGATACAAGAGGCAGAGAGTAGGACTGACTCTAGCAAACCACTAGAAAGGTACATAAAACACTGCACGGTATAAGGCAATCACTTAGTTTACCTCCTAAACCTAAAGTGTTGACTTCCTCTCTTGAATAATTCATTCATTCCATTCTCCTGCTGGTGAAATGGTGAGCAACCAATTGCTAGAGGATACAAAATATGGCTTGTATCCACCAGTTCAGTTGTATTCTTTGATTTCTTTGTTTATTGGATGTACCAGCTTCATAATGTTTATTTTTATTCTTAGAAGCCCTTTTCGTTTTTATAAATTTTTAAATAATTATATTTTTGTCAAAAACACTTAAAATCAGTATCTGAGCTGAGGAACCATATTTAAACAGTTAAAGTTATTTAAGTTCTAATCAAGCTCATTTAGCGAATTTCTGATATAGGGAATAAACTATTACCGTAGGTCTCATGATTTGACCTGGGCCCTGGACCGATTACTTTTTTGTGTTGAGGTCCCCAGCAGCTAAATTGAGTTAGGCTAAATTTTCAAAAAACACTTTAACGAAGGCGCGGATGATAACGCTCCACCTGAGCGTCAACAGGATTTCCTCAGCGCTGAGCCTTCGGTTAAATTAAAATAATTTATCAGTCAAAACCGTGAACAGCTTCTTATCGACCCCAGGATTTTTCTCGGCTCCTTCTGAGCACTCCGGGGAAGAAATTCGAGTGTAACTGATTCTAAGGGTAGCCCTAATTTAATTTTATGAATACAAGTTTATTCCCCTCCTAGAATTTACGTCACAAAACCCAAGTAGTAGCTGTCGTTGTATTTATTTTATATTGTCGCACACCCCAACAAGTGTTTTAAGTAAATCATATGTTTTCCAGGTCGAGTAGCTCGATCACTCTAGCAATGGCTTCGTCCAATGTTGAAGACATGAAGAACAGAGTTACCAAAATGTTCCAAACCCCTATCAGCAGGCCGACCAATCTGCCCAACTTACAAAGCATCAACATCTTCCGCAAAAAGTAGTCATACCAGACCACTGTAATAAAAGTTAAAAGACACTAAGAGTGTTTTAATGGTTGGTTGTGTTAGGAAAATCAATAGTAATCAGATTAATTATTTTTGTATACTTTTGTATATGACATATTTTTATGAGATTGAGCTATATAGATATAATATAAGTAAGAATCTCCTTTTTTAGTATTTTAGTTATAATTTAATTTTAAGGGTCTCTGTTTTAATTTTTACCATTTAGTCATTAGTTTTTTTGAAAAGTGGGTATGCACTATGCAGTATGCACTAACATAGAATTTGAGAAGAACTTATATAAAGCAAAACTATCTTACTCAGAGACAGAAAATAACTTAATTAAAGTATCATATTGTTGTTTGTTAATGTTAATACTTCAATTAGTTTAATAATGCTTCTTCCATTAGTTTGTTGATTACAGGTTTTGCCTGGACAGTAATAATTTGGGATGTGACTTCAAGAGTTAATAAAAAATCTATTTTCGTTAGTTTATAAAAAATGTTAGTATTTGAATCCAAGCTGTTCTTGACAGTTGCAAAACATGGATGCTTCCACCCTGAGTTAGGTGTAACTGGTTGCGGATTATCAGGTTATCAGGGTAACTTTCTTGATAAGAGTGAGTAAAAACTAAAATATTTTAAAGCTAGATTGATAAAGTAGTTTGTATAGCTCTAAAATAATTACAAAGATCTAGAAATGTTTTATTTTTAATGTATTTTTTTATAGTAGCCTAACAACATGTACTATTTCACTTCATCTCCTACTTAGAATGAAACATAATATTCTTCTGATGTAGTCAATTCATTTCTGGATATTGGAAAGCCATTGTGGGAGTATCCCAACACCTTGTTAGGGCTCAATTTTATCAAGCTGAATCTTATTCCTTGATAATATATAATCACATTAAAAGTTTATGATCTGTGAAGCATCATCACAGAGAAAAAACTATATATTGTGTATGATGAGATTCAGCAAACCTCTATATCCTTCACAGAGATTTAGGGTATTCTCAGTGGAAAGTGCTCATAAGAAATAGTATAGTAAGTAGAAAGATTGAAGAGTATATATTTGCAAATTTGTATCATCATCAAGATGTTAGGAATGTAAAGCATTACTATAATAATTGCCTCTGATATTTTCAAAAATTAAAATATATTCAACTTCATGAGATTATTTGTTCTGAATATTTCAAAAGATGATTCGTATTGTATTTATTATTGTTACGCATATCAATAAAAAAAAATTAAAGTGGATAAACAATAACATATAAGGAAGGATTACTCATTATCGCTTACCTCAATCAAACAAATTTACAAACTACAGGTACCTTGTAAGATTTAAATGGATCTACGTAGTTATTTTATCATGTTAAAACACACATATTACGTCCTGAAGATATTTAATTTACGTTTGGGTAGTATAAGTATTTTTTTTTCAATAAACTAAAATAAGTTTCAACATATATATGTAAACCATCTTTGTCCTGAAATCTACCAACAATGAGATTAAGTCAGTACAGCAGACTATTTTTGGCCTTTTTTATTTCATATAGAAACTAATGTAATGGCTATGTAATGACTAATGTAATGTAAATTATCAACAAATGAATTGTTCCACCTGTTACATCAAATATTTATTCTTGTTAATTGTAGATTTTTAAAGAAAAAAAAAAGCAACTTGGGTTTAGAATTGTTATGGAGGAGAAAGGAAGGATACACAAACTAACTCACCTGAATAAAGAGTCCCAGGAGGTCAATAGAACACCAACTCATAAAAAGTACACATTAAGGCCCGGTTCACACAAGCGACATACCTAGCCGACTAGGCAAGCCCGACTGGGTAGCGGACCACAGGATCAAATGGAGCCGTTCACAGGAGCGTAGGACGCCGACTAGTTAGCCGTGTTCGAGCTTGGTGTCCAAAAACATTGTCGGGCCCTGCTTCCCAGTCACTCGTGGCAGCTACCTAGTCACCCAGTCGAGCGGCGTAGCAGTACATGTACCCTTATGGGAGCGTTCACACAAGTGAACGGGTAGTCGCGCTGCAGCTCGCATTCTTCCCTTTGTTCTCATTGTTCACCAGTGATGGATCCGAGTGACTTTGATATCCATATTTTCATCTAGTCCGTGGACATGTCGCTCGTGTGAACCGGTGTGATTCTGTGGTCCCCTACCCAATCGGGCTTACCTAGTCACAGCCTAGTCGGCTAGGAAAGTTGCTCGTGTGAACCGGGCCTAAACTGACTTCTTCAGAGGTAGAAGGTAGAATGGCAGTTCTACTTTCTACTGCCAATATACCTTCTACCTCTGAAGAAGCCCCTGAAAGGGGCGAAATATCAGTTTAATGTGTAGGCCTACTTATTATGTGTTCTATATTGACCTCCTGTGACTCTTTATTCAGGTGAGTTAGTTGTGTATTCTTTTAGCAAATTTCCCATATAGGGAATAAGCTATTTAGTTGTATGATAGTGTTTCCTAATCTGTTTATTTTTCTATCAAGCATATATTTTTTAAAATATTTATAGATATTTTAAACCAAAATACTAATTGGTTGTAAATAGTTCCACTATAAAGCTAATATTCTCAATTTTGTGGGTTAAAGTCATATTTCTTCAATGTGAAATCATTGCTTTTGGATATGCAAGTACATTTTTCATCTTATTGTAAAATAAAAAGATTCTGTCGTATGTTTATGTTCACTCTTGTCAGGGTCCGCTCATATTGACTGAGTGTTTTGCTTTTCTTTTTAGGCAAAATACCAAAGGGAGAAGAAATCATTTATTAACTTATTGTTTGTTTTGTTTTATAAAGTCTATCAAATATCAAAACACATTCTACGTCCAGGCCAGAAACATTGTAGCTAATCCATTGGGATGACAAATCTAAGGAAATATGTTAAACTAAAGTGAATTCCTATTTCAATTGCAGAAAGTGGCTTGCTTACCATAGTTTAAACTAAAAAAAAAAAAAACTATGAGATATTTTAATCTTATATTTTCAGTGTACTTAATGTATATTTCAGTATTTTATTTTAAATAAATATTGTTGTGTTTTTAAAACTATTTTATTTATTTCTTATCTACTTTCCACAAGATTGTTATTTTAAGGTAAAGAACGGTGTATGATCTGATACTGCATTGTATACTACTGCATTTTCAATATCATTGGTTTCAGTAAAATGTTATTACTACAAAATAAAAAGTAGTAATAAGGTACAACTCAATGCTATTCCACTTGTAATTATTTAATTCTTAATATTCCCCACCTCATTCTGTGTGTGGTTGGCCTTAAGTAGTAACCTAATCCTTTAAAAACATTAAAAATATTCCATGTACTGTAGTTGATAGACAAAATACCCCTGCAGCAGCTAACCTGCAGACTAAGCAAATTTCCAATTGCCTGATTACACAAAAAATATCCCCTTAAAAATATCACATTTATTCCCTATTTAAATAGCATTAGCTAACAAGTACTTAGGTTTGATGCAACAGGGAAGGTAAAAAGGGGTTTTCCTTGTTCTCCGTTAAATTCTACAACTTTTGGTAAAGTTGCAAGCCAAAAGCTTGAATGGTTACTACATGAAGAGCTGTCAAAAACAAAAAATAATTTTTAATCTAGATTTGTTCGAAATAATTTTATTTTTAAACTTTATCAGTAATAACAACCAACATTTTTGTACAAAATAGTAATGGAATCTCTTTGAAATGTAATATTCTATCTATTAATGCAAGTTTTTTTTTCAATTTTGCAATCTAGATGTCAAAATGTTCAACAGATACACTGAAAACCTAAAAAAAACATATTTTTACGTATAACTAGAAACCGAGTGAGTTTAGGACATATGCTTATAGGACATTTTTTACCAGTTTTGAACCCAGGAACCATTTCCTGAAGTTTGTCAGGGTTCCCGTAAACACCCTGTATATGGGAAATTCGCTAAAAAAATAACAAAAAATGTTTAACCAGGCAAGAAACATTTAGGTTTTGAGATTCAAAATTGGTTTCAACCACCACTAATATAATAGACCTAATTAATTTCATAATACATAGTTTGTTGTACTTTTTACGACAGACTTAGGGAAAGAAATAAAAAGAACAAATTGATATAAATTACTTTAATTAAGTAACAAAAATATATATTAAGTATATGTCTTACAACTAATGAATAATATATTAGACGAACAATGGCATAGATTATCAAAACTAATAAAAACACTGTATTTTTTACTACCCTTTAGAAATATTATAAAAATCGAATTGCAAGCATTGTTTATCAAGTTGTAAACAATGTTTTGTTCTTTTCAATCATATGAGGAGATTTGACGAAGAATGTTTGCATGAAAAGTCTATTTCATATTACAGCGATCATAGCAGATTAATAAGAGTTAACGTTTCCCATGATTTCATGCAATTTTCTTCTTCACGGGAGATTCAGAACTCATTCTTAGTCACAAGGTATTGAGAATCAATGAGACCTTATACCAGTATAGAATTATAGGAAGAATTAATTGAGGATTGGAATCGCTCCTCACCTTTAGATTTATAAGGTATTAAACAGCGGCTCAACCCAGATTTTTTAACAGTTAATAATATTAACACTTGTAAAATTTGACACTTGATTGAGTACCCTGATTTTGGTGTTCCCAGCATTTTATAAAAAAAAAATTACTAAAATAACTTTGAGAGTATTTAGTCTATTTCATTTTTACATCAGTTTTGGTGTGAACTACTTGAGAATGGCATTTTCTTATTATTTTTTTCAAATTGAGTTATGTAAAACCATTGACCTTTAGATACTGAAGTAGACATCCCATCCACAGTATATGGACCATTTGTCGCCAATTTTTAACAAAAAATGTTGTGTGAGCCAGTCATAGAATATACTAGTGTCTATCCATTTTCTACCTTATTTTTTGTTGCTGACGAAGTTACTGGGTCATAACAGTTGCTATAACTCACAATAAGCCATTCCATTGAATTGCCTTGGTAAAAAAGTTTCTGTATTTGACAGAAATTTGTAATTTAGACCAGCACAATTCGTTGGTGGCTCATAAAAACTACGATGATTTTGATTAAAAATCTGGCTACAAATTTATTATGGGGATGGAATGTATAGGTAAAACCTACAAAGAAATATTTAGCCTAATAGGTAAGCATAAGTAATAAATTAAATTAATAAATTGTATTGATAAATATCACATAATGTTCTAAGGCGGCAGCCAACAAGGCTCCAGTTGCTAATAAATATATAAGCTACAAAATAACAAATCACTAAAAAGCCAATAAATATAATACTGATTGCAATTTTGTATTCAATTTTACCCTGACTTTTAACAAGAAAAATGTAACAATCATACTTTTTCACAATGTCTAAAACTCTAGATTCAACATTAACATTAAGAACCATAGTAATATTGATATAAACTATTTAACTTTAGCTCCAAAAGCTGCACATTTAGACATAGGAGTTGTGTAAAAAAACTTCCAATTACAACTGTCTATGCTAATACAGCTGTCCGTATGATTTAAAAAAATCTGAAAACTATAATACAAATTTCCTCGATTATAAAGTCTACTTTAGTATAAGTATAAACTATAAAGAACTATTTTTTATTTGGGTTGGTCAATTAAAATCTGAAGGTCATTGGGCTGATTCCAAGCGGTTCCAGACAGAGAATGCCATTTTGTCAGGAGCTATGAGCTTATTATGCAATCTAACAAAAAAGTCAGATAACAAGTCCAACGTTAAAAAATGATAAAATGTCATTAGCATAGATATTAGATAACATAAAAAAAGAATCCCGTCTCAATCAGGTGTCATCTCATGAGGAGTTGACCTGTTTGTGGCTTGGTATTAGAGGCCAACCTAAAATAAACAGCTGATAACTCAGGTTAAAGTTGACTGGGTAGGTGAGTTCTTTCGCGCCCCTCAAGTCTGACATTTTGCTATTTGGCAACTCTCCTTAGTCCTTACATTGAGAATCTTCCAATCAAAACCTTGTTATCAAGACTTGTGATTAATAATTAAGAGAAAAAATACAGTTTAACTACTAAATAATACTTGGAGGTTAATTTAGTCAATTTATTTGACTACAATTTAATGCCAAAGACTATGGTTGTTTTGATATAGTATTATAAATATAAATGTAATTTAATAAAATTATAATTAAGAACCTCAAATTTGCCCTTCTATTCTAGTTTACTCTCTATTATAAAACTTTTTTTATTAGCTCTCTTTCTTGTCTGTTTGGTACAAATTTTGCAATAAATTTTACACTAACTCCCCGATGAGCGAGAGACTTGAATCTTGAAACATAGCTCAAAAATAGATGACAATGCAATATTAAATCATTTTATTTTCATATTTCCTTTGGGGCTACGTCCCGTAGGCTTTCAAATTTTCAATGATTACATTTTGGAAGAATGTAAATAGTCAAATATATCAATTGAAATCAGATGTAAATACTTTAATTTTAAAGTTTGATCAAAGAGCAGAGGTTAAGAGGTAAAGGTTCTGTTCCTGTGATATTTAAAGAAATATAAACAAACATTTCAAAGTAAAGATAAAAACACACACACATCTGACAGACAAACATCTGATTGCAGATAAAAAGGTTTTGGTTATTTTTAACCAGAAAACAGCAGGCCATGTAATAGCTATTTACATTACAAGTGTAGTAAGAGCGTTTTTACATCACGCAGGTGAATGTTGTGCAACGAGCGGAAGCGAGTTGCATAATTCACCTAAGAGATGTAAACACGCTCTTGCGCATCGTGTAACGTACAAGATTTTACCTGACCCGACAATATACATGGGTTTACGTACAATATTTTTCATTATCCATTTCACTCATCATCTAACAGTAACGTTCTTTTACAAACAAAAGCTAGGTTAGGAAAATACTTTAAAGCATAACAATAACATTCAAGCGCACAGCTGATTTCTAGCGTTGAACATCAATGCCTCCATAGAGGTATATTTTTTTAAGTTAAGCACTCAATGTTATTTAAATGGGTTTCATTACATCACCGAGTGAGTTTTTTTTCAACTTTACATCACTCGAGAAGTAAGGAAGCTGTATACACCACGCTTGGGATAGGGAAGTTTAACAAAGCGGGTTAGGTAAAACAGATTTAACATACTTACACATTAAAGACTAAAAAGTAGAAAATAATTTTGTATATAAAAAGGTAGGGCATTTGCCAGGAATTTTTCTCCAGTGGTTGAAAAAATTTCAACAGTGACTACGAAAATTTCTACTTTTGTGATGTGTTTTATGTGTCTCTATGGACTTATTTCAAGGTAAGCCTGCTTTCCTGTCAATTTCCTTAATAATTTATACATAAAAAACTTTTTTTAAATAACACACTAAAAAGTAGAAAATAATTTATAAATATATTTGGAAAGAGTAAATACTTGTGAGATTTAAAACAATTTTTTTTTATTTCTACTTTTAAGTGCGTTTAAAAACATGGTATTTAAAAAAAGGGTTTAGATTCAACTGACTGATATTTCTAGCAATGTTCTGCCGTGAGAATGTTTTATGTTAGTGTCAAATGAACAGAGAAACTATTTCTCAATATTGAAGTAGACATACCATCTTCATATACCAACTGTAGCCTATTTTTATTCCAAAAGCATGTTGAATGGATAACCAACTCACAGGATGTGCTATAATCTAAATGGTGTGTACCTTTAGTTTTTTCTTTTTTTTTCACAAACAACACTCCATTCAAATGTGTCATGGCTAACATTCACGTTACCAAATTCAAATACAGGGTGAGGCAGTGAAACAGCACGATTTGGATACCAGCTGACAAGGAATCATGGGCTATTAGAGTACGATGACCATAGACTAAACATGTGGAAATTTCAGTAGCCATGGAACGTTGGATGAGTGCACAACTTGCGTTTGCTGTAAAGGCATATTACAAAAACGTGGATATTATGGTTTGTGCTCAGTGCACTTTCCGTTGTGAGTTCAGTCTATCGCCGCAGGCTCCCGTGCTATCAAGGAAAGCTATCCTTTGGATGAATAACTTTGAAGCCACTGCTAGCAAGACAAAACGCTATGAAACGATTGCAGACGTTATGCAAACGCTAAAAAACATCATGGAATGATTTCAATTAATAATTCATCAATGTGTGCAAAACCAAATACGCCATTTTACTGACACTGTATTACAAAAAAAAAATTAATTTCCACTCATGTACTTAGGATTTGTGTTAAAAACAACTGACCTTTTTTATAAGTGAATTATTTGTGATTTTTCAAAAACGTGCTGTTTTACTGCCTCACCCTGTATCCATTTTGATTTAAAAAATGGTAACAACTTAAATCGCAGATGGGATGTCTAATTCCATCAACAGTCTAAGATGTATCTCAAATGTCAAATAGAAATCCTTAACGTCACCTTACATAATAAAGAATCATATAGTTAGACAAAAAACTAGACTAGATAAAAGTATTTTATTTAATATTATTAACTATTCAATGCTCTTGTTTGATCACTGTTACAAAAACTAATACAATTTCCAACACAATTTGTATACAATTTGTCAATTTGTCTTATAAAATATAAAACCATAGTATATTTCGTAACAAGAGTAGAAAGCGAGTAATTTCATATTAATGTTTTTAGTGCGAGAGCCATCGAGCACTTTAAATGGTCGAGAATATGTATAGACCCACTTTCACTCATGTTTTGAACTTTTCATACACTACAAAGACTAATTATTTACATAATTTAAAACAGACATTGCATTTTTCTTTATTACAGATAGAATAGTTTATTACAGTAGAATTATTACAAAACTCATAGCATTATTTTTAGGTTATGCCTTCAATTTTAAGTTAATATTTACTTTGGTTGTACAGTCTTGGTTGTTGAAAATTCAAACAGTTAACAAAACATTCACAAATCTTTGTTTGTTCACGTCCGCAAAATAAAAAAAAACTGTAAACATTGCTTTTGCATAGTAAATATTCTTTTTCCGTAGTTAACAATGTAATGATGAATTTTTTCAGGTGATAGCATGTAACAGAAACAGGAAATTTCACAGTAAATTTATATTTCATCACTAGGACGTAAAATGACTCTTTGCGACCCAAGCTTAAGTTTTAGTTGAGAAAATGAGTGAGGGTTGAAAAACACTTTTTGCTCATAATATGGGCATTATATTATAATGAACTACATTTTTCATCTGAACCTTTATTCTAGCAATTTAAGTTACAAAACAAAAATACCTTTCATGTAATACATCTTCTCAATTCGACTTCTAACTTGTTTTCAATTTTGCTAATGCAAACAAGCAGCTGTTTCGTAAGTTATTCAATTGTTTGGTCTATTACGATCGTGTTGGAGTACATTATATTATCGATATGTCAAACTATTGACAAGAATACAACAGTAAGCTACAACCGATTGAAAAAATACATACATTTGACACATGCAACATCTTACAAAATTATTGAAATTTTACTTCCATGATTAACGTGCCTGATACTGAGATAGTACATGTGACATTATAAAAGATCGTATAGCTTAATACACCCCTGCCACAGCAAATCTGCAGACATAGTGAATTTCCCATTTGCCCAATTGGATTTTCACTTAAGACATACAAAATATTTCCTTATACATGTCTGATTTATTCCCTATTTAAATAACATTAAGTTTAAGAAGTACTTAGGTAGGGGGTAGTTGAGTATGTTTAGTAAATAATAGCTAAGTTTGAAATAATTAATTTGCTAAGTTTGATCAAATATATCCATAAACAAGCAAACTACAAGAAATTAATTTAACAACATGGGAACTTTAGATTTTTTCCAGTAACTATTAAGCGCATAACAACACTTCTATATAGTTAATTATTTGTTTTTCAAGCTCAATAGATTGGTTTGGAAAGAAAGTGCAAAATTGTATGATTTTAAAGTCAAAAGTGAGAAAACCCAATTTTTACCCCATAAAACCCGGTTTCCATGGTCTAGTCATGCTGGTTTGCAAACTCGTTACAATAAACGTAGGCTTACACATTAGTATCAAATTTCATCAAAACTAGATTATTTATACTTGAGTCATCGTTTTAATAAATACATTTATATGTATGTATGAATTTGAACGGATTGTGATTTTTAGCCTATGGGGACATAAAAAATAAAAAAAAAAAAAATCGGTCCCGGGGCCATGTTTTTCCATGAGTCCCACGGTAATAACTTATTCCCTATATGGGAAATTTGCTAATAAGTCATTCTATCAGTTGACTTTGATGTTGGCATATTAAACATCAATTGATCTTTTATATCAGTGCAATCTTTTAATTACTTAATTGAACTACTGTACCCCCACTTTGCTTAAAATCCTGATTTGTAGATTATTACAAAAGTTATCGATTTTCTTTTTTCCAAGCGTTTTGATTAAAGCAAATTCCGGTGAAATGCAGTCCAGATATGTAGTATACCAAGAGCTCTTATGTAGTTTCATCTAACAAAATACATTGTGTTCATTTTAAAACTAAAAGATTCTTTACTAACCTTACATATTTAATTCTAAGTTATATGAGATTATCACATTCTTCTTAGCTTATCACATGATAGTAGTTTACACAATGATAGCGTAAAGATAGTGTTAACGAAACGAGTTGAAAATTTAATGTACGAGCCTTGGAGATTGCCTTGAAAACTTCTAAGAGTGTCGTTAACACTATTTACGTGAGTCGAGTATGCTACTTTACCTACGACAGTTTTATTTACTAAAAATCACTACTCATAAAACTTCTAAGAGATTATTTTTTATAACCGGGTTATTTTTTCATTTATAACCTCTCATTGCCACTGACAGTGATGCAACGGAACATTGTACCAATTCACTAATTGCACCACTCCACAATTAAATTTAGCCTGAACAGCTGATTAGTTCACGTTAAAATCATTACAACTTTACTTCTTCTCTCTCAATCCTTGAACCTCATTGGTCTGTTACTTATGTTGTTAAGTAAAATTATGCTGTTATGTAAACAATGCTTTTATGTGAAACTTTTCAATTCTAAGAAGAACTGAAACAGCTACCTTAAAAAAAACTGTCGTAGGTAAAAGTTTTTTTCCTCCAATACAAAGATTGAGATAAGTCTTAATAACTATAGTTAACTGAAAATCTCTACCTTGAAACAGTAACACTTCATTCTGAAAGAGAATGAACCCCTCCTGGTGTCAATCTCAATTGACAACAATCATTCATCAATAAATTATCATTGTCATTATGCATTGAAGATAAAGCAGAGATTTAGTAAGTCAATTTAACTCAGATTTAAGCCCAATGGCCCACTTTTGCTGAAGTAGACTTATATTCTCATCACCAGATTTGATTTTATATCTGATTTGTAAACACCGCCTATATAAAAAAAGATAATTATGAAATTTCTTGTTCCAAAAGGTTCAATCAATAATTAAGTCGTATTTTTATGAATAAAACTGTCATTGTTTGAAAAAAAAAAAAACTACCACACAAATATGAAATTTTCAGAGTAAATCAGTTGCTTCAGTTTGGTTTGTATTATTGCCATAGCATAGCCCAAATCATTAACTATACAAATTTCAAAATATTTTGTACAAGAATGGTTCAAATACAATATGGCTTACCACAGAATAAATTAAAAGACAACAAGACTACTTTATCAAGCAAACAAGTATTATAAAAATTTTGCAACACTTCCTATATTATTGTTACATTTTAAAACACCAAGTTACCAAAACAAGTTGACGTAAGACTAGATCACTCTTGGTAACTGAGTCCTGAATAAAAGTTATAATCTAGAATAAAATAATTGTTAGTGTATCAGCTAATAAACAAAATAGTTGGTCTAACCCTATTCTTCATCACAATGATGGAAAGTCATCCTTCTTAAAGGTATAACCTTCTTCTTTTCTATTGTTGTAGGCCTTGCATATTGCTTCTGCATCAAATTTGTTTGTCAACACACGCTGAGATGAATTTAGACTATCCAAAGTGTTCTTCACTCCTCGAAATCCTTTACGTCTGTAGATCGAAGATCGTGCAGTTGTAAGAACACTAAGAGCTTCTTCACCAGTCGAAGATCCTGCAGTCGATTGACCGGTAAGAGGATCTTCACCATTCAAAGATTGTGTGGTGGTTAGAAAGCTTACAGGATCTTGACCATTTACATTCTCACTGATTACAGAACTGGTTGCACCTGAATGGAGTGCTTTGTGTTCAACATCAAAGTCCTCAAAACTGTTTGTAAATTTGGCTGCAAGTTTGCTTTTCTTTGGTTTGTAAGGAGAACTAGTAGAAGCAGATTTATGTTTCGGGGCCGGACACATCACGTTGGCAGAAGACTCGTAGTTAATTGAAGGCTCCAATACATGGGCTGTATAAATCCCATTGCCAGGAGACATATGTCCTGGAGACTCCACATCAGCAGGACTCAGGGATGAGGAAACTGAGTGGAAAGATGGTGACGAAGTTTGGTTCAAGCTGTCAGCATCCTCATACTGGTCCGAATTCGAAGAAGCTGCAAAAACAGATATCAATAGAAAAATAATCCAATTGTTAAGTATTAGCTCAAAGCAAAAAAAACTTTTCAGGTCAAGCTCGGAATGTGTAATTTATAATATAAGTTAATGACATCCTTGTAAATACTTTTATTTTTGTGAATGAAAATTAGCAATCTTCTCACAATCACAGGTGATGTTCAGTTTTGCTGTGATCGCTAGAGACGGTAATGTCTTTGTGACTAGGCCTATGAAGGACCATGTTCACGGTTTCGCTGTGACAACGGGTGTTCTCAATTTGGCTGTGACTACATAAGATGTTCACAATTTTGCCTTGACCAGGGAAGATGTTTTTGGTTTTACCATGTTTAAATATTTAATATTCTATGCTTTTAAATTAACATATGATTTTTCAAGTTTATCATACAACTGTTTACTAATAAACTTTTACTGTTGCTAAAAATGTCTCCTTTATTTAAAACTAAATAATAAAAACTAAACATGGCGCAGTCCGAATTTGAGTGAATTTATATTTGTTTATGACCGGCTCAAAAAATGGAATTTCATAAACCAGATGAGTTATCATTAATAGGCGATATGCCAGCAAATTTCAAGCGGTTCAAGGAAGACATTGAAAACTACTTTATAGCCACAGAGACAGTGAAGAAACCCAATTCTGTAAAAGTGGCACGATTGAAAATTTAATTGATAAAGAAGCTTTGCAGTCGTATCTACTTTTTAGTTACTGATGAAACTATAGAATCCAACATGGACATTCTTGGAAATGATTGTTTGCCAAAAAGAATGAAATTATGGTTTTTTCAAATTTATATCATGCAGATAATCTGAAGAAGAATCATTTGACAAGCTTCTAGCTAACTTAACCCTCTATCTGGCGCTGGTCGATTTTCGACCACTAAAACGTGAGTTCTCAGTGGCGCTGGTCGATTATAGACCAAGATGACATGGGTCGGGTTTTTCTATTATTAAAATATGAAAACAGTTTTAAAACGCAATAAATCTTATACCATTAGAGATGAGATTCTGAGGATTCATTTTCATGCATAAAACATTATTGAGTGAGTATTATATAGCGAGAAACGGTAGTTTGAAAAACTAGAGAGTTCAAAATAGATTTTGGCGGTGGAAAGTTTTGGTCACCCGACTACAACAACAGCTGTTTTTGGTGATTGTCAATTAAATTGTATACAATATTAGTACATATTCTGAAACTACAATAAATTCCCTACAATTCCCTGTGAATCTATAAGGTTGATTGTAAAAATTTTATTTGTTTTTAAAAATGTCATAAATATTATTTTTTTGTAAATAAATCTTCAAAATTTTACATTCCGACGTAAATTTCTCCGACATTTTAGATTTCAACTAAATATAACTATATATTTTCAGAAAGATCTTTTTATTACCTATTGTACAGTATCATTTATTATAAATTACCTCTGTTTGCACAAAGAGTTTTTTTTACCGTCAATTTATTCCAGAACACTAAAAATTCAGCTTCAAGCAAGACAAATAAAAAAAAAGGTTTAAATTATACGATTTTTTTTCTCCTATATATTTTTTACTTCCCATTTAAATTAATCTTTTCGCAACTCGAGTCTACGCACAGGCCCTGCCTATGTAGACTTTTTCCTTTCTTATAGAATGTATTTTTTTTTTAACACTTTTATTTACTTATTTCTACAGTATATAATTTTTGTTTTGTTATCTAGTTAGTAATATTTTGCTGTTTCATATTTAAGAAAAGAAAAAAATACAATGTACTTGTCTGTAAATAATTAATGGGAAATAAAATATTATTTCATTTCATTTCATTTCATTTTTTGTTGATGCATTCTATTATTTCCTACGTGACAAAAAAAAATTTGCTAGTTTTTCAAAAAAGAAAACATGTATGAAGAATTTATTTTTTTATAATTTTATTTTTATGAGTATTTAAAAAACATTGATATTTCTACGTAGGGAATCATATTTCACACAAACTTTACATTTAGATAAAATGTGTAAAAAAATTATTTTGTGGTTTTCTTGTGGGTTGCTTTTGAAATTTCTAATTTGCATAATCCAAAAATTTGCAAACCTTTTGCTACTACGCCTAAATGCATTGCTAGGAAAAGAATATTTTTATATTATTATATTATAAATTCATCACTGAAATAGAAAATATATATATGTGTGTACTTATATTCACAAATAAATGTTCTGTGGCAAAATATATGATACCACTACAAAAGCGCCAAAATATACCCGCCACTGGTGAATAAAATGACCGCCAGATCTAGGGTTAAGGCATCATGTAAAGATTTGTGATTTCAAAGATGAAAAGTCTAAATTAATGAAAGCACATATAGGAATTGGAATTTTTTCCAGAGAAGCCCAGGAAGGTTTATTAAGGGGATGCATCATTAAAAAAACTTATTGAATACTACAAGAGTATTGATCTTGCCAAAAATAATTTGAAGATTATAAACAAAGAAAACGACCAGGTACCTTTTTTCAGTACTGACCAGATAAAGCCAAAATAATATAACATTGCAGCTTCCAAAAACCAATGTAGGAAATGTGGAAGGGATCACGACTATAACCAGACCTGTTCTGCATTGGGCAAATTTTTTAATTGGTGCAAGAAGCCAACCATTTCAGCAACGTCTGTTTGAAGAAACGTGCTCCAGCAACAAGGCAACAAAGACAATCCCATCCTACTTTTATATAATATCAATGAAAAACATCAAGAGGCTGAAGAAAACAAGGCTGATTGATCAACTCTGTGCACTTTGTAAACACCGTTAAACAAAAGGTATGGTTCAAAAACTTACTGATTGACAATACCTTACGTGTCAATTTCAAACTTGAAACGGGTGCTGAGGTAAATGTATTACCTCATTATTATGACATCATTAAGAACTGTGGCTTATCTTGTAAGCTAAGAAAAAGTAAGGTACAACTGGAAGCATATGGTGGCTTTAACATAATAGCTTTGGGAGAGATTACTGTTGTAGTAGAAACGTAAGAGAAATTAGATGTAATGGATTGTATTGTAGTGGAAGTTGACCAAAGTTGAAGTTATACAAGCTTTAAAGAACCCTTCTAATATGAAAGAATTGCAAAGTTAATTGTGTATGGTAAACTTCCTTCGATCTTTCATCCCTTACTTATCGCAAATAACTTCGCCACTTAGGGAGCTCTTAAAAAAAAGAATGTTCATTGGCAATGGACTGATCTACACTCAAAAGCTTTTGATAATATTAAACAAGTAATCTCTAGTGACCAGATTATTGCTCCCTTTAAAATGACAGCTCCTATCATCATACAGTGTGATGCATCTCAAGATGCTCTTGGGTGCTGTTTGCTACAAAACAACAAACCTGTATACATGGTGGCAAAAAAATCTTAACTCAGTTGAGGTCGGTTATGCCCAAGTTGAGAAGGAATTGCTAGCAGTATATTTCCCCTGTTTAAAATTACACGCTTATATCACTATTCAATCTGATCATATGCCCCTTGTGTCACTAATGCAAAAACCTATCAATAAAATTCAGAGTAATAGATTAAAACGACTTAGACTAAAGTTATTGCACTACAATTTCAAAATACAGTACTTGGCTGGTAAGTACATGTATATAGCTGATTTCTTGTTATGATGTGGCGTAAAAACAAAAGTCAGTTGACCACACTATGCTAGATATGGTACACTGTGTAACCGAAACAGGATTTGTAAATTTTGCAGATGAACGACTTTAAGAGTTCAAAAAAGAAAATGCAAGTGATGATATTTTGGGACAAGTTGTGAAGTATTATGTCAATGGATGGCCTACATCATTGCCTTGTGGAGGAGATCTAGCGAATTATTTTAATATCAGATATGACATTGAGTTGAATGGTGGCTTAAAGTTGTATTTCAAAAATCGTCTAATAATCCGGAAGAAACTGAGATCCATAATTATCAACCGACTCCATGCATGAGACTTATCTTGGTGAATCAAAAATGAATTCAATTAATTGTCTCCAATTTCTATTACTGGCCACGTAAAACTACTGGACGTAAGAGCAGTTTTGATGTGATATTTGTCAGAAATATAGAAGATCAAACATCAATGATTCGCTCATTTGCCATGAGATACCTAATGTTCCTTTCTTGAAAGCTGCCGCAGACATTGCTGAATGTGCTGGGAAGATATACTTGATACTTGTTGACTTCTACTCTAGATGGTTAGAGGTGGTCAAACTGAATAGTAAAGTTTCTTCGTGAAGAACGCATTAGTCCAAATATTTGGTAGATTTGGGATTCCACAAATTATGATAGCTGACATGATGCATTTTGATTCTTACGAACTGACAGAGTTCGCAAAGGAGTATAATTTTAAAATACAAACTACAAGTCCTAACTATCCTCAAGCCAATGGCTTAGCAGAAAAAGCTGTGGGTATTGCTAAAAAACTTACAAAAACGTCCTCATAATCAGGATCAGATCTAAATTTGAGCTTACTTAACTACAGAACAGGGTTGTTGCAGGACTCGATTATTCTCCAGCTCAGTTACTAATGGGGAGGGTATTAAGATCAAAATTACCTCTTCCAAATCACAGATTATAGAGCCTAAGATAATTCTTCATCAAGACTTGCAGATCGAATGCAGACAAAAAGAATCAATCAAAAATCTTATAATGATAATACGACTAAACAAGAAACATTATATAAAGAAAAGGATCCCATTTATGTACAAGATGTTCGGACCAAGCACTGGGAGCCAGCTACCATAGTAAAAGTTGGCGAAACTCCAAGGTCATACGTAGTGCAAGATAAAAATGGAAAACAATTCAGATGAAACTCTATCTTCATAAGAAAAAGAAAAGTTGTATTTGTTAAAGGGGAAGATGTTTAGATATTTAATATTATATGCTTTTAAATTAACATATGATTTTTCAAGCTTATCTTACAACTGTATACCAATAAGGTTGTTGTTGTATTTTTTTTTTTTTTTTAGAAACTTTTACTGTTGCTAAAAATGTCTCCTTTATTTAAAACAAAACATATCACACCCGACCCAAGTAAAAAAGTCAGCTCTGCAGACTCCTAGTTATTAGATAGTATTATGAATATAAAATTATCATATACCTACATAACAAGTGACTAGGTGACTTTTTTACTGAGTTTAATTTTAATACAAGCTTCCATTAGGTTTTAAATAAGTTAATATTTCTGGTGTTCTAAAAAATTTTGCCCCTTACAATAACAAAACAAGATATTTTAAAAATAAAGAGTCTTCATGACTAAAGAAGCAATATTAAGTCGACTTGTATCAGCTCAAGTTTAGAGATTAACAGAAAAAGTTCCAAGCAATTATGTTTTGCTTAATGCTCACACTCACACACACACAGATTGCATTGGTCTAGACAACAGCACATTGTTTTTTTTTTTTACTTTTAATACTTTTCGATGAAATGGCGACCATACAAAGTAGGTATTTTAAGCCAAGTATAAATGGAGATGAGTGTAGGATGAGTGGCGCGATCTTGTAGTCTTGTTAGTGGCTAAGGCCGACATATTCCTTAGACACAGCTGATAATTAATAGCCCATACAGCTAATGGCAACTAAGGGACCTACAGTTTATAGTGGAATCCGAACCACATTTTTGCCTTGGTATATACGAATTGGTCTAATTATCAGGATAGTACAAAAGGACAAGGAGCTTTTATTTAACTAAGGCCCTGTACACATGAGGGCGGCAGCCGCCGCGGTGGCCGCGGTGGCCGCAGCGGCAGCCGCCTAGGACCGTACACATGGCAGCGGTTGGAGCTGCGGTTGCGGTGTGAATTGAGCGTCGCTCGACAGCCAGTACTGTATTTACCCAATTATTTTTCTTTTAAACGCGTAACGCTTGATAATTCTTTTCAGCAAAAAACTCAACTTACTCTTGCCACGCAATCTTTTTTAGTTTGTGTCCTAAACGTAACTTATTTTTGTACTTCTTTACTGAACAGTTCAGTGTCAAAGTTTTCTGGTTCCACAGCACCACGCATGGCCATTGTAAACTTACACAACGAGCACTACATCAACTCCAGCCACAACTACACACTATCTTCACCAACACAGAGAACGATGTCCACAGGGCAAGCGCGCAGATGTCTGTGATCCTATAGTAGCAACTGCAGTCAACCGCGGCGGCTACCGCCCTCATGTGTACGCTCTCATGCCAACTCTAGTAACTTCAACCGCACGGGAGCCGCGGCGGTCGAAGGGAAATCTACGACCGCCGCGGTTTGTTGCGGTTGATTGGAAGTGGGCGGTTGCATGTGAACGGTCCCATTTGCTCCTTTGTACTTTCAACCGCCGCGGTTCCCGCGCAATGGCAACCGCGGCGGCTGCCGCCCTCATGTGTACAGGGCCTGAGCATTTATATGCTTAACTGCAAAGGGTGCAATTTGGGGTTAATTTTATTATGACTCATTTTCATACATAAGAAAATCACAAATTAGGTTAAACTTTGAATTACAACTTTAGGGTTTGGTATTATGAGTCACCTGAAAACAAATCTAAGGTATGATTGTCCATGATTGTGTTTGTGCTTTTACTTTATATTTATCTCTTGCTATTTTACTGTCTTTAAAATTATCCCGGCCAAATCAAATAATCTATTTACAACTACTGCTCCCAACCAAACTACTGCTGGTTCTCTAGAACGTTATTCAATTGTTGACAGACACTAGAACAGTTCAATTGACTTAAGTGTTAGTTAACATCAATCAGGTTTAAATATTAACAAAAGAAGGAAGTTTTCCTTAAAAACTTTGGTTGAATGAATGAATTGATAACAAAATCCAATTCTAGACTAACAAAAGATAAATTAAACATGAACTGCAATAGGTAATTTGTTGTATTATTTGACAAAAAGGAATTATTAATGGGATTCCAAAATCATTCCTGTGTAGCAAGGGTTCCTATAATAATCAATTATTTATAGCCTAATTTAATGTTCCAAAGTAAACAAACTTAAAACAATAAGTGTTTGAGAGCAGTTTTTTTACCTAATATACCAATTTACTTACATTCATAATTTAAGTAGGCCTTATTGTCATTTTCATCTCGATAATTGTTCGATGCTTTCTCTTCCCAATACGATTTCTGTGTTCTGTTGCTATAGAGACGAGACTCGATCTGTCAGGGCAGAATACATGATTAAAACAACAATAGACTTTAGAAAAAGTCTTCACTGATAGGCCTATTGCATCTGAAGTTGAGGCAGGCTACCTGACCTCGACCTTACCTGAGAGGATAGACAGAACAATAAATAGCTACGCAGATCCCATTAAAATTATGATGATTAATTAAAAATATAATAAATTTGTTATAACTGATAATATATTCTATGTTCATAATAAATTAATTTAATGGTGGTTTCTGTACACCCGTGAATTCGCGGGTAGAACCTCTTGTAGGCCTATCTTATAAATTACATACCCTAAAAGACAATGTACAAAACAAAATGAAACTTAAACTAAACACAACCATACCTACCAGTTAGGTAAATGTAGATTAGTATCACTTGAAAACGAGGGGAGTTTCCTTACCAATACCTCATTTAACTACTTTTCCTGAGTGTAAAAATCTAATTACAGCTGGTGCACACCAATAAAATGTCCAATTCAACAAATATTCAAATCATTTACTAAGCCAGATATAACAATACTAGCTGTAACCCGCGGGCTTTGCCCCGTTTAACTTCTTAATTTTCAAGATCATCTTGTTCGCATGGCTCAATAACGTCCTGGTTGAAGTTTGTTCGCTACGCTCACTCACCTTTAGGTTGGAGCTCGTTCGCTACGCTCACTCACCTTTAGGTTGGAGCTCGTTCGCTACGCTCACTCACCTTTTGGTTGCAAATTAGCTGTTGTCATAAATGTAAAAGAAATAATAGTGCTGCGCCCTGTTGGTAATCCTTGTAACTTTAATGCTATTGAAAATCATAGAACAGAACCAACTTGTTTAATTGAAACAGCTGTTAAGATTCAATAATTCCATTTCTCATAAGTTTAACATGGGAAACTCCAGAGCCACTGGGGCGGAGCCCGAAAGGATTTTTGAAAGAAGAATATGCCTATATGTTAATCGGGAATGTGAGCTATCATCATGCCAAATTTCAGCCCAATCCGACCAGTATTTTTCGCGTTCACATGTCACAAACATCCAAACTTTCTCATTTATAATATTAGTAGGATAGAATTTGTATTGGCTAGGTCATTTTTAAATGCCAACAGTAAATTATCCAACTTATATTTAACTTAAATTTAAAAAAAAACACTAGGCTACCTATTTTTTTCACACATGATTACCTGATATAAACTCTCTTGCACCTTCTGCTCTCTTTGGAAGAAGGACCTGTCCGAGTCAGCCCGCCGACTGTGGTTATCAGAAGGCCTATTTGACACACCTGTTTCCTCAGACAGAACAGCTCCTCTGCCACGACCTCTTTTGTGTGGTGGAGCCTTAACAGAAACATTCCAACTATTTACACCACTAGAACACTTGACAGTTGCTATTAAGTCAGCAACAACTGACAAGGTACAGTAGATCTCCAACCATTCAAATCAATTTTATCACATTTGGATAGTAAAACATTTAATTTAGATAGCGCTGGATTATTGTTGAAATTTATGGTATTTTATAGACAATATGCCAACCTTTTACTGTGACTGAACAGTCATTTTCAATGTTATGTTACTCTTAATTACATGTTATTCCAAACCTCAGTAAAGAATCAAACTTCAACTTGACAAGAAGTCGATAATCCTTATGACATAAGGTTCTACTGTGGATCACAATTAAGGTCACACTCGCCACAAATGAGGAGGGGGATGACGACCTTTGCAAGACCGTGGAAGATATTTCAGAACTTCCACAATAACGGCTTCTGCCTTTAACAAGTTTTTACTAATGGTGTTTTAGGTTTCTGAAATTCGTTCTGTAAATGAATCGGTAAATTATAAGAGTTTAGATACCGGTAATTAACCTATCATTTTTTTTAAACAGCTAGTTATAAACCTTTGTTTGATTAAGTTAATTATTTAACTTTGTTAACACTTGAACTTTCAAGTAGCTGTAGGCCGTTTAAAACCAAGGTAAAATGTTCAACGTTATTAAAATTATGAAAGGCCCTGAAACCTCAAATTTAGTTGAATTCTAAACCCCAGCCTTTTTTACCAACAAACAAGATTAGACTTTTACTGCTAATTTAACTTACATATAATGCTTTATCTCTTTTCATTTGGTGCATCATGTTTTCTCTATGATACTCTTCTAATTCAAGCTCCTCCTTCTTTTGCTTTTCTTCTTGTTGTTTTCTAAGTTTTTCTACTTCTTTGCGTTGCTTTTCAGATCTTTCTTTTTTTTCCCTTTCTTCCAAACCATGCAACACTATATTTTGAGGCTCAACATGGCCAAATAAGCTTAGATTTGTCAGCTCTTGTATAATGTTAGAAGACATTTCCATTCTGAAACAGATATAAATAATTTAAAACTTACTCAGTCAGGACTGAAGTTGAAAATCTTATCCCAACATAAGGGGCAGTGGCGGCTAGCCCATAAGGACTCTCGGACGCCGCCCTCCCAACAATACATAAATAAATTACATTTTAATATTAATATTATTCAGTTAAATTTAATTAAAATTATTTTAACGAGTACTTCAAACTATATAGGCTACAACATAAATATATCAAATAATTGGATAATTCAATTCAGTAAAGATTAAATTTTGATCGTCGCTTGCTTAGTAAGGACGGCGCGGACGGCGGCTAGACCGTCCCAATCCCAATACATGTAGTCTTAAGGCAGAACAACCAAACCAGCTCTGAGGGTGCCATGACGTAATTCCAATGCTTTAGTATGGGCGCTTTGGAGCAGAGTCCAAAGCTGCGCGCACACTCTTAAATCAGGGCAGCCACCACAATCTGGATATTCTGTAAGACAAGCTACCATTATGATGGGTAGAACTGATGTTGGCACACCTGTTTGTCATAACTCAAACCTATAATGCATAGTAGCCTAGTTACCAAACAAATTAGAAATAATTATCATACAGTAAGTAACTCATTTTCAGAAACAAAACCACTCGTCAAACACGATAAAAATTGTAGAAACACACGACAATTAAACTCCAACAACTCTCGTATGGATACAAACACAGATGATGCAATGCCACTTCTTCCAACAAAGTCGTACAAAACACGAAACTCAAAGTAAAGCAAAAGCTGTTTCTTTATGTAGGCTAGCCTGACTCATGACAAATCGTCTTATAGGTTTTATGTCCCATTTGGACTATCAGCTCGCCAGTAAGTTTTAAACAAACATTTAGCAGACGTCCAATAGGCCTATATCGAACCGTGGTGGTTTTTGTAATAGCGCCACCGTGGCGGCCAAAGGGTTACCCTAACTTAACTAACCAAACTATATATCGGATAATCGATCGATATTTTCTTCATTCGGTTATTTGTGCCAACAGATACGGAAGTCTACCCAATTAACTCTATTAATAGACCTAACTTATTTCTTGCAGAAACTGCAACATATAGCCTACTAATCAAATTGTATTTAGCTGCATAGGCCATAGGCCTAGGCCTACCTCTATGATCATATAGCCTAACCTAGATAACTTAAGTTCTGTTTTTAAGTTAAGGATTTGGGTACCGAATGTGAAAACACTCTGCATTATGCATTATATTTAAATGGTTGTCTAAAAGTTTTGAAGAACAGGAAGAGACTATAAGTTATCCTGCTTCATATTAAAAACTGTAAATTAGCCTATTTAGGCCTAGGCCTACCAACTTATGTGTAAAATGCAGATACAATGGTTGTTAGTAGTGGTCAGTAGGCCTAGTAGGGTCTAGGCTATTTTTTATTTATGCTTGAACACAAAATATCAATTATGTTGCACAATATGTTAAGTCTATCTCATGTTTAGGTTAATCCCTAGGCCTAATATAAGTTACCTTGAAAATGCAGGATCACCACTACGTTGAGGAGAAATAAGTTTTTTATTTAGGGCCTATTTCTATGTTGGATCCAGTGGTGAAATAATACACTGCACCCTCACAACGTAAACTTCGGACTATAGAATTATAGAAAGTATTCCCTATTTGTTTATTTTTACTTCTAAAGAGTAGGCTTAGGCTACTGAGCGAGTAGACAGACAGACCTTTAGAAACTTCTGTCTGACTGAGACTGAGCACTGAGACTAGTGAGACTGACTAAGGACCGGACCATAGAACTACTGATTGATTACTGAACTGAGGACTGGACTGAGCTAGGCCTAGTGAGCTTGAAAACAGTGTATCGTATCCACGGGGCTGTGTATCCATCCACACACGACCAAATAAATAATCCCGCTTGCCGGGTATTGAAATCCCGTTTAATCCCGCTTTTGAATTATGGCATATCCCGTTTTATCCCGCATGTTTTTTTTGTTCAATCCCGAGTGTTATATTTGACGTGCCATGTTTAAATAGTTGTTTAAACATTGCTATTATCTTTTGCTACAGTAGTTTAATCAAATTGGAGTTTGTTTTTTCCCCTCAAATTAAATAGAAGAAAAATAAAAATATACGTCATAGCTGAAAATCCCGTTTTATCCCGCATCCCGTTTTAATCCTGCTCGTGGTCTAAAAATCCCGTTTTCGGGATAATAATCCCGAGAATTGAAACACTGTAAATTGAAAGCAGAAGCAAAAATAAAACAACGGGGGTGGAGTGAACAGGAGAGCACAAGTTCACATGTACAGAAACCTTATACTGACGTCATAAATATCGAATATATATATCGATTGTATCGGGTGGTTACGGGTTTTTCTTCGGAATGTAAGTATCGGTTGCACCGAATAAGTAAAGGGTTTTTTTTGTAACACTTTATTTGACGAATTGAATACTCTCGGTAGTTTATCCATTAAAAATCAAATAGTAGAAATACAATAATATTCGTTACAGGCTGGGAATAAAATAACTACAGTACTGATACTTTGGATTGAACATCCAAGATGTTTGCAATTGTTTTCGTATTTACCTGACTTATAAAATAAAAACTTGAGTTCACAGGACGTTGAATACTAAGAATTTATTTCATAGCATCCACAATAATACAATAACTGTAATTAAAGTAGACGAATTACAGGAATTATTATCGATTCTAGAAGAGAGTGAAATAATAATTGTAACTTTGACATGTTAACGTTATGTTAATGTTTGGGAATGATTTACTAACAGATATTGCCCATCAGTGTAAGGTGACAATTTAAGAAGCCCAAGAGGACTGTTTTAGATATATTATTTTATGGAATTTACAGTCACGTAAAATAGGCCCTACAGTTTAACCATTGACTAAGTACTGTGAGTACATTAATCAATGGTTTAGGTTTACAGAAAAAAGTAGAGCTTTTTACTCATTTCCCCCTTTAGTACATCTTAATAAAACACCATAAGTTTTACCCAATTATATTATTCTGGCTCCATTTAATTCACAATAACGTTATACTTACTAAGCCTTATCTTGTTATTTATAAATGAAAGTACTGGGACATAATATAAATAAGGAAACATTAAGTAGTAGTAATCCGATTAATTTATAGGATAGTTTATTACTTTTTGATCGCACCACATTCTATATTATTCAACTCGAGCCTACGCACAGGCCACTAGTGCCCATATAGTCTCGTTTCCCATCAAATTTATTTTTACGTTAAGGAACCATCTTAATTTTTTTTATTAATTATGTTACATGAATTCAATGTAATAAATCAAATGTTTCTCATTTTAGTTATATACCATAAGTCCTTTCATATGTAACATTACTCAATTACTTTTATTTATATATATATTATGCTTCATATAATTACAAACTTGGATGTGGTAGAAATTTCATGTTCTCTTAAAACATCTAAAAATTCATCATAGCCTTTAGCCCACTTGTACTTTTCTGGCTCCATTTAAAAAGTAGTAAGTTTATTGAAAATAATCAGAACGAGTCTATTAACATGGTCACCGGGCACAGCAAAGTGAATAAGTGACGATGTAAAGCCGTGTCGTGTCCCTTCGGCCTTCGATAATCGATTGCATAAACCATCACGATTCCGATAGCTGAACAGTAGTCGATAGTAATGTGACGTCATTATAAGGTTTCTGTACATGTAAAAAAGTGGCCTCCGAGTGGACAGGACAGGACTGGAAGTAAAGTAGTACGTTACGTAGTACACTGACCGAGATTCTCGTTTGAGAACGAGAATTACTGACTGACACTGACAACAACCGACAACAACCAACAAACAACATTTCAACGGTTGTGTTGGGGGGTTGGGTCCTGTTTGCGAACAGGGGAAAATCGAAAATCTGTCCGTTTTGCGAACAACTAAAACATGTCGTACGCAACGAACTATAGGCTACTACGTCGTACGTCACCTGTCTTCAACCTTTCCGTTTTAGCGAACGCGAACACATTTGAAACGATCCTTGAAACTTAAAACCAGAGAAAGATATTACTATTACCATAGATAAAACATACTTTGTGTTGCTTAGTCTATGCTATTACCTACCTGGAACGCGTAGTGGGCTTTTCAAGTTGAGTAGTTTTCGACCGCTTTTGAGTTTGATCATTTACTCAATTGGTTTAAACGAAGATATTATTAGCAAATTTTCCAACAAAAAGTATAGAAGTATTTAAAACAAATTAAAATATTTAACAAACTAGCAACAGAGCCCGTTGTGCAACGGTCTTTAGTAAAGTAATTGTTATGAAATCCATACAACACTTTTTTTTCTCACTAATATTAATGGTACAGATTAACAGATTATAAGCACTATTAGGATCACTTAACATAAGGAACACACTTTTAAACACATACGCAAATTGTTAACAACAACAAATTTAACCAAAGACAAATAAAACAAAATAACAATATACAGTAACAATAAGCTGTTAAATTATTAACACAATATGTTGCGTATGATTAGACCATGCATACTGGTAAACCAATTATTGCCATCTATAAAAATTATTGGTTTTTCTTTTCCGTGTCCTGGTTAGCTCTTCTACCCGACCGATTTTCATAATTTTGGCCTTAAACTAAAAGGTATGGACGCACCACAGATTTGCTATCAATAAGCATCGGAATTAATTTTGACGGTTCGAGTTAAATGCACAAACTACCTCCCTGTACATTTCTTATGGAAGTTAAATTTGGTTTTTTCTATTTCGTTTGGCTCTTCTGACCGACCAATTTTCATAATTTTGGTCTTAAAATAAAGCTATGCAAATTTCAAGCACATATTTGTCATCAAGCATCATCATTAATTTATCTAATGTATTACTCTAAACAAAATATAAATTTGATTTTTTACTTCAATTAAAGATGTATCCCAGCAGTTCTAATTACATTACCCTTTATGTTTTGGTCTAAAAACCTTTTGTGAAATCCCAGCTTTCATTTGAGCTATTGATTATTAAGATCGGACTACCTAGCACACTGCTGAATCACGAACCAACAATATTATTCTTCCTAATACGAACTCCATGCTATGCTAACCTTCTGCGGGGCGGGGCCCATTGGAAATTTTGTTAAAATCGCTTCTTATCGTCTGCCTGCTATGAGAGGAATATGTATGCAAAATCTCATGCTTCTAGGTGCTATGGTTTGGCCTGTGCATTGATCGGAATTTCGCATTTATATATGGATAAGTTTTAGTTTTGAGCTGTCAAGATCGAACATCCCAACATCACCGTCCGTTGAACAGTATGTTTTCTGTGGTTGTAAGTCATAAGTCATTTATTTAGCCAAATTAACCAAATACAATCAGCGTTAGCCATGTCCAAAATGGTTGAACGGACACTCTGCTTGCTTGTACTAGATTTTTACTGAGAAAATTCACCAGCTCAAAAAATAGGTTGAATTACTATAACAGTAGGCCTACCTGTCTTAAAACTTTGAGTAGGATGAAGTTGAAGTAAAATTGTACTTCGTACCTCTACGGAAGACTTTTCTCTCGTTTCTCAAGTTTGGACTGTTTGTTTATTTATTTATCGAATTAACAACAGTGGTTGAATTTACTATGATTAAGCTGGTTATAAAATAAAAACATGTGAAATATTACAAGCCAGTAAAGTGGAAAGTGGTGTCTTGACTGTGTTGGATATTCGGGTATTGTTCCCCGTATTAACAGACTTTTCCTCATACGATTAGGTTCCGAGAAGTAACGTTCAGAGTGGAATGTCTGAGGAGCCGTTCCTGCCTGTTCTTGGAACATCCCCGTGTCTCGGAACTTGCCTTATCCTGTCTAAATATTGTTTTGGTGCACTGCATACCTCAAAGTTCTTCATCTCCTCGTAATTGTAAACTTCTCTTATCTGCATCCTTCACGTCGTTTTGTACAGAGTTGAATAATCTAGTATCGCTTTACATTACTTTAAATCCAGTTTTACGGTATTGATTTCATGGGTTATTAGCGAATTATTCCCCATATAGGGAATAAGCTATTGCAGTGTATGTCCATTATTATTTGTTCTATTATATTATAAATATATATTATTATTTTATTATCGTACCCTAGTAGCAAAATGATATTTTTAAAATATTACAAAATTCTTTTTTAAAATTTGTATAAAATATTAAAATATAAGTATAAAATATGTACAATATATTTTATAAATATTCATATGCACCATTTTCAGTAATTTTGCAATATTTTAAACATATTTAAAAATATTTAAGAAATGTTGTAAACAATATATTGTAAATATTTTTTAAATATGATAGTAATATTTAAACATCTTAAAATATATATTTTATTAATATTTCAAAGTATGTTTTGAAAATATTTCCATGCACTTTTTTCAGTAAATACTTAATATTTTTAAAATATTTTAAAATATTAACAATGCCTATACACAATATTTAAAATATATTTTAAATTTAATATTTTTATTATTAAAAAATTTTAAAAATATATTTTAAAATTAATTTATAAATTGTTAATAAGCAACTAACCCTTATTTTGATATCAAAAGTATTTTTGTGGTATTTTAAAATATCATTTGAGACACAATATATTAATTCTTATCACAATGTACAATCTATTAAGTTACTAAACCCCATTATATTCTCTGTAAACCTTTTGTGATTGATAAAAATAAATTTTATAAACTCTGTTTAGAGGCTCAAACTAATCCTATTAAATTTTAGTCAATCATCATTATAGAATATTGCTTAATCAGTAAAATTGTCAGAAAAAATATTACATTTATTGATTTCATTTACCTATAACCAATTACCACATAGCTAAAAGTATAATAGCATACTTAAAGAAAAATTAAAGCAGTCACTTGGGAAATGAAAACAGCTCTTAGTAAAAAAACATTATGATTATTTCAAACCAATACAAAAATAACCACACATAAAATATGACAATACAACTAATTATAACAATACAACAATTAATTAGTACAACTTGTTGAGATGTATGTTCTAAAAAATACATAGAATTGCCGTTATTTTTAGAAATAGTTTGGTATTCAAAACATTGGACAGTGAAAATTGACTTTGAGCTAGAATCTCAAAGGACAATATAGTAATATTTATATTGGATCGATGCAGAAACCAGCCAACCAAATTAATAGCCTAAATCCCCGATGGGCCTATTGTGTGAGCACAGCTTAGAAAGAAAATGTTATAATTAGGCCTATTGCAAAAAATTCAAGAATAATTTCAAACAAATACAAGAATAACAACACATTAAGTATGACTATAAAACAAATTATAACAATACAACAATTAGTTCAACTTGTTGAGATGTATGTTCTAAAAAATACATAGAATTGCCGGTATTTTTAGAAATAGTTTGGTATCCAAATTAAGACATTGGACAGTGAAAATTGGCTTTGAGCTAGAATCTCATAGGACAATATTGTAATATTTATATTAGAGCGATGCAGAAACCAGCCAACCAAATTAATAGCCTAAATCCCTGATGGGCCTATTGTGTGAGCACAGCTTAGACAAAAAATGTTATAATTAGGCCTATTGCAAAAAATTCAAGAATAATTTCAAACATCTACAAGAATAACAACACATTAAGTATGACTATAAACAAATTATAAAAATACAACAATTAGTACAACTTGTTGAGAGGTATGTTCTAAAAAATACAGTGAATTGCCGGAATTTTTAGAGATAGTTTGGTATCAAAATTAACACATTGGACAGTGAAAATTGGCTTTGAGCTAGAATCTCATAGGACAATATTGTAATATTTATATTGGAGCGATGCAGAAACCAGCCAACCAAATTAATAGCCTAAATCCCTGATGGGCCTATTGTGTGAGCACAGCTTAGACAAAAAATGTTATAATTAGGCCTATTGCAAAAAATTCAAGAATAATTTCAAACATCTACAAGAATAACAACACATAAAGTATGACAATAAAACAAACTATAACAATACAACAATTAGTACAACTTGTTGAGAGGTATGTTCTAAAAAATACATTGAATTGCCGGAATTTTTAGAGATAGTTTGGTATCCAAATTAACACATTGGACAGTGAAAATTGGCTTTGAGCTAGAATCTCATAGGACAATATTGTAATATTTATATTGGAGCGATGCAGAAACCAGCCAACCAAATTAATAGCCTAAATCCCTGATAGGCCTATTGTGTGAGCACAGCTTAGACAAAAAATGTTATAATTAGGCCTGTTGCGAAAAATTCAAGAATAATTTCAATCATATACAAGAATAACAACACATAAAGTATGACAATAAAACAAATTATAACAATACAACAATTAGTACAACTTGTTGAGATGTATGTTCTAAAAAATACATAGAATTTCCGGAATTTTTAGAGATAGTTTGGTATCCAAATAAACACATTGGACAGTGAAAAGTGACTTTGAAGAATCCCATAGGAAAATATAGTAACCATGCTTGAGGGCTCTTATGGTTTCATTGAGGCTCGCCTGTTTGATCTTCTACTTGCTGTCCCCTGTAATAAGACAAGGCAATTAAAATTATATTATTCCCAACAAGGTTAATCAAAACAGAATTTGTTGTAAATCAGTACTAATAATCTTTTATACTTGTAGTTGGATCTACTTGGCAATTGTTTCCCCAGGCAATTATCACTCCAAAAACCACTCTTTTAGGTTCAGGGGGACCCAAAACTATACACAAAAAACTCAAACTCAAAAATGTTGATCAAAACAATACTTTCTCTGTATACGATGTATAGGGGATAAAGTGAATATTATAATGTTAAAAATGTATGGCCTACAACAATATAGTAGGTTTATACTTACAATTTGTCATGTTTAGCAGCAGACTGGGCCAGCCAGCTTGCTGCTATAGTAGCGACTTTTGAAAAATCGATGTCCTCCTTCCCTTGAACACATTTTGCTGTTACACCTAAAACAAATAAATATATTATTTACTAAAACATACATAAGGGGTTTAGCTCACACAAGTTACAAGGTAATAGCTGGTCAATTTTCTATGATCCTCATATTTTGCTTTAATGTATTTTAGAGGATTGTAATGGAATTAAAAGGTAATAGATCCAGTTTTTGTGAAATTCCATAATGAAAAATTTTAACAGCTCTACAGCTGATACTTTATATAAGAATCAACCCATTGGGGAAGGAATTAATGCCTACCTGCAGCACCCTCTGGCGGCAATTAATTTTACCGAATTTGTAAACTTTTACTTTAACTGCTATAGAAAGAAAACCTTAGGTAATAAATTAATAATTCTTTCACCATTTTGTTCACAGTAAAATTGTCTACAGAAAAGTGGTAATTGGATAGTCAAAGTTCTAAACTAAAAATATATATATATATATAAAGATTATAAAAATAAAAATTTTAAAAACAATATTTTGAAAGTAAATTTGATATACAAATTCCAAGATTAATCCAGACACCAAATAACACTACTATTATAAAGTGCAATCGATTCCCTACGTAGAAAAATTAAAAGTTGTGAACTTTTATAAGTAATAAAATTTTTTTTAAATTGTTTGTTTACCGTACCGCAGCTGATTTTTGGTGATTGTGGTTTCCATGGCAACACAAAATTGTTTGTTATTCGCTAAAATAAATGAGTAAATACACAAATCAAGAAGCAATATATTTATAAACATTATAATAGTAAGAAGAAACAAAAAGGGCGAAAAATAATAATAACTAAATAAAAAATGGCGCTGCCTAGCGGTGACACGAGCGGCTCTCGTAAGTCGGCCGCCGGGCCTGCAGCGGCCATACGAGTAACGCTCGTAAGTCGGCGCCAATGGGTTAAGACAAATACAATAAGATAATTAGCAAAAAGTTTATTGCCGATGTTTAAAAATAGGCCTATGTTAATTCTCAACATGAATACTTAGTACAGTAGGGGAAACTCAAATGAATGAAAACGTGAGGGATGGCTATGAAATAGTAACCTTTCTATTGTGATCATAAATGAAAATTATTTATAATAAACGGTGTCAGAAAACTGACACATACTTTCTCCCTCGTTTTGTTGGATGGGTAAAAGGTGGGAGTAACTTCTTGATGACTATATACCTTAACGTTATGCATCAACACGCCAAATTACTTGGCTTTCTAAGCTTTTTTAATGGTTTCAAAATACTTTACATACAGCCATAATTTTTTTAACTAAATAAAAACCTAGTTCTAAATTTTTAATTTACCTTAACTTTTGAACCTGGGTTTTTCAGGAATCAGAGTGGAACTATTTTATTTGGCGCATTTATAAGCCTATGAAACGATGAAACTTTAATCAAAATAGTTAAAGCAGCTATTCTGCCAAAGCAAGTTCTGTGTTAGTATCTTTCACCAAGGAATCATATCAATAAAATATTTCCCAGGAGGGTAATGGAAGCTTTTTAAGGAATTTCAGGGCCGTGGCACGTCTATATGTTAAGCAGGAACATAATCTATATCAAGTTTTGGCCCATTCGGTTCATTTCTTTAATTAAATGAATTTTCACACTCTGACACACACAGCCTGTCTTTTATAATGCTGCACATGATACATTATTATTATAAAATTATAATGAGTTTATACCAATTTTTAAATTTGAATGTTAAATAATACATAAAGACTATCAAATCAAGTAATACTTTAAGAGTTGCAAGAAAAATGCTATATAAAAGGTTAACAAACCAAAGAGCAGTTTTGCAAGTCGTAGGTCTTTGAAAGCCATTTTATCTATCCTGTGATCCTTCCTCTTCATCCCTTTCCAGGTGAACTGGGAGGCTAGTTGAATTGTTATCAGTTTGCGAAGTGTACTTGTCACAGTACGGGACAAGCTACTTTTTTCAGCACATGCTGAGAGAGCATTTACCTAAAAAATTATAGGTTTAAGTAATGCTGTATATCACTAGTGTTAGGTTTTGGTTTGTAAATTATTTCTTTCCTAAGTTTTATTAAATAAATAGGCTAATGGAATTTATATTCCATCAAAGTATACAACCAGAAGTGTACTTATCTGCCTACTGGGGGGATACAAATTCTGGGGGGATCTAACTGCTAGAAAGTTAAATTTGGTATGCAGGTAGTTTTTGGGTCACAACCAAAAAGAAATTCCCCGAGTAATGTAGAAATGAAATTTCTATTTCAACCCCGCAAAATAATATTTTTTTAAATGGCGGTTTTTAAAATAATAGATGATCTTTTGACACTAATAATCTCAAGATCAATAAGCCTTAGCTTCAATCTGACCCGAAAACAATGGTTGGGAATGAAGAGGACTAAAAGACGGTGCAGTAAATTTTTCAATTTTTCAACACTTTACTTTGAAAAAACACGGCCCAAACACTTTTTATAAGTATTTTACAGATTATTTTTGCCTTCCAAAATATAACATTGAACGTTTAATGGTTAAATATGAAAATCAACCTAGTTTCCTACATTTTCAATGAATTGCATACTGTTTCTATCTCTCGCCTCTTTGAGTCAAAAATATTTAATTCCAAGTTAAAATTAATTGTAATTTTACATGCTTTCTATATGTAAGTAGGATGAGAAAAATGCTGTTAAAGTTTACAGTTTTTTTACAAGGATGTCACGAATTGTGACATCACATAGTGACATCATATAGACATGCACTGTGGATGCGATAGTCCCTGGTGTGGATTAACGCCCGCACTAGTGAGTACTATGGATATCCGCAGTACCGGTACTATCCTGATGATGAGACCAATTTTTTAATTGCAAGGAAAAATGTGGTTCGGATTCCACTATAACCTGTGGGTCCCTTTAGTTACCATTGGCTGTATGGGCTATTAATTAACAGTCTAAGGAACATGTCAGTCTTAGTCACTAACAAGACTACAAGATCACACCACTCATCCTACACTCATATTTGGGTTAAAATATGCACATTGCAGATCTTAAATAATTGATATAAATGGAGGGTTAACATGACTTCACACAACATTTAAAATTTTATAAAAACTAACAGTCAAAGAACAACATGATCAACTCTAATGTCTTAGAAAAAATAATTATATTCAATAGACTTGAATTATAGAATGACACTTACTGCTTGATTGAAATTTTCCTGGCTTTTAAGATTTTCTTCCATTTCTGAAAGATCTTTCCTATTGGAAATGGGAAACCCATCTAGGGTTGCCAAAATGTTTTCACTGCTGCAAACAGCTTCACTTTGAAGGCCATCATTACTAGGCCTGCTCGCTAACTGGTCCAATTTGGAAGAGATGTTTTCTAGCATCTCCTTGAAGTAGGCCATGTTCCCTTTCATGCTGATCAAATTCTCTGGAAAAATCCATACAAAACACGTATGTAAAACAACATTCTAAATCAAAATGAGCATTTGTATCATGTTGATTGTAAGTAGGGATTTGATTATACAGTACTATTAAGACCCAGCAAAGGAAAATTGAGCTACGATACTAAAATTGTAGCCAGTACATTCTCAACAATAGAACGTGCCATAAAAAGCTATTTTTATGAACTATAATGAATTTTGAGCCCAAAGTTGTTATTGCGCACAAGGTTATATTTAGGACACAACCAGATTCTGGACCAAGAATTAACCCATCAAAAAGCTTCTAACTTTCTCAGGATCCATCTGGCTTTCTTCGCAATTAAAGACAAGCGCTAATAACACCCCACCACCCAGCCAAGGTTAAGTTAAATAAAAAATTACCATCACATCAGTTTCTGTAACATTATAGATACAGTTTGTGTGCACAGCCTACATTGTTTAGTCATATAACATTCTTGTGTCTATTTAATTAAATAAAAAATTTTTAATATTTAATTTTTAACCAATACTGCAGCAAAATTGAGGGATTTTTTGAACACGATAAAAGCAGCTGCCTGTACAGAACTTATGGAAAGAAACAAAAACCGTAGATTTGTAACTTGACAGTAATAATTTTTAGCTGTTTATTATCTCCACACATCAGTGTTATACATGAAAACTCATTCCATGTTTCCCAATTCATATAATTTACCTTAGCCTGATATTAAATTGACTTTTGTAAGGTAAATGAACAATTAATTATATATCGAGCTTATAACTTACGTGACAGATGGCACAATACGTGTGCATTGGAGGTAGAGTTAGAGATGTTATCATCAAAAGCACACAAGTGCTTCCTCCCCTTTGCAATTTTGCACTGAGGTGGCGCCTGCTTATTTTGGGCCTCGGGCTGTGGGGTTCGGGGAACCAGCAAGGATGGAAAATTTGGCGGGGGACTAGTGACCACTGCAGATGGCTTAAATGTGATTTTGGAACAGCTTGGACTAGTAGTTTCGCTCTCAGAAGTTTCATCATTATTTGAGTCGTCATCAAAAATCCTCCTCTTTTGTTTTTTTCTTCTCCCCCTACCCTTTTCCTCATTCTCCGAAGAGGTGATTGATCTTTTGCCTTGAGTGTATCGTATAACGTCCCTCATGCCTCGGTCAAAATCATCTGAAATAGAACAAGCCACTGTTTAAGAAATTCTAGCCCTTCACCACATGAGTAAAATTTTCTCTACTGTACAAAGTAAGCAAAATATATTTGTACAGTAGAGGATTTAATATTATATACCTACAACATGAATAGGCTAGTATTAAACATATAAATTAAATGTAGTTAGTGGTACCTGTAGGCCTGTTTAATAAAGTCAATATTATCATGATGTTGGTGTTATATATTTTACAAAAGGAAATCTATTAAGAATTTATCCTTTTCTCTATTATAATAAGTAAGGATTTGCCAATTACCTTAAAACTGGGTAACATTGAATTTTTTAATAGGCTTTTCACTACTTTTAACCAGCGTGCAAGTCAACAGTTTGATCCTTTAGCAGAGAATCATTACAAATCTATTGGGTTGTTTTTAAATAATAGTCACATTACAATTTGTACACAGCACAGCAGCAGTTGTAGTTAAGTTAGTCATATATTGAGCGTTATTAAAAAGCTTGCTGAGCGAGCAGCGTAAAAAATGGCACATAAAGTATCTTCTTATAACTGGTATTAAAAAAACTCGACATTCCTATCCTTCTTATTGTATTATAAAAGTAACCGAATAATTACTTTAAAAACAACTGTACCTCAATACACAACTTAACTTTAAAATTAAATTTCTTCAAAAGTTTAAATATTTTACCCTTAGGTGAAATATGGTGGTACAATTTGCTTACAAAACAATTTGTTTGTTAAATCTTAAGATCCAGTGGTCTTCACGACAATAATCGTTATGAAAATCATTGATGAATACTTACCTATGTTCCTTTTCTTGATTTCAATATGGACCGTCTCCCAGCCCTCTTGAGGGCCCTCATTATTCTTAGCACTTTTTTTAATCTGGCTTAGCCCTGTATTTGGGTACAGACACTCTTCATGGGATTGTACCCAACTATTTGGTACAAGGTCAAAGTTCCCATCTTCAAGTCGTTTTACAATAGACCACATGTTGATCCACTAAAATAATATTGATTTAGAACAAGAATGGCATTACAAAAGAAATACAAGCTTATACTTAACAATCAGGATCCTATTCTGGCATCATATAACCTTCAGGCTGCATTAGACAATTTGTCTCAGTGGCTACAAAATTGGAAAATTAAAGTGAATGAAACAGAATCAGTTCAATTTACATTTAGGCCTACTTATGTCAACAAGAACTTGCCCCCCAGTAACATTGAATAATGCCATACTTCCACAATCCAACGAAGAAGTACCTTAGTATGCCATCTGGACAGACGGCTTACATGGCATTCACACATTTGGAACAAACGACTTCATTTAAATTTAAATACAAACAAACTAGATTGGCTTATTAATCGAAATTCTAAATTATCTGTTGAAAACAAATTACCATCCATATATTGAAACCTATTTAGACCTACGGTATCCAACTCTGGTGAACCACTTCAAACTCAAACATAGAAATAGTTAAAAGATTTCAATCCAAAACACTAAGAAAAATTTTACAAGCACCTTGGTTTGTCAAAAATAAAGTTATTCATCAACATACAAAATTACCCTAGCCTATATTAGAGAGGGAATAAAAAAAGAAGCGAAAAATATCAAAGAAAATTAGAAAGCCATCCAAATGTCTTGGCAGTTAACCTCCTAGATAATAGTGAAGCTACATATAGGCTCAAAAGAGTTAATCCAATAGACCTTCCAAATCGTTTCTAGTTAAATTTTTGAATTTTAGTGCACTTTGTATATTGTGATGGAGTGTAACTAACCAATGTTAAATTGTCATGAAATTTACTTATTGTTCTAGTACAGAATAGATTGTGAATAGCCTAAATACTTGTAAAAAAAAGTACAATATAATTGTAATCTTAAGTATGACACAAGGGGAATGCAACGAAGCTCTCTTTGTAAGGAAGACACACAAACTTTCTTACTATGGATGATACTGGCCACGTTTCCCAATCTGACAATTTTGAAACCTTGTATATACCTAATACTGAGCTATCCAACAGAGGTTCTCCATAAAAACTTTCTTTAAGTGTAAATCTTTTACCGATGGTTACCATTTCTTTAGACTCTCTAGAGAATGCAAAGTTCGCAGCCATTATAATATCACCCTTATCGTTGCCACAATACTGATTTTGTCCAGACACAGAAATGAAAAAAGATGAAAACACACATTTTGAGAACTGAGGACCTGAACAAAGAGTTAAAAGAGGGCCATTACAATGTGAGGACGACTTTGGGAAATATGGTTTGACATTGGTATCACTACATGTGCTTTGCAAGTGAGACTTTTCTAGTAATCTCCTGCCAATCTGTTCTAAAGGTTTGTTTCTCCCTCTAAGCATATTTTTTATCTTATGGAGATACTCCTCAAATGGAAATGCAGATATGTCATTTAATGTTAAGTTTTGTAGGCCTACAGTAGATATGAAGTAGTCTGCATCATCGACTAAGTGGATCAAAGCATGAAAATTATGTGTAAGGAATTCCTTCCCATAAAGTCCTTCAACTGACTGAACAAAATGAACTAGAAGTAGTCTTGCGTTTTCTCGCATTACTTGGGACTGGCAAAGGTTGGTGGTCAGTAAAATGGTCATTGAGAGATGTAGCTGTAAAAAATGTAAATATTTGTCTCTAGGAAGAATTTCTTTAAGAACCACAGGCCCTGTGTACAGAATAAAGCTTCTAAATTCGGTTGCCTTCCATCTCAAATGAAGCTTGATATCACGCGGTTTTCGAGAAAATTCTGAGGGAAAATATTCTTTAAGCCGAACTAAATAAGTACCAATCAAATCCCTCTGTGATTTTGAGATTTTACACTTCTTTGATGTTTTTGTACCTGACATCCAGGCGACAATTAAAGTTCTCATCACACCAAGACATACCTGGTGCATATAGTCTAATACAAAAGAATGAACAAAATCAATGCCAGGTAACTCGGTTAACAACGTGTCCTTACACTGATAATGTCTATCAGTTTTCAACAGAAAATCTTCATGCGTTCTTTTGTCACTATTGCAATCCAAGAAAACTCGTCTGCGCTCATAAGTCTCGCCCTTTACAGTGCATCTTGCACAGGAGAAAAACCCGTTATGACCAATTGTACCCATTACAAAACTTCTTGCTGGCGCATCACAACAGAAACCAGCAATGGACACCTGCAATAAAGTACCTTGCCATTCAATCCCTTCATTTATTAAGATTTTCATCTCGTCAACAAAATCTTGCAGGAAGTCATTAACGTCAGCAGGCTTTTCGAGACCATAATACAAGCCTACTGGCAACACAAAGTTTTGTACATCTGGGCTGTTGAGAATTTTGATTAAAATGGGGTAAAATTCCCCTTGTGAGCTTTTGAAAGGCGGAAGGCCATCAATGTTCACCAGAAGGCTGACAGAATCAATGTGTGATGAAACATTTTTCAGGAGTTTTAAGATTTGTTTTTTAACTCCTAAGTGCATATAAGAACCTGGCAAAACTGTACGCTTAGCTATGGCTACAGGTGTTTGAACTATTGTCCTACCACAAGCAGGTAAATCTTTGAAACATGAATGTTCTTTCAATCCCTTCAAAAGACTGTCAAGTGTTTTGAGGGGCACATTATTGCCAACAGCCCATTCTTGAAGGAATTTAGCTACTTTAACACTTTCAGATTCTTGAGCTGCATCACAGCTGACTCCGGCTGAGGGAAAAAATTCTAGGGGATTATGTACAAACTCCACATCGGTATTAGGTTCAATATCAGAAATATCAGATGCACTATAGTCACTGCCCTCAGAAGTAGTTATGAACGTTTCATGATCAGAAATACTTGAATGAGGACTTGTTTGCTGAGTAGGCCTACAATCGATATTTTCAGGGTCATTTTGTATTGGATTAGGTTCTGATTCCAAGTCCTGGATTGGAGGTGTTTCGAAATCGGAATCAGGTTCATCATAAGAATGACTGGGGTTGTTGTCATGATTATGGGTTCGTCTCCATTTTGTCCATCTTGAACATTTGTTTATATCTTTTTTATATTTTGGCATACCTACCTTATGGCATTAGTTGTAACAGGAACGGAACAAATTAAGGAACTAGAAAAAAAAAAAAAACAGGAGTCTAAAAAATATTACAAGACAATCATTAAAAAAAGATTAAGAGTAAAAATAAAGTTCAAGATCAAGTGTTTGTCTGTTCTCTTGTCAGAATTTAAAAAAATACCACTACTGTAGAGTCAATTAACAAAACATGAAATTAAAAAGTCCATTAAGCTTAATACAATCAATGAAAACAAATTCCATAGGCCTTTAAGCAAGGGAATATTAACTTAAAGGAAGTTCTGTGTTTTTTTTTTCGTAGGTAATTTACTTCCCGTGTTTTGATTCAGAAGCTTGTTAAAAAAAACTCACCCAAACTTAAAATTGTTTCTACTTTTCTATTCAATTAAAAAATTAGCTGTGAACTGTGTCTAGAACTTGGTCTTACAGACAAAAAAATATGATCAGGATTTTTAGTTATAACTTTTTCTAGTAGCCCTAGGCCTATATAGATTATCATCAAATTCTGGTACCTAACCTAACTCACCTATTTCACCTAGGCTACATTCTTTGGTGTCGGGGGTTCAACATGTCGCCTAAAAACAAAATTTAATATTGAAAACACCGTACTTATTGGGCTATAAGTTATACTGTATTACAATGTTGCTTGTTACGATCACAAAGCAAATCAAGTTTCGAGTACTGTTATATAGAACCGGTTTTAACTAACTTAATTAAAACTTATCGAATCAACCAATTATTCAAATGACTTTTTTTAATTTAATGTGCGTAAAGTTTAATAAAGACCCTAAGTTACACCAACTTAAAATCCAATCAATTTGCAGGATGTGGCAAAATTACTTGCAATGGGAAAAAAGCTAGGAGAGTTTCAAGTTAGCCTAACTTAGGCTGTTTTTTTTTTTGTAGGTATTTGGTATTGTATCCATGGTGTTCACGCACAATTGCACTTATGTATATTAGGCTATCTGTAGCGACTATCGTTGATCGCTTAACAAATGGGATTCACACCTGTTTGGAAAAAAGAGTCTCGACATGATTAACCAAAGTAAAGCTGTTCACCAGATAACTTATCTAAACAAATGCCAATAAGCATTCGCGCGCTAAGTTTAAGGTACGATTATCAAGGAGACAGACAAAATTAAGTTATGAGGTTGGATTTAATCAATGTATTCGTTTGAACAAGTTATAAGCTAAACTCTTCATAACATGTTTTATTGTCGCTGTAGAACTAGCCTTTAACTTAGTACACTAAGATGTTATTATTGAGCATAACTACTTAATTTAATTTTTATCTGTTATAAATTAAATTACCGGTACCTACTTTTTTTTTCTTTGTTCGATTGAATTGACATTGCCATAAACTTAGTGAAATTAATTAATTAAGCGGGGTTCTATAATAAACTTAGACTTAGGCTATTAAAGTTATCATGCCTAACTATTTTCGCCTAGATGACATTTTTTTCATATTCAGTTTAAGGTAAGTTAAGCCTAAGTCAGTAGGTCCCCGATACCTACGGTACTCAATTGAATATAACTGTAATAAAATGTCATTTCTTAAATGATTAATATAATTAAAACAGATTGTCATGTGTCATGTAACTGTATAAGCTAGGCCTAGGTAATTGCTAAAATATTTAACCAATCATATATCTGAACCAACACTAACACTTTAAATTGCTGTTTAATTGCTTAAAAAAAGAAAGTAACAGTTTTATTCCATAACTGGAGGAATCAGATCTACGTAGGCTATCTAGGTACCGGTACCAAAGTTGTTCTCAAAAACCATAAGTAAATCTTGCCTAAGAAATAACTTTTTAAGCTTACAATAATAATGTGTAGCCTAATAAAAGTTTTACAGAGTAGGTAAGCTTAGGGCCTACAAAAATCTATCCAAGTTATAAAGCCTAGCAAATAACTAAGTTGTAGCCTACACACATAAGTTATCTTAGTTTAAAGGGACCCGTTGTTTCAAATAGGGAGTGATTTTAATAGGCTAGGCTACCTTAAGTGAAAAATAAGTTAATAAGATTAACTTATAGGTACTAAAGTTACACCACCCTTGGCAATTAAATAGGCCTAGTTTAACCTAAGAACAATTTCAGCAAAGGACCAAGTGGGCCTTCTTAAGTAAGCATAACTTACATAAATTACATGATACACCAATCATGTAGCCTAAGTTAGTGATGGGGATAACCCAACAGTTTCCATGACCAAATAATCAATCAGTTAAGTTATTTTTAGCGTCAATCGGTTTATTTTAGTTTAATGAATCACCGAATCAATTTTAGTCATTAGTCACTGGCCAAAACCACAATTAGGCCTAAACTTTATTTTTATCTAATGAGAAACTGGATAGCATTTTAGTCGTTCAGCGTCAATCGGTGATTTTTAGTCCAAGGATTTGCAAAGTCAATTTTACTTATTATTCACTATCCAAAGAACAACTAATTTTACCTGATGATGTGATGATACCGAAAAACATTTAGTTAATACGTAGGGCCTACCCAGTACCAACCACCTCATTAAACTGTTTTTGACTTGTCTGATACCCTAAGTTATTTAGAGAAAACTTATATAGGCTAAGGCTAAGTAACAATTTTACGGTTAAAAATATCAGTTTGTAATACAGTAATCTATAGGCTAGGTAAACTTATGTAAAGTTAAGAACATGAAAAAGGTAGGTCTAAACTTAAATATAAAAATCGTAAAATAAATTTAACTGAAAAACTTTTTGTTTAAATTACCAAATTGCCCGGTTAGACTGATTTGACCAAATCAGGATAAAATAACTGTATTAGTAACTTATGTTTAGCACCAATAAGTTTAACCGATTGATTCGGTTATTTTCATTCGACGATTCCCACCACTAATACGATGATTCCATCCACAGTCCTGCAAGGAATTGGACAGTAGAGTTGGTCTTTATTAGTTAGGTCTAGCGTTTGGCTTGTTTCTAGACTAAGTGTGGGCCTAGACCTAGCCTACAAATAAAAGACATGAAGAGGCCTATAATTTACATAATGTAGAATATTTCCAATTATGTTATTGTCAATGTAACTTATTTCATTTTAGGCTAGACCTAGCATTTAAAAAGATTAGGAGGGTATACATTAGTTGCTTAACTGGGCTAAGTACTTATGCTAATATTGATTGAAACTATCTAATTGAAAATAAGTTATTGATTAATTAGGGTAAGTTTAATCGATAGGCTTGGTCCTAGCCTATAAAATAAAACTATCATAACTTTTAACCTAAGGTAACCAACCAAACTTGCTGATGGTGAAAAAAACACATGGAGGTTTACTAATCGAATCGATAGTTTCAATCGATATTAGCGTAGGTAGCCCAGTTAAGAAACTGTACCCGATTAGGACGCAGACACTGGTATCCTGGACCGGACAGGAGAGACTAACGAAACCAGCTTCACTTAGGCCTAAGTTAAATCAGGTGTAACTTAAGTTAGTCCCAGTGCCCCTGTACGAACTTCATCCCCTAGGCCTATTTCTTCTCTAGCAGTTCACTAGTAATAGGCCGTTGCCTATTTTCTAGCATTCATCTTGGTAGACTGTAGGTTAGACCTACTGAACTTAGGCTTAGGCCTAGCCTATTGGTTATTTCTTGGCATATAAATTCACAATTAACAATGTCCAACTTACTAGGGTACATAAGTTAGGTACCTATGTAAAGATAGCTGATGACATTCATCATCTTTGTGGTCAAGGTCAATACCAAGTTGTAATACTAATGGATTAGTGTGAAACTTTGTAATCAATGACCATAAGCTTAGATCCTCAAAAAGTCACTCTGTGCTACTTATGTTTTTATAACTCACGAAATTCTCTATAGGTTAACCTAACTTACTAACTTAGGCCTAGGCCTATAATTAACATTATTTTATGAGATTTAAATACAATGTATTCGAACCAAACAAATGTAGAACTTACCTTTAATGTAGAGGAGATCACAATAAGTTAAATAATTCAATAAGTTATGTTTTGTTTTGCCACAACGAAAGGAGAAAACTTCAATAATGGCGGCACACTAGCACTAGAACGAATTAAAACTTAAAACTATGCTTGATGGGATGATTCTGCTTGGCTTCCTCCGGCTCCGGCAATAATTCAATGTTTTGTTTTACCACAACGAAAACGAAAGGAGAAAAACTTCAATAATGGCGGAACACTAGCAATAGCTCTAGAACGAATTAAAACGATGCTTCTAAAAACTGCTTTGCTTCCTCCGGCCCGGCATTTGTTGAGTCAGTCTCAGTCAGAGCAAGGACAAGGACAAGACAGACAGAAAGAAGGACAAGATGGTTCGTTTCGTTTCGTTCAACCAACGATCCTTGCGCATGCGTCAGTATTAGCAAAGCATTCGCATTGTGGATACAAATGCACTAGCAACACAGCAACCCAGGATATGGTTTTATTTACCGCTGTTGGCTCTTTTTTATTTACCTTATTCTTATTTCCTTTCATGTATATTTCATTTAAATTATCAACCCCAAACTGGGTGTCTTAACTTATAACATTTAGGAACCCTCCAAGTTTAGAGTTCAAAAACTCATAAGTTATATTATGGATTTCTGGTCCTCCCTTCATTTTAATTTATTATTTATTGAAGGTTAATAGGTACCATTATAAGACCCATCCATCTTTTCACTAGGGCTTTTCAACAACATGTTGATAACCTTAATTCATCAAAATCAACCCAGTAGCTCATAATCTATCTCCTAAAAATATATACGGCCTGTTATTTTTTTAAATATATATTTAAAATTTTTTTAAAATATATAGATAACAATATTTTTCACAAATATTTCATAAATATTTTAATTTAAGGTTACAATAAATATGTTTTACCTAAAATTACAAAAATATTTTTTTAATATTTGGTTTTTAATATTTATAAAGAAATATTTTTAAAACAAGATAATAAACAAATTGAAATATTTTAAAAATATGTATAAATAAATTATTTTAAAGATATATAATTATATTTCAAAAATATTTCATAAATATTATCTTGCTACTAGGGTATGGTTATACCTTCCCCCTCAGATCGATTTTAATTCGCTTTGAGGTTCACAGAGGCCAAAACACCATTCGTTTAAATTCATATGCAGAGTTTTTTACTAAACCCAAGTTAAAAGTAGTGTGAGATAAATTTCAATGGCAAAACAAGCGTAAATTTTAGTATCCCTGTTTTCTTTACTCCTGCCCATCAGCTGATATGTATTTTTGCATAGTTATCCATTGGGTTTAATTGAATTGCGAATTTATTGAAAGCAACACACGAAAAAGGTTTCTCCCCAAGCTTGATGAGTTATACGTTAAAAGTAAATCATTTTTTGTACCAAGAAAGGTTTGAAATTTTAGTCCACAGGTTTGATGTGGCGGGGGCATTTTTTATATATTTTTTACCAGGGTATGTCTCAAACATTGAAAAATAGAGTGATTTTGATAAAAGACTAATCTTAAGCCTTAAAAAGAGTTGGCAAACAGAAAAACTCTATTTAATTATCTTTAACGCAATTATAAGGAAGGTTTTTATTACTGCCCTTGTTATTCCCGGTTTTGGTCGGACAGCCACAAGGAACTGACTCGTGCTTTGCATTGCAGTGAAAACACAGAACACATGATCAACATTCTTTCAATGCTGCTGGAAAAATATAGACCTACTGGGGTATCACTGACTATATTGAGTTAGTGGGACTAATTTACTGTTTTGGGGATTTCTCCGTAACGTTTTTACAACAATTTGAACGAATAATGTTTTTGGCCCTTCGGGCCAAGCAAAATTAAAAGTGAATCGATCCTAGGTCTGGGCCTTTACACACCACCTACGGTAATAACGACTTCCCTATAGGGAAATTCGCTAAAATAAAACTAGTTAATTCTATAAAACGCACATATTGCTTTATTCTGATGCAATCTCAGAAACCCACTGAAGCACCCATCCACTAGGGAGGGCCTAAATATTTCTGCACCTATAAATCGAGGAAATTTGACCGAATAAGTCGACGCCGTCGGATATGAAACCAATGCCATAAATCCAACCTGTCTTGGGTCAACCTAGTCTCGTGACAATGGACTGACAAGGAAACACCGACGCCGCTACTCTTTGACGTCCGTTGACCTGTAGACCCTTCCCAGACGGGTTTCCCGAGGCCCTCACTATAGTAGGTCAGGTAGATCGGAAGCGAAAACAAGGCCATAAATTCGACCGAAAATATTCCGCCACAGCCATAAAATCCCATTGTAAATAAAGCTATGGGGAAATAGACGCAGTGGCTGCGAGATTCGTTGATCTGCATGTTTACTAGCCAAGCATCAGTAATCACTCATAAAATACATGTTAAAATGTAAATAGTATATAGAGTGTACTCCTGGACCAAATGATAAATGAATTTGAAGATCCAAAAACCCAACATTGTGTGATTTTTGTCACATTCAACTGACTAGGCCTACTTTAAGATCCCCGTACGTAGAACGGGCACACAGCTAGTTATAATATAAATATCTAGCATCTAATATAAAATCTATATACTTATTTAATATGCAAGCAGGTTTTTTGAGACAAATTACTCCTCCGAAACTACTGAACCGATTGACATGTTTTTGGTGTCAATGGAAAGAGGGTAACGTGAAGTTGTGCAGGAAACTTTCTTTTTGGGGAAATAATTATTGTCGGGACCACGTAAGTTTGCAGTTGGTGGCAGCCAATCACAAGACGAGGCTAGTGCGACGTTGTCACATCGCCCGTTGACAACACTAATTAAAATATACTAAGCAATATTTTCAAATCAGCTGGTATTGACAGATTTGGCAACACCGCACGGTTCTCATTGGTTCATTCAAAACCATATGGTAAATAGGCTCCTCCTTACGTGGTCCCGACAATAGACAGTGAGGCCCTGGGACCCTTTAAAGTTTCGTATTCCTCCATAAGATTAACATGGGAAACAAAAATTGTTATGAAACTCCAGCTGTTGTCAGAAATTAAAAGTGAGAAGAAGAACATATGTTAATTGTAAACAGTCAATAAGATTGCTAATTTAACAGTTTGCTACAAACATTTTAGGCCAGTCAATAACAGCATTCAACCTCGCAAACGCGCATGTATCTACGATTTTTTTATATGTTGTTAGGTCCCCTAAGAGTAGTTTATACCCAAGTTTGCAACCCTGAAAACCCTGTGCTTCTCCCATGATACTTGAAAAAAAACTGTAAAATTCTGGCTATTTTTTTTGTTTTATTGAAAAAAACTGACTGAAGGAAGCGTTTATCAGGTATATGTGTCCGATACTTTTTTAAAGTTAACTAAATTTGCAACAATTGGAACCCAGTTTGAGCCCATTAAGTCAATTTCTTGCGGATATACAGTTAGTAAAAAATAGGAATTTTTTTTTAACATTGAAAGATTGTCAGTAGGCTCATTTGCCAAGATGCGTGCAGGCTGAAGTAATGATCATAGAGAAAAGTCTTTAGGAAGGATTTTGTAGAGAATTTAATAAGCTTTAATCCAATTCCAAAGTTGTGTGTCTAGGCCTTACAGTTTCACAAACAAATTTAAAATATAAAAATATCATAGTTTGCGTAAATGTTGTCTTTGGGGTTGTATTTCTTAAAAAGATTCGGACTCTACTTTCAAGACATGCTTGGCCTAAAAAAACACATGAAGTCAGAAGAGTATCGTACGTTCACAGGGGGATCCTTCACAAAACGTCGCTCTGATCTGGTTTGTGGACAGATTTGACCATACAACAAGTACTGATGAGGTCCATGAAAAGCCAGGGTGGGCTAACTCATGGTCGGGGAATATCAAGCAGTGTGCTGGCGCGCTGGTCAGTAGGGTTGGTTTCCATGCTCAACATTTGCGGGGAGGTGGAACGTTTCACTGAAACTATGACTCTAACATCAGAACAGCACATTGATATGAGGGCATCCCAAATTGCGAGAGACACTGCAGTTACCAAAAAATAAAGATCTGGTTCAACACCCACCCTCCATTCCCAGTCAGCGATCGCCTATTTTCCATCCACAGTGGTATCGTCGGAGGCCCTGACATCAACTTCCACTTATCTTAAGAACTGGGAGCAGGAGGAGTGAAACAACTTGTTGGTAACAACTTTGGTAAAGTAACTTTTAAACGAAAGGACAAAGTGAAGACAATGACGTCAGGCACCACGTCTGTAAAAGTATTCAACAAGAGAGTTGATGTTGATCTCCTTATATTTTCCAGAGGGTCTGCGTCACAAAACAATCAGATGTACAATTGAAGCAGCATTTTCGTATGAGGTAGCACCGTATCCACTGTCTTTATTTAATTAAGAATGAATGCGCAAGGGCACAAAAATCTTCCTTCTATTCAGCATTTACACCGCTCCCTGAAAACATCATCCCAGGAAACGAAGCGTTCATAGTGATTGATGGTGGTTACATCTTGCACAATGTTATCTGGCATCGAAATGATTCAGTCAGATACATTGTGGTGGGATATGTCAGCTATTTTTACTTTAAACCACTTTGCCAAAAACGTTGCTGTGGTAATTGATGGATACCCCCAAGATGCAGCTATGAAGAGCACTAAACCAGATGAACGCCTGTGACGCTCTACTTCTCTCTCATGCAGTGACATTTTGTTTGATGAACTATAATACCCATCAAAGTGTCCCAAGCAAAAATGCTCTCAAATGAATCTAACAAACACCGACTGATCACCATGCTGTGTACTGAATTTGAGATGCATTGTATTTAAATACATCAATCTCAAGAGTACCCCGATTCTGATATAGTGAGGACTGCCCTCTCCAAGAGTTTATCGTTCGATCAGGTTTTTATCATTGGGGAGGATGTCGACCTACTGGTGCTCCTCAGCGGATTAAGCTCTGGAGTCTGGACAGACGTACGTGTACTTCCAGAAAGGCGGGAGAGGTGGATCAGAGTGTGCCCAATATCCAGCAAATTCAGTATATTTCTTAGTAATTGTTTGTTTTTTAGAAGCCATGTGTTACATCTATTATCTATAAAATGTCAATTTCACATTCTTGCACTCTTTAAAGAAATAAATAATAACAGTAGTCAGTACCTACATTGATGACATCATTAACACCTTTTTTAAGAAGCTATAAGGCCTAAACACACCACTTTGGAATTAAATAAAAGCTTTTAAAATTCTCTACAAAATCTTGCCTAAAGACTTTCTCTATGACCATTACTTCAACCGACACACATCTTGGCAAATGAGCCTACCGATAATCTTTCAATGTTTGAAAAAAGATTC